GCCGTAGAGTGAAGAGGAAAAATCTTGTATGTGAGGAATGGGGTAGCGATCAGGTACTGTTACATTGTTCAAACCACGATAGTCTCCACAGGGACGCCAGTCACCAGATGTGGGCTTTGGAACCATATGAAGGGGCGAGGACCAGCTGCTGTCAGAGGGGCGAATGATGCCAAGCTGGAGCATATGGTCGAATTCGGCTTTTGCAATCTTCAAGCGGTCAGGAGCTAGGCGTCGTGGACGACAGAAAACTGGTGGGCCAGTTGTGCGAATGTGATGAGTGACTGAATGCTTGATAGTAGCTTCGTTGTAGGAGGGACGGGTTATATCCGGAAATCTCTTGAGCAGCGAGCTGTATGGTGTTGTAGCTGGAAAACAAAACACGGGGCTGGGTGAGGATGCTGAAGAAGAAATACCACGAATACTGAGGCTGGTCGTAGTGTCGATGAGGGTGCGATTACGAACATCAACCTTGAGTCCATAGTGGGCAAGGAAATCAGCACCAAGAATTGGCGTTGGAATGTCAGCAATGATGAATATCCATCTGTATGTGCGGCGAAGTCCGAGATCTAATGTCATAGATTTTTCACCATAAGTGGAGATGGTGGATTGGTTGACAGCTTGGAGAATTAATGAAGAAATATGACGTTTTTCAGCAGGACTTGGAGGAAAAACACTCACATCAGCGCCAGTATCCACGAGAAAACGTGTACCAGTTGTACGATCTGTGATGTAAAAGAGGCGACTGTTGTGTTGATGGCCAGTTGGACTTGTCGCCGCTAGTCTCTGGCTTGGAAGTTTTCCGACTGGTGAAGAGAAGCAGAGGCCTTAAATGAGCATGGTGGATTGCATTTTCGAGCGGCGGATCCAAACTGTTGATGGTACCAACAAAATGGGCCTGATGAGGTGGAAAAACTGGAGAAATTACGTGAACCAGAGCGTGGGGGACTTCGACCACGTGAGCGAGAGCGAGAACGATAGCGAGACGAGATCTGTAGTTGACTAATGACATTGGTCAATTGGGTGGTCAAATTGTTTACGTGGAGTCGCAAGTCTTCAATCTCTTTTCGTGCAGAAGACTCTGGAGATGGAGATATGGCTGCCAGGGAGTGCTGCGGAGGAGCAACGTCCAAGATTTTGTCCGCAAGTGAGGCCAAGTCATCTATGGAGACAGTGTCTGGAGTGGAGGCAAGAATGAGTTTTACATTTGTCGGCAAACGTTGGAGAAAAAGATGTCTCAAGAGGCCGTCTTCTAAGGGGTTGTCACCTAAAAGTTGTCGCAATTTTCGTAAGAATTGGGAAGGCTTCTTATCACCTAATTCTTCGGAGATCAGCAACTGTTGTAATCGCTGTTGTTCTGAGGCGGATGTACGTCTGATAAGTTCCGTTTTTAAAGTGTCGTACGGACGATCAGCAGGAGGCGAAAGAATTAAATCACGGATTTCTTGAGCAATTTCGGGACTAAGAGAGGAGATGACATAGGCAAATTTTGTGTTCTGTGCAGTGATTTGTCGTGTAAGAAATTGAGCTTCAACTTGGGCGAACCAGACTGCAGGATCATTTGGCCAAAATGGAGGAATTTTGATGCTAACTGCAGCAACGGCATGAGAAGCGGTGCTTGATGGTGTTGACGAGGAACTAGGAGAACTGGTCGTGGCTGTGTTATCATTCATGATGAAAGTGAAACGGGAAAGAACCAGAAAACGAGGTATGCACGAGATGTAAATATGTAAAATACAAGTGTTCGAAAGTCGTTAAGAACGTCGTGGTTACCAATTTAATAGTTCGTACCTTTATCTTCAGTTGAGAACTATTAACAAAAAGTAAATTAAAACGATCTCACCCGTTGGTGTGTTGAGAAGACGCGTAGAGAAAATCGAGTTCTGTTTGCTTCAATTCAAGAGAGCTTACTAACTTGATCTACGATTATTTATACTTTAACTCTAAAAATAAATCTGCTGACGAAGGATGTGTGGGTATGATGTAATGATGATGTAATGGAGATGGAAAGTTCTAGATTAAGAAACGAGAGAGGCTGAGTAAGCATGGCGCAATGTAGCAATGTAAAGCTGAGATAAACAGTTTAAATTAACATCACTATAAACAGAGTAAATACTTTATCGCTACAATAGTAATAACAACAATCTCAAGCGATTTAGTTAACGCTCAAAAGCCCCTCGTTAAATTGAAGCCCTGTTTACACTACACAAACTAACCTGGGTTCGCCCCAGGTTAAAAATAACCCAGGTTAGATTTTTGTAGTGCAAATGCAAACTAACCCAGGTTCGCCCCAGGTTTGTCAACCCATCTCAAAAGGTGGGTTCGCCCTTGGTCGAACCTGGGTAAGTTTAGATAAAGTGTAGTGTAAAGGCAAATCTGGGGCGAAGGGCGAACCTGGGTTAGTTTCTTCACGACGCATGCGTAGTGACAGAAATGTCGCCGAGTGCAAACAAAGCATAGCGCGAATGCAAAATTTTCTCATTGTACGAAGCCCGCACTGGGAATAATTGTTTTTAAAGTGGATTTATTGTATTTTGTAAAGTTCTCAAACATTATACACGTCGACTGCCGCCATTTTGTTTATCCTTCAAATTGTCTTTGTTACGCATGCATCGATATGAAACTAACCCAGGTTCGCGCTTGATTCCGTTTACATTACAAAGTTGACAGTTTCCGGTGTAAACGCGTCAGGGTTCGACCCGGATTACTTTTAACCTAGGGCGAAATTAGGTTAGTTTGTGTGGTGTAAACAGGGCTTAACTCTGATTAAATTTCATTTATCCATCATTTTAACTATTTTGCTTCAAAAGAAATTGCCTCGAGCCCCACGTGCAAGATTATTTGGGAAGCTGACAGCTTTGCTGACAGACACTTTTGACTGTTGATATTCCCAAATAGGGAATTATAAGCAATTTGGATGATCTCATGGGGCGTGAGATTGTCGCTAATTATTCTTTGTTGCATTCCTTGGAGGCAGGGTTGGGTAACAAAGGTCATTATTCAACAGTTTTTATTAGTAGGTTAAACAATTACTTAATTTTGATTGAATTTTAAATGGACAACAATAAAAAAGGCAGAAATGGGAATTAGAATCTAAACGATCCCAGATATCTGCAAATAGCAAGTACTGCAAGAATGACAGGCACGACCATTGAAAAAATTTGGCGATAACACTCTTCAGATTAGTTTTAAAATACATTCAGTGCCGTCGGAACGAAATTCATATTGGGGGCTCCCCATTGTTTTCCTTCTCATTCAGTACACGGTTATAAAGGAAACATACTACAGTTTGACAATTATGTATTAGGGCCTGCATTTCAGTCATATTTCTTTTCTTACAGTCATTTTCCAGCAATCAGTTAAGACGTTCAACTACTTTTAGGCATACATTTGTTACGTTCGATTAATTCATTCTTAACTGGAATTCCTTACTTAATGAAGCAAGGCCCTCTAGACCTCCTGGCCCTGGGGCATTTTGCCTCCATTGCCGTAGGTTGTAGGAATTTAGAAATGTAGGAATTTATTATAAATTGTTTTAAAAGTGTCATGGTTTACCAACCAAATCTGCAAGATTTTGATGTGTATTCGCAGACCTGCCAAGTTTGGTGGGTGCAAAACCTTGAGATTTCTTAAAAATTTCTTTAAAAACCTTGAGTTTTGTAGAAAAACCTTGAGAAAAGTCAAACAACTTTTTTAATGATTTTATAAACACAAAAAGGTCTTAATACGGGTTCAATCACATCATAAAAAGTTAAAAGAACTAAAAAGAAACATGAATTCCAAATGAAAAGTAGCCTATATGTGTTCTTCATTGTATTTGTTGGTTGCTTTTTTGGAACTTTCCAAGACTTCTTCTGTGGGTTTCCAGCTATAACAGGGCGTGTTGGACTCGGGATACATTGTTTTCATCGCTAGGATACTCGACAATGTCCCTCCCAGTTTCATCGATGACCTTTCTAACGATTTGTTTTTCTTTGTTTCCCGCTGCCACCTTAACATTCTATTCAATGAAAACGCTTCACGAGAGCACAGGGGCACAAACCGCAGATGAGAAGAAAAACAATATCGCAGAACAGTTCTGTGAGCAAAATATGCAGATACACTAGCATTTGTTCGTTAAAGATGGCAAATTGGGAGAAACTTTTTGATTTTTTTGATTTATGAATTTACCGTGAGAATTTCCTGACCAACCGTGAGATCGCGGGCTTTCTTTAAAAACCGTGGGTCCCACGGCAAAACCGTGGTACTTGGCAGGTCTGTATTCGTACTGGATATAAACATAACTGGGCTCGGCCCAGATGTTTTACGGACAGCAAGCTAATCCGGGAAAATTGCACCCAAAATAAATGAATTCCTCTCTATCACAAATAAATGTTAATTAGATGTTTTGCTTCTTACACGATTTAGTAATCTTAAAAACCCTGGTCCAGAACTTATCATTTGAAACATTTCAGGAATGTATTACTAGACAGCCAAAAGGTTTATTGTGGTGAAACTTTAAGCCCGAGTTGATAAATCGAAAGTTTATTGCTTAAAAAATGAGAGAGTTTTTCCCAACCTAAATAATAGAAAAACACTTAAATTTCAGTCTCAAAAGACATGGGTGAGAGTTTTAGCAGAGCCCGCGCCAAAGGGGAGGTCGGGGGAGCCATGGCCCCCATTTTACTTGCTGACTATAGATATTGAATCCCCCTTTTAGGTATTAAATAGGTAATCCCTCTTTTTTGCCCCCCCCCCTTTACAATCGGTGGCGCGGCCCCTGTTTAGGTACACTTTCTTTTAGAACTGATTAAATGAAATCTCCTGAACTTAAAAATCTTCATGCAAACGTTCTTTCATGTAAAATATATGTCATCCAAAAACATACATCATTCCTTAAAACATAGTCATAAGTTTCCCAAAATATATGGTTCTGACATCATTGCTCTGGTATTATGTACACTGGCGCGGCGTTTACAATTTTTCTATTGTCTTTTAACTTCCGTTTCGAAAATCAATCTTCTTAATTTGCATTCCGTGAATAACAGAACAACAACAGATTCCCACGGCGGAAGCCAAGCCAAGCAAGAAGTAAAACCAACGGAGCATATCACGCCGCGGTTTAGCAATTAGAGACGTTTTTTGATAAGAAGGTTCACAGACAGGTTTTAACCATAAATCAAGGTTTGTTTCAAAGTTATATCAGTCTACTTTATGTTTATGTTGTTGAGATTAAACTTTCAAGCTCGTAACAGTGTCCAAATTTGCCACCAACCTTCCGCTTGGTGTGAAAGGGGCCTATCGTATCTCGCGCTCATAAAAGGAGGCGAAAAGCCATTTCGGTTAAATGATGAGATTTTATGCGTGAAAACTAGAACCCGCCACTTGTCTTCTTATCCAGCGTTTACCAAGATAGCGAAAGAATTTGACAAGTAATTGTTAACTAAAGATGGATATGAAGTATGACTTCTGTCACGACACAACATAACTGAAATCAAATCACCCTTGGGTTGGGGTTTTGGAATCGAAAAACTACATTAAGATTATTTTTGTCAGCCAATTTTCTGTTGGACACTAATAAAGTAACTACAACAAGAGCTGCAGGGTTCCGTGAAGTTTCTTGCAACCTGCAAAAGGTAAAATCAAACACAAAAAGTGTCGGAAAAGGAGCATTTGCATCCTGCTTTTGCTTTTTAAGAAAACCGCAAGAACAATATTACCAAGTTAAGTCTTCGCATGAAGAAAAGGAGCATTGTATTTGAAATCGCTGTTAGAACTGCTTGATTTGCAGCCTTAAGCAGATATTGTTCGTGTATCGTTAATAATTCGCTATTCATAAGGAACAAAAAGGCATTGGCCTACCCAAATTAATTTTTAAACCTAACGACAGGTAACGGGTCTACATTGATTACCGTGCCATTCAGCAATTACATACTCATAGAAATGTATTGTGCAGATTATGTTTTATGGTGATAAAAGATTTTCACATAATGAAAAGGAAAATCTGGAATCAACGCTGCTAATGTTCATTTGATAGGCCTACTTCAGAAAATGCTAAAACATTAAATTTATTTAATTTAATTTAATAAATAAAACTAATTTAATTAATAGCATTTGGTTCTTCTCTAATAATCTTTTAGCATTAAATGTAAAGTATTGTAGCAACAGCGACTTAAAACCACACCAAAATCATGTGAACATTCTATCTTCTATTCAGGCAGAAGCCGCTTTGTCATCGATCCAACCAGCTATCCCCTAAGTAGGACCTAAACAGGATTTTGGTATAGCCTTTGGTGCTACTGTATTGTTAAGGTCAATGGCATTGGTATCATTCTCCTAAAATATTCCTTTTAAGACTGAGTATAAAAAACGGTTTTTCTACATTTCCATACAAAGTTGACCATTTGACAAATATGATTGTTGTCAGTGTCAGAGAAAGCACAGGGGTCATAATCCCTTGAACTTCCAAATATGCAAAATCAGTCAAAAATTGTTTCGATTTGAAGGCTTTGAAGTTTGCTGATTGATTTATTTTAGATGAAGAATTTACTCTAGACTATTGTCCACATTTCAACAACATAACTAAAGAGACATAGGCCTGGGGTCTAGCAGCCCTGGTATAACGTATATGAAAAAGTTATTGTTTCCAAAAAGGAATTTGCTACTGGCAAGAAGCATGTAAATTAAATACTCCATAGATACCCAAACAAGCTCTCTATCAAAAATGCTCACGAAAACTGTTTTTTATGTTTGGAAAATTTTTTTTATAATTTTACTGATATTCTGTACAGCTATCAAGCTTTATCTCTTATCAGTTAAACTGGTACAACTCTCAACTTTTTTTTATTCATCTTCAATTCACATTAAGTTATTAAATATAGGCACAGAATTTATTTTCACTAACAAAATCAACAAAAAACAGCTCCATAAATTGTTGGAATTATAACAACAATCATATGTTGGAATTAGATATCAGGGATGTTGTTGAGAGCCTTCGATGGGGAAATAGTTTAACATTTTCTAGAAGATTCTTTACCTTTTAAACAATATGGATATAGTCCGCAAAACACAGATAATTTTTTATCACAATATGGGCATTTTCACCCCTGCCATTGCCTTTTTCCCAACTTACTGCAGTCAATTATTATGTACCATGTAGCATATTAGATTTTAATAGTTATTTCTCCTCTGTTTATCCAGATTCAAAGATTGTGCTGTATTAAATAGAGAGTATGGAAGTGAAGTTACTTTGGTGTATGTTGATATGGACAATTGCAATAACATCAGCTTCAGAACTCAGTGATATTGCTGCGACATGCCAAGTTCATGCAAATACAGTCATTGATGTTGATCCTGGCCGCCATAGATACTTCCCGTACATGGTAAAACTGCCCCGCTGTGTGGGTATGGTTGGGATTGAAAGACCAGATATAAAGACATGTGTTGCCAAATCTAGCGTATCTGTGTCCTATAGAGTACTTGATGTGGTATCATATGCTCATACATCTATTGACCTTGTACGTCATACTGCATGTCAGCATACCTGTGTTGCATCACCAAACTCTTGCGATCCAAAATATCAGACATGGAATAGCGCTAGCTGTTTGTGTGATTGTAAATACAGAACAGCTCCAAATCCATCACCTTGTGAGTACCCAAAAGTGTGGCAAAGCACCAATTGTAAATGTGTATGCCCAAGGGCACCAACAAAGTGCTCAGAAAAGAAAGAATGGAGCGATGATGATTGTGGATGTACTTGCAAGAAAAGGTACCTTAACAGATGTGCCAAAAAGGGTAAGGTGGTGAGCCAAGAATCCTGCAGCTGTATAGCACCAATCGGGGTAAATGGAACCTTAGCAGCAAGGGGAGCTCAAGGTACATGCAATGGTGTCGAAAACAAGTTTGTTGTTATGATAGTGATTATAGAGTTTTTCTGCCTTGTTTTTATATTTTTTCTGATCTACCGATATTCACCAAGAAGGGAAGAATCAAGTAGCAGACCAACATTTCTTACAAAAAATTTCACATTTAAGAAGAAGAACAAGTCATCTGGAAAAGATAACGGAAATGTGGAATATATTTCTGAAGAACCGAAAGTGACAACACCTTTATCAAATGGGAATCATTTGGCTGAGAATGAAGACACTACACAGGGTTTAAAAGAGCTGTCTTTAAGGGACAGCAATGAAGCACCAGTTGGGTTCTACTATGCTGCCAGTGATGTTTTTGGCTCCGCAGGCAATGTTTCAATGGAATCTAGTGGGAAAGTGTCGCATGTATGAAAACAATGCTTCCTTTCTTTTTGTATCAAGTAACTACCAAGTTGTTGTTTTTTGAAGGAAGGTGTTCCTATATCAAAAATATTATTTATCGATCGATTGGTTCCTGGTGCAAAATGAACACAATTTTCAATGGACACACCGTGAAACACAAACATTCACTTCTGCTATATAGCTAACAGATATATACAAGACATTTATAAACTGTGCCTGCACCAAGAACACCTGCGCCAAGGGGCAGCAGAGGTCAGTGGCCTCTTTGTGTCCTCCCAATATTTAGCACTTTTCTTGGCATTTTGTCCCCTTGCCCTCCTTGAGTGCAGGCTTTCCTGTCTGTAACATAGTTAAAAGGTCTCTTTTGACTATTACTCTCACATGCAGTTAGGAACCCACAAATAAGTGGTTTTTCTAAATTTTATACAGCTGGTTTGTATTTTTAAACATGATTTTTAAGGAGCCCTAAAGCCTGGTTAACAGTTAGGTATAGGAGTAAGTATAATTTCCAATAATATTTTCTCTAAGCTGTTACTCTAATCTATACCTTCCCCTTTTGTGCAGCCCCTGTGTTCCCTCCCATTAAATATGCCTCCTTCTTTCATTTCCCTTTCTCTGTATGTAGTCTTTGTATGTAGGTGAATTTAAAATGAACTGAACTGAAAATTAACTGGCCTCTTGCCTTTAAATTCCTTTTTAACCTTTTTTGCTTTTTTCTTTACCTCCTTTCCATCCTTTTTGAAGTCCATTTTTTACTTATTTTGTTTTTCCTATCTTTCATGATTTATATCTTGCTTTTTCCCAACACTTCCTCACAATTCTTGTTCCTGGTCATCATCCTCTTTCTTTTCCCTTTAGCTTAGGTTTTGCTTTGCTGTTTTGAGGCTCTACTTTTATCTTGTATCAATCACCAAGTACTGAGATATATATTCAAACCCTATTAGAAACACTTGAAAATTCAAAATTTTGATTGTCTGTTTATAAATAATAACTTACTCTATTCAAAATCGTTTTTGAAGCTGGCTAATTGTTATTATAAATCTTAAGACTGCCATTGTATCGTTTTTTATGATGGCTTGTAATGTAAGGATATTTTTGTAAATTTTTCATGTCATTTGTGTTTATTTATTTTAAGGCATGTGCTCTCAGATTTAAATAATTGATAAATATTACTTCTTTGTCTCTATTTTCTTTGAAACTGAGCTGCAGTTTTTCAAAATCTACAACATTAACTAATCTTGTGTTAGAGCAGATATCCCTATACTGAATTAAGTTATGGCAACAGGGCCACTGTGGGAATGTTTCATAGCCTGTGGGTTCCTTGAAGCGGGACATGTGTCTTGAGGTTTGGTGCATAATACATGGAGATTCTTTATAATTGCCACAGGAAGCAATCGACAGGAGCTTATTTCCTTCTATACTTTCTTGCTGGATATATTTGATGTGAAAGGTATCTAAGTTTTACGAAATATATTCTCTGCATCAGCTAGATGTTGGTCTATATGTAAATCACAGCAGTCTAAAAGGGTTCAGATACTGATCAGGGTGGTTCTTTAGACAAAAAAGGCATATCCTGAAAAGTGTGTGGTATACTGATAAATACCCTGTCCCACTTTGGGAAAGCATGCTTTGCCTGGTACTTGAAACATTTAAATTGACCTCAATATAATGGAACTGCTAAAGAATGTTTATTCAATTCTTCACTTGGTAGCAGCAAATAGCAGGGTAATGTATTCTTAAATTCATAATGCAATACAACATCATTAAAGAACAGGATATCATGAGAAAATAATAGCATTGAACAAATAAAAGGTAGCTGAAAAAAATAGTTAACTCAGATACAGAAAGAACAAGTGTGAAATAAAAGGCAATGGGAAGATTAAATCAACCTCAAAATGATGCAAGATCCTAACACATAGAAAATAGTAAATTTACACAGTGTTTTGTAATCTTGTTAATATTGGCTTAACATCAAATTATGATTTACATCAAGAAAGAAACCTGTGGATATAAAAAAATTGCATCAAATTGAAATGCAATGCAATCTTTAACTATTGCTGAAGATTTTAAGATGTTTGCATCGATGGACGGAATGATTTCGCCTTTAGTTCGTTGCCACTTCCTGAAAATCCAGTCCCACCACGGTTCATTTCAATTATGTCGGTTTCCTTTAAGGGCTTACCCGTCAGTGGGCACAGCCAGTCCTTTTTTATAATGTTCTCCACGCACTCCATTGTTACAACATCACCTGTTGGTTTCAAGACTGCACATGGAACAGAGTTTCCTAGCAGATCATGAGTAACTGGGCACATATATCTTGCATCTTTGGCAATAGTTGGTTTGCTGTCATCATTTACTACAGGTGTAAATTTGACTGGATAGAGCTCTTTCAGTTTAAGTGGCTTACCACTCATAGGGCAATATACTTTACTATCTGGCTTCTTTGTTTCTTCTTTGGCTGCTTGAGGAGTTAGGGAAGGAATCCAAAAGCTTGGAAGCTTGTTTCCTTGGTCATCTATTAAAACCGAAAAAAGTAAAACTTAAAAGATGTGCTACTATTTGCTGAAAATAGACATACACAACACATGTTGATTGTGTTCCCCTTTCATATAAAAATAGACTGCTTCTGCTCTTAATTTTGTCACCAATTTCCAATAAAATTGTACTTTTTTAAATTAAAAACATTGCTAGGTAAAATTGCAAATGATCTCTTATATCTCAATTTATTCCAGTGTATATAATTGAATCATATTTAAGGATTTAATAAGACAGAGATATGTTTCCTAATTCAATTTTTTGCATGATACATTGGCAAATTCATACTTTTAATTTGGTATTCAAATGAATGTCACAATAATAATACATTGAATTGCTCATTATTTCAATAATTCAAGAATCTCACTAACTTGCTTTTTTGTCACCAGATGCTCCAGATGTTGAGCCAGAACCTTTTTCCTGTGATTTAGAGAAAGCACTGCTTTTCTTGGTCAAAATCACACTTTCAGCAGTTAAAAACTTTTCAACATCTTTCTTCTTTACAGATTGTACTTCTTCTCTCTCCCGTTCTGTAGACTTCTTTTTCTAAAATGATCACAATGAAAGCATCACTTAACTTCTGCATCTAATTGAGCTTGATTATAAATTAGTACATATTAAAACCCTTTACTTTACTTTTATTAGTTTTACCTTTTCTTTTGTTTTTGTTTAATCAGCCTTTGCTGATTATTACTGTTAAATTTCAAACCAAAATCAAGTTGTAAAATCGTCAACTGAGCACATGGCTTTGATAGCTCCTTCTTGAGTTTTTTTCATTTGTCCATTGGCCGATTTAACTTTATTTATGTTGTTTTACCTTAGCTATTTTGTAATTATCAATTATTGTAGTTAACGACTATCAACAACTTTATATAGTAAGACGTAACCTGTAATCAACTAATCTGCTGAAAAAATTTTTTGAGTTTGAGCATGAAAAATAATCTTAACTCCCATTTAATAAGTGCATCTATTGGCTAAAACATCAGGTAATCTTCATTCTAGATAGCTATCAAAGTTTACACGCAATTTTGTATTATTTGTTTGTTCAAATCAAACAAAATATCAAATGCACTTGAAATATATCCTTTTATAAAAATAATCTTTAAATAAAAAGTAATTTAATAAAACTAAATAAGTGAAACAAAAGTAAAGAGCATTTACCTGTTTCTCATACTCTCTTAGTTTTCTAGAATATTCCTGCTTTTGATGGACTATGTATTCCAAAATTGCTTCTTTGTCGTACAAAAAACCTTCTGACGTAATAACAGGCTCTCTACATGGTTGCAATGTTAGGCCACAACAATCAAAATCTTTTACCGAGTCTTTACTGAGTCTGTCAGACTGTGAGCCATATCCTGAGGACTTTGTGTCCTTCTTTTTTTCGTGATAAGAATATACTGCACTCGCTGTACAATTCTTTCCGTGCCTGGTCATTTTTTCCAATTAGATGTACTTTCATCGAAAACGCAGCTTCTCATTCAATGAGCTTTTTGTTGTTGTAAATGATAGCCTCGTTTAAGTTTACGTGAAACACTATTCGCAAGATGGCGGCGTTCAGAGTAACACGAGCTCTTGCAGGCACATGCAGCAACCTTGCACCAAATGTTCGAATGTTCAGTTTAGGTGATTATCATTTTTCAGATTAAAAAAGTTTCTAAACATTCATTAAGACATCGTAAAAACAATATGAAGAGTGTTCAAAGACCGTAGACCAGTACACAATCAACATACCATCAAGTCAATTGATGTCGTCATTCTCAATCCTACAAGCTTAGTGTAACCCTGGGAATGGGTAAATAGTTCGAATTTCCCAACAAAATTATTTTATTCAAGAGAAAGACGATAAATTACACCAACATAAACTTTTTGTATTAAAGCTGGTTGGATGAATAGGAACAGCCTGGTCGTGTCCCAGCCTAAGGTGAACAATTAAAAGAAATTAGAAATTTGTTTTTTGAAATGCTCTAATGCTAACAAAGCATAGCAGATTTTATCAGCTATTCAATGGTGCTACTAAAAATTTTGTACAACAGTGTTATGTAATAGTCTTGGAAAAAAATCATTTATTAAATGGTTTCTCAAATTTCAGGAACTTATGGAAGGGAGGTAAAAATCGCTTATAACTTGCCCTCTAATTAAACACAAATGATCAGAAAAGCACCATTTTACTTTTTTCAACAACTTACAATACATCATTTCTATGCTGGATGTACTTGAAAGCTTTAAACTCTTGAAAAAAGAAAAAAAGACACGTCTTTAAAGCTCTTAATATTTTTGAAAAAACAACCTTACCTATTTCTAGTAAGTTGCCCCCTATAAACAGAATTTGATTTGGCGGGTTTTGAAATATGCCACCATATATGGAAATCAAGAAATTTATGCTAAGAAACTGATCTATCGTAAAATATTGTCTATTTTTTTATTTTTTGTCTAAGATTTTTTGGTCTGGCCAAGTTTCTTTGGCATCAAATAAACCCTGGCTTGAATAGGCAACAACAAACTACAGGAAACAGACATTAGATACTATTAGATTCTGATTTCTAATAGCAGGAGGGTATGAACTGTCTGATGCAGACCTGTCAATTGCAGTCTTTGTCTTGAGGTGAATTGCCAAAGCCTTTATAAAAAGTCATTAGAAATACAATCAATCTCATTTCACTGTAAAAGTGAAATAAATTAGGTCATTACCTCATGGAAGTGGAAAACACTGAAGGGAATCATAACTTCACCAAGACTTTGCTTCATTTAGTAAGTTGGCTGTACTTTTTAGCTTGGTCTATGTGAAAATCTAATAATGCTATGTTTAGTTTTATATGAAGTCGTGGTAAAATCCTTAACCACACTTATGTCACATCTTTTATGATCTGGGTTACTAGAAACTAAAACTGCAACATTCAAAGATTCAAGACATTAATGTTTATCAAATTTTTAGGTTGTAAAAATCTCCAAGAATTTCAGTACATAATAACTGAAAAGGCTGGCGAAAATGGTAATGTTGGAGTTGTTAAATTGAACAGACCAAAGGCCTTGAATGCACTCTGTGATGATTTGATGAAAGATTTGGTCAAAGGTCTTGACATGTTTGAGGATGACAAATCAGTTGGCGCCATTGTCCTGACGGGGAGTGAAAGAGCTTTTGCAGGTAAGTTTTTCTGCAGATTTCCTACTGCTAAGAGTCTTTTTTGTGGGGCTTTTTGTAGCAAGGTAGTATTTTTTTCATCTGCAGTTTGTCACAAAAATGACCTCATTAGACCATTAGGGTGGTATTTGTCTGAGGGGAGGAGTGTAGTAATATAATAATGATAGTTAAACAAATATTTATAGCGGGTTTACACTTCAATGAGACTGCTGTTTTCAGTGCATGTCCTGTGAAAATTTGTTTCCTGTGTGTTCATGTCTCCCGTTTTTTATTGGTAAGGAAAATACAAACAGAAAGTTTTTCATTTGTGTTGTCATTGGTATATTTTGTTTTTTTGTGAAACTCCCCCCTTTCTGCCTGGAAATTCAGGGTACACAACTAAACACAATATCATAGGAAGCATCATAGAAACCATCTCAACATTTTTTTGAAGTAGTATTTTGCCTGAAATATTTATTGCTTTCCACTTTCCTATAGCAATATAAAAGAGATATACAATACATGACTGTGGATGTAGTTAGCTAGAATATTTTTTCACAAGGTACCAACAATGTAAGCTTGTATTTTCAAACTGTGTTATCCCCTGTGAACAATAGTATTAAAATATGTGCATAAATCATATCTAGCCTCTATTCCAGTTAGCACGTGTTGTAAGTCAGTTTTTTTTTGTATGTGCGATTATGATGAAGATAAATATATCTTGAAGTCATTTTACGTCTCAATATTTGGTTTATTACAACTGGCCTTTATTTTATTACTACACTCCTCCCATCAGTCAAATACGACCCTAATGGTCTAATAAGGTCATAAAGTACTGTCTTTAATAAAGATATTGATCAGTTTTCTATTTTTCTCAGTTAAATGTTAGAATTCTAAGAATCTTTCTTTTGCTGCAGCATTAATGTTTTGTTCTTTCTTATTAGCTGGAGCTGATATCAGAGAGATGCAGGGCCTAGACTGCTCAAGAGTTCTGTCAGGCAACTTTCTCACTCATTGGAACAGACTGGCAAACTGTAAGAAGCCCACGATTGCTGCAGTAAATGGATTTGCTGTAAGTTACAAACAGATTATAAGAATCTTGATACACATTTTTAGCATAGAGAAAGTAACTACTTTATCCTTTTTATCTTCCATCTGTAGTGTGAGCATTTATTCAATATTTTTCCTTTGATGAATTACTCTTATGCATACTTCTGTTCCACCCTCTTATGCCTTATTTGGTACTATATCATCACTTCTTTCCTTTTTTAAACTGGAAACTTTCCATTTTTGATTTAATTTAGCCATTTTGAAAAAAAAATTTGATCAGATTCTTATGAAGTGTGTTGTGCATTGGGTGATTTGTAGGAAATTTAACATCTTTCAATTCATTTCAGTTAGGTGGTGGTTGTGAGATAGCAATGATGTGTGATATCATATATGCTGGAGAGAATGCTAAATTTGGACAGCCTGAAATCTTGCTTGGAACTATTCCAGGTGAGATGTGATGTTACACAAACTAAGAGGATATCAGACCTTTTTTAATTCATACTTCAGCATGACTAAAAACATTTTTGTATGTAGGCAACAGAGGGTTTAGGATGTTGGCAATATGATTGGAAAAATCGTCTGCTAAAGTTTTAGAAGTTCAAATAAAGAAGATTAGAGCAGTAAGTTGATTCAAGTACTATCCCTAGGGAAAATGTGAAGGCCTGACACAACCATGGCAGGACTTGAATCCATGAACAGCAACTTTTTACATCACTTCTGCTACCAACTCAACTACCCGGTCATGCTTTCAAGTGCAAGCGAAAAGCTGTGACACACATTTACAGACTGCCCCCTCTGTTTCAAGTTGGGGGGGGGCACTGCAATTGTCACTTTATACGTTTGTATATGTTTTATAGCAAGTGGAAAACATTATGGTGCATCATTAAATATACTTTTGGTGCTACTAATAGGTTTTTTTTATTTATAAGTAATATCAGAACAGTGTCTCAAACCATAATGTAACAGTGAAGCATTTTGAAATGGAGTTTGTTTGGATATGGCCATATCTTCAAAACTGCCTTTTTTGCTACACCCTATCCTCGTCTGCCCTGTTTCTATGAATAACTAAGTTGCTGGAGTTTTCATGGAATAAGTCTTAAAAACCAGTTATGAAAGCAAGCAGCCCATCAAAAAGTTTTGTGAAATCTTTAATATGTTCAAAACGCAAGAGAGACATTTATTAATTCTTGATATCTCTTTAGAGACTCATGATATAAAGCATTGAAACTCTTTTCTCTTTCTGTATTGCTTGCGGTGTTGCTCTATTTTTTGACCCACGTATTACCATGTCTTCCAATGCAAGCACAACTCTATAGTTTTATAAAAACTAGGCAATCAGGCCAATCACCTAGGGAGGGGGGTGGTGGTATAGGAATAAGCCCCTTGAAAAAACAACAGAATTAGGAGATGTTAGCTAATGACGGATACAGATAACCAACACAGTAAAATCCAAAAATTACAGGGGTTTTAGAGAATCTATCAAAATTGCACAAAGAATTGATATATCTTGTTTATGGAATACTTTTTAACATAATAGCTGCTCATGTTAAACCCCTTTCACCCCATTACTTGGTAAATTTACGCCTTGCACTACCTCGTTCAAAAAGTTTCATGACCGCCCTGTATACAATACATCAAGGGACATTTCTTCTACAAAAATCTCGTACGTCTTTGATAAAATTCGTTTTGTCTTCGAGAAAAATTCTCCAAAAATCCCTAAAAATCCTATTGTTGTTAAAAAGTCGTACAGTGTTTAAGAGTGATACACCCTTCGTAATGCTTATTAATACCATTTGCTGATGTTCTGGTGAGGATAACTTCAATTGCCTTATATGTGTACTTTTTGCTAAATCTAGAACTATCAAATTTGGTGTGAAATGATTTCCTTCTAGATCTAGCACATGCCTTTAAGCAGCAACATGTAATTATATCTTTTGCTTGTTAGGTGCTGGTGGCACGCAACGTCTTGCGCGTGCAGTTGGCAAATCCAAATGCATGGAGATGGTATTAACTGGTGATAAGATATCCGCTAATGAGGCTTTGCAATTTGGTAGGCAACATCATTCGCTTTTTTTCTTACCATTAGAATAACTGTTATTGTACCCTGCTCACAGCTGCATAGATATATTTCCTTGGCAGTTATCAGAAATCAAACATTTTTCGAAACTTGGAGGAATTATAAAAGTAGTTTCATTTTATATACAAAGAAATGTAATGACAGACGTTCCCATCGAAATTTAATGGTGAAATTCACCAATTATTCCAAAAAGGGCATTCGTTCTAGTTACGTATGTCAGAGATAAAGCTTCTTCTAACAGCCCCCGAGTTGAAAGGGGCTAGAAAGGGCCTTAAAAGGGTTTCGTTATGTACGTTTTATAAAAAATTAGTTAAAAAAGACTTCAATTCTAGAATTGAGAACAATACTCTATAATTTCTAATAAAGATGTCATGTGTTTTGAAACTTGCTGCTAAAGATTTATTACTTAAAAGCATTTCTTGTTATTCACCTCCATCATAACTATATGAAATTGCTTTGTTCGAGGATAATCTTAGGAATAAGCTCAACTTTATCCAGTATACCCTGTGTGTTATATAGGCCGTGCCCATAAATCCTTCAAGATATTTGTGACTGTGACCCCGAGCAATTCATCCTAAATACCCCCCAGACTTCTTCATTTTGCTACTGCGTCTTTCTTAGTAAGCTAAAACTCAATTCCTCTACAGGTTTGGTCAGCAAAGTTTGTCCAGTTAAGGAAGTTGTCAATGAAGCTATCAAGCTGGCAACGAAAATCGCAAGTAACTCGAAGCTGATAACACAACTTTGCAAAGAAGCAGTAAACACAGGTTATTGAATATTCACTCTGTTTTACTTGTACCTACATGCAATAGGAGGAGTGATGTTTGTAGATCTAGAAAAGTATTACAAATAATGAATTTGATTTAGAGCTAAGTAAAGGAATGGTATAATAATGATAATAACGATGATTTATTCATTTATATTTGGTGTAAGTAACAGTTTTAAATAAAACAAAGAACAAAATAAAAAAACGTCAATTACAAACAGAGAACTGAAATTCTAAGAAGTGTTACTGTCTAAGAGGCCCCTTGAAACAAGAAGTTTCCTTCACCATGAAAAATGGCAGTTATGGAATGCAAAGTATTGCAAAGTAGTTTTACAGTGTTCATTATCGCGATAATTTTTGTAGGAATTGACAAACAAGGCTAGCTTTCAAGAAAACTCTAAATGAAGGCAGAACTAATTCGGAAACGGTTGATATTGACTGACACGTTACCTTGTTTCAGGTTATGAAGTGAGCTTGAGTGAAGGAATTCATTTTGAGAAGAGAATATTCCATGCCACATTTGCAACAGTAAGTGATGGTTGCTTTAACATAAGAATTGTATGTTTATTTACATATAGCACTTTCCTCTGTTGAAGTTTACCTGGGAATCCCACGAACAAATTTGCACAAACGCTGAATATTGTAGCTTTTTATTGGGTGTACCACCAGCACCCAGTTAATGTTTTATTTTGATATTTCATCTCTTTTTGCTGGCACAACAGCTTTTGCTTCCCCGTCGCCCCAAATATTTGTTGAACATAGCTACGCCTCTCATACCAGATATGAATGTTTAGCTGTTACTGTTATTACCATGGTACAGTCGTAGCATTAAACTCAAATATACATTGATTGCATATTGTTGGAAAGCAGGTACTTCCTTTCGGTACATTGGGTTATTATATATATATCATATCCCTGTGTAACAAGCCCGTTTCCTGTGAAACAAACATCGTGAGAACCGTCCTCTGTGAAACAAGCAATGTGAGGACTTTCCCTTGTGAGAAATTTGCCGACCAGAAATTTGTGAGAAATTTGCCAAAAAACCAAATGACCCGGCGATTTTTCATTTGCCCCACAGCCTTCGCAAGCTGGGACTCTTTAACTCCTGCCAGTCTTAATAACCCTATTTGGCACGACACCCAATCCTCTACAAGACGAATTTTGCTGCCCTTACCCACAGGGACGGATTTAAGTGGCAAGAAGTAGTGGGGTGGAGGGGGGGGGGGGAGTTAGAAAATGATTGGATTTTGGTGTCACACCCTTAAGGCAAAGTGGAAAATGACGGAAACGCCCATTTTTAAAGTTGATTTTTTATCTAAATGATAAAGAAGATAAAACGATAAATTAGGCAACTTGTCTGCACCATTTTTGTTACTACATATAAAAAATGAGTTTCTACAGAATATGAGCAGCACTTTTCTACGGAATATTTGTGGGGGTTCGCACCCCCTTCCCAAAAAACCCTTCCGGTAATTTTGTCCCTGATCCCCCGCGAAGAAAACGCTTGTCGGGCTTCTTACACAGGGGTCTTTTATGTTTGAATAAAAAATTACAGGGTTTTATTTACAGTTGACATTTACAGCCTCTTGTGGTTGGATTTCTCGTTTTTGGTCGCAGATTTTCCTAGATTTGTTTTTTCCCGTTAGAATGATCGACGTGAAGGAATGACCGCTTTTCTTGAAAAAAGAACTCCCGAATTCACAGATAGCTGAACTTTTGTATCTTGAGATGGACACTCAGAAGATCAGATTGCGCTGAATTTGTACGATTATGTAGAATTGGAAATGTATGTCAGAATTTGTGTTTATTTCAATTGACTTTGTCTTTAGTAAATGTGTCTTTTCTACAGCCAAAGCAACACTTTGTTCTTCTATTAAAGCCGAATTCAAGATAACAGAACCAATCTTGTGTCATCTAGATAACTGAGACACGCAAATTCCGATCAGGCTCAAATCATAGATAATGCCTTCTAAATTCAACGTATTGTCTCACACAAACCCCTTTCTCTGAATGTAGTAACGCTTTCACAGTTGAGTCCTCCTTGAAGTTCTTTATTTCTTAGTTTTTCTTCTGTTCCGTCCCGTTCCATTCCTTATTACTCACTTCCTCCATTTTATTTGCCTTTATTTTTTTGTCCTATATGTTTTCCGTGGAAAGTTTTTCAAGCTCCAGTAACTTTGACAAACGTGGCTAAGGCAATAATTGTTTTCTAACTACATGTCCCTGTTAGGACGTAAGAGGGTATGCCACACAATAAAACACAATACTAATTTAACTGACAATTCATTCTCTACAATTCTAAAAAGCGGAGGAAAATTACCTCCAATTATTAAGGTTAAACAGATTTAAATGAAAATTGATTTCCACCCAAAGAAGGAGCAAACCCCAATGGCAAATTAGCTACAAATGTTTCTTTTATACATTCAAAGATTCAAAACTGAAATAAGAATATTTCCTTAAGTAACAATCACACTTCAAAATATGCTTGACAATGAAAATACAAGAAATAATAAAATAAACTGCAAATAAATTTAGCATATCTTGTAGCAGAAGAATTGTAAGATTAACAGTGTATAAAGATGTGGTTGTAAATCATTTAATTGCAATTTAATTTAAGAATGAACTGTTACTGGGGCCATACATGTAAATGCACATTAAGCAAGTTTCATAACCATGCTATGTCAGCAAATAGAGAACGAGAGGTCAGTCTGGCTGAGAGCTTTTCTGGGGCCTGAGAAAAAATTTGGCCTGTGGTGGCGTTATTAAAAATGCGAGTGCTATTGTTGTTGTTATTGTAAGGATCTTTGCTAACTTTTCAGGACCCCTCTCAATGGGCTTCAGGAGGTGTTGTGCGTAAATCCATAAAAGAGGGGAAGGAGGCAAGCAAGTTAAGATGGTAGTAGCTATTGAAAGTTATGGATGAAAGAGATGCAGAAGGTTTATAGCTGGAAGCAAGATAAAATAGAGTTCTTCAATTTATCTTGCTGGAAGGGATTGTGTTTATTTGTGGGGTGGGCGTTAAATACGGCAAAAAGTTTCTGTTTATATAAAGGATCAGCAATCTTTTTTTCTGTGCATAAATGTAGATTGCCCCAACCAATAATAAAATCAAAGAAGCCTGGGATTCCAGATTTTATAATGTTGAAAAACTGGAATTGAAAGAATCAGTTCTTAACCAAAACTGAAGATGTATGGGATCACTTTGGGCAAGCCTAGGATTCCAGATTTTATAGTGGTGAAGAACTTGAATTGTAAGAATCAGTTCTTAACCAAAACTGAAGATGTACGGAATCACTTTAGGTTGTACTCATTTCATTAGATCTTTGATTAAGATATGATGCTGTCTTCAATCCTTTCTAATAGACAGTTATCTGCCATCCAGTGTGTTCAAAACTGGCGGCAAATGCAAGTTCATTGTCTACGTGGCCAGCAAGCCAATCAAATGTAACCTCTTTGTCTTCGTTTGATATTGAAACCCTCAGCTTTTCCTGACTAACTCTGGTCGTTTGAAACGAGAGCACAGAGCCTCGCTTTAAATTCGGTAACATCATTACCATGACAGTCCCGTTTACGTAAATCGCTCCTTTTGTGTTGACAACAATCGATTCTGGTGAAAAAATGAGCAATTCTCCTGAGTCTTTATCAAATCGTTTTGTGACCAGTGCAATCCCATCCTTGCTACTCCTTTCGCCAACTTCATCCATCTAAAAGGCAAAGACATATTTTTCCAGAACCAAATTAAACAGCTTCTTCCAGAAGTGTGCACCCATCAGATTTTAGGCCCACAAAGTCAATCATTAAACAGGAATCTAAATTTGATGCCAGATGCGAGCATTTGGTGCAAGGTTAAGAATGATAGCGTATCTAGAGATTATGTAAGGTGAAAGCGTACAGATAGGATAAGAAGGTAAAATATAAAATAATAAATAGCTATATTAGGAAGGATTCGAGAATTGTTTGTTAAGACAAAAAAGTAGTCCTATCCCTAATGGTCTCAACAAACAATTTTTGTCAACTAAAGTAAAGGAAGAAGATTTCTAGAAATAAGAAACTAGTCTTCTTCTGTGAACTTACTTTGAAGTTGATTGCATGTCCCAATCTGCAGGTTGTGCCCAGTGACCTCAGAATTTTACAGCTTTCTGGGAAAACTTTTGTTGCTGTGCGATTGTTGTTGCCAAGCTCATATGCAGGCAAACTTCCTTCATTTGCACAGTCTTCTAAATTCCACTCTGTGAATAAAAATAAAAATTGTATCAGTTTGAAGAATTATAAATTTGATTTTACACCAACTTTGATAATGAAAAGAAGGTCTAAATAAACACATTTTTAGAAATGATCTGGAGCTTTATTTTCTGAGTAATAACAAGTGGAGTAATAAAAGGGGAAAATTGAATCAGGACCTGTTTTCTTCCTCTTGCTCCTACAATGTTGATTATCTTACATTAGATGCTAAAACAGCTTTTGCTAGTAAATTTTCTACAAGCATCTACAGAAAATCAAAATTAATCCCCATTTTGGTGAGGGAGGGGAAATCAGTTTTCTTTGAATCTTGGAAAAATCTCATAAAGAACCGTAGCTTCTCAACTAATGAAATCTTTGGATGAACATAAAGGAAAGAAGCTTATCACTTAGAACTGCAAAATAGGTTGATATTACAGTTTATTTCTGTCTAAAGCCATGACAGATTAAACAAAAACGTTACAACATTGTATACCATGGGGTGGAAGTGTTGTCCATCCTTTCTTTATTAGACTCCAAGGTCCAAATTCTTCTCCAAGTTTTTTACAAACACGAAAATAAAAACAACTATGAGCATCAATATCAGTCAAAAAGTACTGCATTTCTTCTCCTGTGTACAAGGTATTGAAAATCAGTGATGATTCATCATGATCGCTATGATTCGGTTTCTTTGATGCACATGATGCACATTGCAGTATGTAGTCTGTGACAACACTGTTATCTGTATCCACTGATTCAGAATCAGTTGAATGCTAACAAAGAGAACAAAGAAATTATCAAGTAATATTTAACTTACTATTTACATCATCAACATACATACTTCTACATTTTAACATTACGCACTGGCAACATTTGAGTCATTATTTAAATTAAAGTTGTGAATGTTGACAGACAGTGAGATTGGAAAACTCTAAGGGAACTGGGGATTAATTTTGTATGTCTCTGCTTACTACAAATAATATGACAATTAACCTTGTTGGTTGAAAACCAATGACAACTACAGATTAGTGACACGGTTTTAATAATGGCTAATTGTTATGATTATCAGATATATGATCTGATAGATTGATGAAAATAAAAGAAATCTACACTTAAACAAGAAACACAGCAACTTAAACAAGTCTAAGCATAACATGGAATTTCCAATAATGGTTGATAATGACACTAAAAAATGAGAAGGTACACACTGTAAAATTAAATTTTTTGAAATACCTCATCCCATCTTATAAGAATACCACCAGGCATTTCAACGCATTCTGTGATTTGCAGTCCCCCAATTACATCCACAGCGATGCAGCCCCGTAAATTTTCAATTGAAGACTTGGCTTTCGACTCATCAAAACCAACAACTATTGATAGTGAAGCACAAGGCATATCTGGACTGCTAAAGACAGAAAAATAAACTTGAAGTGACATTTACATCATTCTAGATTGAAATTATAGGTTGATCTGATTCATGTATTCTTGTTTCTTTCCCCTTGAATGCTTAATTGAAAGCCCTGAGACTTTAAAGGCACAGCATTATACATTATGGCAACTGTGCCTTCCCTTGCAAACATTTGCCACAGAACTATTAACTGCCTAGGCCTTGCTTGTATTTGCTAAACCTACCACTGTAGAGAACGGGATCCACATCAAAACCAGAATCTCCACTTTATAACCTGAACCAAAATATGATGTATACGCTTACAAGCCGTATATACGGTATATACCTACTTCTATACCATACTTTTTTGTTTGGATCAATCACAAAACTGCGTTTAAGCTTTTTAGTTGCAGCTATTTCGGCAAATATTTTCACGGCTTAATGGGCTGTCAACATCGGTTTCCGGCATTAAATAGGCACACAATTAAAAAGCTTAAATGCGGCTTTGTGAGTAGTCAAAACCAAAAACACTTCTGCCACTAACATGTTTGATAGAATACCTTCAGGCCAGACCTATATGGTATCATAGCTTGATGCAAAAATATGTTTTATAGAGTCAAAGTCATGAAAGATTTTAATACTTAACTTAAAATAAAAAAAATTTTTAATTCATTAAATCACAATGCAAAGAAAACTGCTACTTGCATACCTTTTACCTGTCTTTTCAAGAGCAGAGGCTATCTCTTTACACACAGATGCAGACTCATCCAGACTATCTTCACTTTCTCCATTTTCAAAAACCTGACTGTTCTTGTTTATCTCAGCATTGCCTGTGAATAACAGTTGGTAAATGTAAGATTTCTTGGAAGTTTACAAAACTGCTTCAAATTGTATTAGAGTTATAATCATATAGAGATAAATATCAATCAAACAAAGTACACCAATTGAAATCTTTTTTACAGAGTACATCGCCAATTAAAATGTATTTACTCCAAAGGAGTTCTACCGGTCTCGTTTTCCCTTATTTGGCCCATTAGTAACTAAACAAGAACATAATATACTAAAGGAAATCCCCATACCTTTGTTGGTGAGTTCTTGAAGGTGAGATAGTTCAGTATTTAGCTGATCTTCTAAATTCTTAAGCAAATCCATGTCCTCTTTTTTTGACTTTTCAATAACATCAACAAGAGAATGGTAGCGGTCATCCAATGCTCTTACTACCTCCATTTTTATCCTTTCATAATTTAAATCCAAGGCAAGGCGAGCACTTGAACAGCTTTCCTTCACAGCTTTCAGTGACTTGTTAACTTCTGTTACTTTGTTTCTGTAAAGAATATCAATTAAAGTGTATTACATATCTTAAAGAAGAATTATTGGGGTATCAATTAAGTATATACAACCACAAGTCATGATATCATGGCCCCACTTTGCCTCTTTAACCACAGGCCCAGCTGTAAGTCACAAACCCCAAAATTACTTTTCATTACACCTCCAGCCACACCCAGTATAAGGATACCTAGCATATATTTTCTTTCTTTCTCTCCATGTGCCATATTCTTTACCAAAGTCAGCAATGAAAAGCAGAAAGGCATGGAAAAATTAACAAAGGGCAAAGGATGCAAATTTGAACTAAACAAAGAGGAATAAATTGGTAAAAAGAAGCACAAAAAGACTGCCATTAAAATTACTAGTCTGCCAGGATTTCCCTTCTTTATAGAAATATTTTATTTGGTTTATGGTCTAAAGATCAATTCAATATTTTAGAAAAATTTTTAAATACCCTAGATAAGAAGTTCTGTTTTCACATCTCTCCACAAGAATTTGTAAGTCCTCCATTTTCTCATAACCGTCAGATCCCTGAAATAAAATTAAACAGATGGTCTAATAACTCATTTATAAAAATATTTCATACATAACAAACAATAATATAAATATAAGATACAATAAAACAAAAAATTTTACAGGATAAAACATTTTAAAACTACAACTGCTGTCAAATGTTTGTCCTATAATGGAATTGTTTGACACCCCTCCCCCTGGTTGTGCATCAGCTGAAAACTGGAACCCAATCCCCTAAAATAACATCTAAATACATAGCTCCCAACATATACCTTTGTGCATATGGCAAGTCAGCTTTTGAGCTAACAGTCTACTACTGTGGGCTTAAATATATTTAAAGCTATAATTTATCATTTTAATTGCCTTGCAGCTCACTGTGCCATCTTTTTCACAACAACGTTAATGTATGGTCATAAATTCTACACTCAGAAAAGATGATGCTACTTTTCTACACCATTGACAGATCTTTCAGCAGTCAGTGACAGAATGCCAATATTAACTGGGCAATATATTCATATAAATTTCCATAAGTCCAAAAAAAACAGGCCTGATCAAAATGCTTACGTGAATGATTTGCTGTAAACTAAGCTTGGCACCTACCTGACAAAATCAAACCAATTCTCCCAGAAACTGGATTTTCAGAAGCTGGTATTTCGGCCTATTTTATGAATATTAAATTGCTAATTTCTCAACTGGAAAAGGTTAGACCCAAGAGGTGTCCTGTTTTTTTTTAAAAAAATACAGTTTTTACAGTCAAAATTTAAAATTAGATAAAACGGGGCATAAAACTTTTGAGCTGCAGCATCTAACTACCCACTTAAACAAACAGTTGGTGCTTACAATCTTTATTATGCTTTTGTAAGTTTGACATGTGTTGTTGGGGGAGTCTTTACCATTGCTGATTTCACATGATCATAGAAGGAAATAATGTATATATTTCTGATATTTTTATGGTGTAAGTTTCAAATTTTGCAAGAAGAAACTAGTAAAGTCACAAAGAAAAACATGCATACAAATTCCTCTCCTCTGTATTTTTTAAATATTACAGGAGCTCTTTTTGGAGAATGGATTTCAACTTTTGTAGTGCCAATCGTAATGCCAACCATTACTTGAATGAGAAAAAATGCAATGGCGTAAAAAGTACAATTAGCCTAATTATGCCACAGATCTGTGGCTTGATGTATGCCCATTCCATTAAGGCCTAGGGGAAATTTGACAACCTGGGCAGTTTTGTCCGGGAAGTCATTGTTTTGGATTTAAACTGTATTTTCCAGATTTAGAATTAATAAAGCCAGTTTCAAGGCGTGCCCTCCATTATACAGTGTCTGCCTCTTGCTGGTCATGCCATCCCAATGAGCATAAACTTCTGAATACAAGTCTAATGTATATTTCAACTACTTTCATTTACACTTTCAAATGATAAATTGAACAACAGACAATAAATGATTTTAAGATTATTTTGTGTTTTCCGGAAACTATATGGTGTGTAGCTTCTGCTCAAATAAAGAAGACGTATTCAGGGCTTTGGTAAGAAAAGAAATCTTTCATTTCACTAAAGTAAGGTAGTACTCTACAAAATAGAAACCATGGACAATAACAAAGTGCTTGTAATTGTAAATTTGCAATCACAATCACAAGGGTCCCAAACTGGAAACTTTGTTTCTTGCGCGGACAAATTTCCCTTGAAAATTTGAGACTGAAGTCATACATTCTTAGCCATTTTTACAATCAATAATGGTACATGTCATGTCATTATCTAGGGATTTTGCGGGGCCAGTCATAATATATCGTTTATTTTGGAGTGATGGCTTGTCGCTTATCAAAAATCAAATCTTTAAAGCATGACTCAGAAAGAACGATCTTAGAAGGTTTATTGTTTTCATAAACAATTGGGACTAAACCATATGTCTTGCAACTCTCAAATCAATTTTAAAGTTTCTCATTTGATGGATTTCATAAAATGACATGTCCTATCTTGTCTAATGATGAGCAAAATTTATTTTATTAAAATCATATAATTACAAACTAAGCGCGTACGTTTGTCTTATTTCTACCATTCTGACATGAAATCAATTTTCCCACCTGTGATTAGTAATAGGTTTTCAAAATGTGTTTCCGGCAGCCATCTTGCTCGAAACTAAACAATGCAGTCTTTTGCTCTTTACCTCGTTTGGATCAAATGACCTTTTAGCCTCTTAGCCACTGATCTCAAAAAAGACTTCTTTTTGTTGCAGGAGCGTTGTCGCTCTCTAGCACAGGGGAGGTTTTGCCGATCCCATTTGCTGACAAAAATGGGTGATCCATCCTTTAGTTGCCGACGAACCACCGCTAAATGGTAAAAAGCTTCTCGCTTTTATAATGAAAATTTTTCCAAGGGGTTGTCACATCTTCCTCCGTAGCAACAGCCCTGAGTTTTCTATCTGGTAACCAGGATATTATACATACTTTATAACTGCCCCATAGTACCTCATTTGTATTTTTTTCATTTCTTGGTCCCTACCAAATGCTTAATGTCAACATAATTGTTTTGTGGAACCTTTAAAATGGATCCAGTGAAGGATGTGGTATTGGCACAATTATATGGCAGCTGAATTCTCACTCATAATCACCCCATTCTCACTTTAATATGCAGTCACAAAAGAAATTTAGAACAAAATACGCAAGATTGTTAAATCAAGCTCCATTTACAATCACATTCTGCTTACTGTCACAGCTTTACAAGTAACTTTGGTGTGATAATGACTCGTCTACACTATCTATAATATTAAGTACAGTGCTCTTTTTCAGCCGAGGATCCAGTGACTAGATTTATTTCACTCTCTCAACCAAATCAGTTCCCTATCAAGGGTACAGTGCTAGAGGGGGCTCTACATGTTGCATTTAGCAAGAGTCAGAAATGCTTCAGGAACTAAAGGCCCCTTGGATCGTCCCATTTTTAGTCAAGTAATCCCTGGCTTACTTTTCAATGCAAATAATCCATTAAATCATGCAGTTTTCAAATACTATGTACCAACAACAGACAAAATTTCATATGTCCAGAAAGAGGAACAAGAAAAAAGCAACCAAAAATTTGATTTTGCAACTAAAAAACCAGAAAATCTATGCTTTGCATTAATACATGAAAAGCTATTTATTAATATATCAGAAGAAAAATCCAATAAACAGTGATTTTTACAATGCTGGCATTAGCAGGCTAGTGGAACATGGGTTTAAGAAATGAATGCTTGTATTTAAAAATACCTCAAAACTATTATTCTTGACAGTCAAAGAATTACTACTGATGGCATTTCATAACATTTGGGCCTCGGCAGTGTTTCCAGGGATGTTTTTCACAGAATATTTATAAAAAGCAAGACTAACAAATAAACTGATATCAGTTTGTCCAATCTGCATTTCAAGTCAGATTGTTGATATGACATAAGTTGACTCAACTGAAGATATAATGAGGTGGTGATTACTTAGAAAGGAAATGTCATATTAATCAGTATTTTACAAACATAAAATAAGACTGGTGTAAAATTCAATCATGGGGCTCCTGACTGATTATGCATCAACTGCATACTTATGGGTTGCCATGAGAAGTCCATTCATTACACAAGTTTCATTTACAAAATGCTGCATTTTGATTTCTTCTTGACAACTTTCTTTGGGCAGAGTACAGCTCTAATGGCCTCATCGAAAACTTGCTTCAATCCCTTCTGTGTCAAAGCAGAACATTCTAAGTACTTCACAGCATTAATTTCTTTTGCCATTTGTAAACCTACGGCTCCAGTAACTGGAGCTAGCTTCTTTTCCTTCAGTTTATCAATGGTTTCCTTGTCCTCTCTCAAATCCAGTTTGGTGCCAACCAGTATTATTGGTGTTTGTGGACAATGGTGACTTACTTCTGGGAACCACTATGTTGAAAAAAGCAAAAAAATGTATATACTTCAAATATGTCCATGAATAGGGTGAAAGGTTTCAATTCTTTTGTACCCCCTACGTCTAAATACAGAATATTGACACACAAATACACATTACTGACAAACAAAGGTCTAGTGTTTCTTCTCATTGAATTCTTATAACTGGTCATCAACAAAGAGAGAAATAAGACAGTAAATTTGGTTTAAAAGCTAGTTTGAACATATAGATTTAAGAGACAAACTTGATATGTTTAGAAATTGGTAAGCAACATTGTCACAACTTACCTTAGCTCGCACATTTTCATAGGAAGCTGGACTCGTGAGTGAAAAACAGATCAAGAATACATCCTGGGGCACAAAGAGAAATATTAAATGCCAAAATAAATATCACCATAAAAAATATTGTAAAATTAATTACAAATACTGTAAGAATTATTATAGAATTTCAATGGCAATTGGAAATTGAGCACTCCAGTGTTTTTTGCAGACAAGGCACATTTAGCTTAATCCATCTACATTTAGCTTATGTAGGATGTTGTTGTGGGAGGATGCCAGCCACCCACACAAAATAAAAGCAGCCAGTTACAATGAAAAAAGAACAGCTACAAAGATAATTTTTGAGTAGTACCGTTTGTGGATATGACAATGGCCTTAGTCTGTCATAATCTTCTTGTCCTGAAATTGAAAAAAACAATTATTACATATTTATATATATCTATCTTTGACAGAACCATTGGCTATTAAAGATGATTTCAAACATAATAATAGAAAAATAGAAAATAGAAATTATGACATGAAAATCATTATGACAAACCATTCAAAGCAGCATAATAATTTGACTATATACCTGTGATAATGTATTATATATATCATATTAATAATTGTTTCAAAATTTGTGCAAAAAACTGATTTGCTTTTCTACAAAAATTTTAGCATCAGATCTTGCTGTAATTTGAATGTTTCTTAGAAATAAGATCAAAAAAATGCATAATATATATATATATACATAAAAATGAAATTCAACTGAAAACATAAACAAAATATTTACCTGCTGTATCCCACAAACCTAAGTTGATAGGTTTTCCATCTACCATAACATTGGCAGAGTAGTTATCAAAGCTGTTGAAAAGATCATGTACATTTAGCCTTAACTGATTAGAAAAAGTTCTAAACATTTCATGTACAATATGCAAATGGTTGACGAGCAGCCAATGCAAATTTTCTTGAAATAAATTTTTAAACAACTCCAAGAAAGCAGTTATGGCTTGCTGTTTGGAACACAACACAATGTTTCTAAATTTCTCTAAGTTTTGGGTCTGTTATTAGAAGTCTGTCTATAAGATTGATTACTACAGAAAAGTAGAGTTAACAGTTAGTTTCCTTGTGGTTAGCTTTATTATGCCGCGTTTTGCCTATTAACAGTGAAGCCTCAATTCCAGTAAGCTATCCTTAATATTAAAAAGTTTTTGAGAACAAAATTCCGAAGAAATATTCAGCAATTTGGTTATAAAATATTCATTTAAAAACACATTTTTAACCTGTCATAATATATTAGGGAAGATAAAGCAATGTTCCCATGCCAGGGCAAAGCTTTTCAAAACTGAATAAGTCCAAATAAATCAACTAATACAGAAAAGTTGTTCAGGTTTAAATTTTGATTAAAAATAGCTAAATTAAGTTCTTAATACTCACACTGTAGGAATATATTCGCCGGGGAAAGCATTTGTGGTGTAACTGATCAAAAGACATGTCTTACCTACAGCACTACAAAAGAATATAATTGACATTTAAAATAGGAAAAGGAAAGTCAAATGTAAAAATATTTAGAGTTATTTTTTACAACTCTTCCCCTAAAAACTAACCTTAATTATTTCATGGTGTACAGTATCCATATTTGATCATAAAGCCAAACCTAGCCAAACACTTAAAGTGGTCTTTGTCAACGCTAAAAATTCAAATACATTTTAATATCCAAGGCTCGACAAAGTAATATGTTGCGTTGTATTACATTCTTCTAAATTTGATTTGGATTTTGATCTAATTCTGCCATGGATGAATGTTGACAAGCGAATTTTGGACATCAGATGAGAGAAGGACGTTGGGTCCCACCTTACAATGGACAACCCTTCGTGGGAAAAACAATTTCAAGTCACGATTATCATAACCTACAGCAAAAACGTATTAAGAAGTTAGAGATTTGTAATAAATGAAACATTAGCAGCCGTTCCAAGTTGATAACTCAGGAAATAGCTTACAAAAAATGCCGAGCGAGAGCCTAAAGCATACGGAAGTCAAGTGTTGGGCCTAACTTACCCATCACCAACAACGACACATTTGATTGCCTGCATCTTGAAAATTTCACTTGTTTATAGTCGAATTCTTTAAACCCGGTGTATATATCTTTTACCAGACGTCAATTCCAAGTGATATTAGTCAAGGAGGTTCGCCGACTTGGGCTTACTCTCAGCCGTGTTCAACTTCCAACTTCGACAACGGGCACTTATAGCAAAAGGGACGTTCTGTACTGTATAAATTTAAGGTGACTCCACCCGCATTATATATATACCCCCAGCGAAGGTCTATAATCGACTAACATGGCGCATATAGAAGTCATAATATTCGGCCCAGATCCCATTTAAAACTACAAAATGCCCACAAAGCATGGTTGTGATGTTATTTCACAATGTTGTGACGGCAGAATGCAGCAGAATTGGTAAATTTGATCAGGTAAATGTAGAGTAAGTAAATAAAGATAGTCAGCTCATCGTCAAGCAGCAAGGCCGTCGTGGCGAATGAATAAAGCTAGAAGGGGGGAGGGGGGCAGAAAGAAAAATTTTGCGACAAGATTTTTTTGTCTTATTTTAATATAATTAAAACATTTCTGCAAGGGGGACAGAAAAATGTAAGTGCAAGGGGGACAGAAAAATTAATGATTTCTGCCTTAACTGGAAAGGAATTTGAAATGCACATTTCTCTGGTCTCTGTTTGTTCACAGTAGGTATATTGTAACGACACAGGATTCCCTTACGGACAGTATCATGTGACAATTGCACCATTGCGATGTGATTGTATCAACGTCTGTTAATATGTTTTTTGTATTACGTAATTATTATTTTAAGGTTTGCTTAGGGTATATAAAGGGTTGTTTCATAAGTTAGGAGTAGTCTTGTCGAAAGTTTTGCCTTATTGCTAGGAGCTCTGTCGCTCGTTTTGACGTGCCTGTTGAAGCCGTGTCGTTATTTGTCGAACTTGTTGTTAGCCGTTAGTCGTACCATTGCCATAAAAACTAGAGTTTTGATTTTATCCGCCGTTAATGTATTTTTGAGCATTTCTGCCTACAAAGAACTCATGTTTGTAAAACCCAACACCACGCAACCCTACAGATCGGTAGATCAGGACAAGGGTAGAATAAAGTTATGGTTGCCGCCGAAGGGAAACATTTTTATAATCTATATGCTTCAAGTTCGCCGGAAATTGTATTCTTTTGAGCGAATTTCAATAATAAAATTTTATTCTTGAAACGAATTAATTTATTTCTTATCAGGGTGTTAAATTCAGAAATTCTCTTCCTCTTGATTTGCGTAATAGAAAAAATAAACAAACGTTTAATAAGCACCTAAATATATCTCAAACAAATTAATAGATCTTATGATCGATTTTTGAAATGCACTCCCCTTTTCTTTCGTTCTCTATTTTCTTTTCTTTTTTTTTCATTTTTTATTTTTACTTTCTTCAAGTTGTTTCCTTTTTTATCTATTCTTACTGTTTTTGTTATTGACACAACTTCATATATATGTTTTTCCTTGAATCTGTTTCTTTAAATATATACAATGTAACCTGCAGAAACACAAAAGGGCGCGTAGCTCGAAAGCTCCTCTGAGTTATTTCTACGTGTCCTTCAGTATTTCATTTTTCCTTGCAGACAATTTCATGTAAAATATGCTTTTTAAATCTTTTAATCGTTTATGTTAGAACTATCGTATCATTTGTAATTATTTAAAATATACTGATAATGAAATGTTGAAGTTGAAGTTGAAGTTGGACAAAGTTTTCAAATCTGGCGATAGGCACAAAATTGGCACTATTATAATTTATGACCAATATTGATCAATTTCCACAACCAAATTTGGCCCTTGAAGATTCAGATTTTATGTGACAAAATCCGAGCAGCTCTATGGTAGAAATCGGTAAATCCTGAGAAATCGTTTTGTTTCTTTTGAAATCTAGTATTTACTTTACAAAATAATGCTGCTGAAAATATTCTAGTCCCAGTAATTTATGTCGCCTAAAGGCTCGTTTCACTTCTCCGTTTTATCCACAGCTTGAGTTCTAGAATATTCCAAAATAGAACTGAACTGATTTTTACGAAAATTCATGAAATTTTTTAAAACAAAGGGGGCCACGACGCCCCTGTCAAGCAGTAGTGTAACCACAATTTTCATTTCAGGGGACCACAGTGCTTTGTTGATTGTTTTAAGCCTTATATGCAGCCTAAAAAGTTAACGAAAGTTATTTTCATTTAGAGAAGGTATTGGCTCAATGTTTTACAATTCTAATTTCTATAGCATAAAAGCATACAGAAAATATGGAAGTATCAGCCTAAAAAAGCAAGGACCCTGGCAATAACATGCCAGCATACAATATATTTATAAAAAAACAAACTTCTTTGGAAATCTAGAAAAAGAAAAAAATACATTTCATTATAAAAATTTGGAGATTGTATTTAGCTTTTGATTTCTTACTGGAAAGGTCAGTAGCAAAGACTGAATGAAATTGGTAGCCTATGCTCCAGACCCCTAACCTCAAGTTCCATGACTCCCATTTCATTCGCGATGCTCAGCTGATATATGAACAAAGTTTATCATCAGCGTTGAAGGTTCGGACAAAACTTAGTGTTCGGCTAAAAAAGTGAAAAAGATGAGGAGCGTTGTGGCTCTTAAAAAGATGCCAGGAGAAAATGATCATAAGGGGCCCGCTCTCTTGTATGACATCTCCAATCACAAACCACAGATCGCCAAAAATCATATTTTGATGGAAACAATGCACCTGTGAAAAATTTAAAAGTTACCAGTTTTTATCATTGTTAAAAGATATATTTGAAAGGGGTGCATCTCTTTTCCCTCACCATAGTCTCTTCAAGACAAAATGTGGAACAAATCTATTGCTGCACTGCAGTGCACACTTAACACCAACTCGAACGAGAGAAAGAATCTAGGTGTAATGCTAGCGAAGCGAGCAGAAAATTTTGCAGCCACGTAGGTAAACACATTTCAGAAAGTTTCTTTCGTTAAAATTCTTTGCATTATCGCATTTCGTTAAATTTCAGTTCTTAAAATGGATCTTATTTTAAGTGGCCCCCTAGATCTCGAGGCCCTAGGGCATTTTGCCCCTCCTTGTCCTCCTCTCGGCGGCCCTGCCCATATTCGATGCATCTCCTTCACGTGGCCCTGTTTATATAAGTCCCTATTTCTAAACTATGAACTTGAGCTAACATGAAGTTGAGATTCCTTACCCCGGGTGCCAGAGTCTTTATTATTTGGTCTCAGAAAAATAGCTCAAAACTAGTCACTGAAATATTTTTTGACCAAAGAGCAGCTGCACCCGTCTACAATACTTTATCCCCGGATTCATAAGGCACTAGAACCCAGGGTAAGGGTAAAAATACCGAAGAGCAGTCTATTCGTAGTTGGCAAATGATGAAAAGCAGCAGCAGATCAAACAGATTTATTGTAGCTAGTCATCAAGAACTTGAACCAAAGTTGGTTTGTCCACTCGATATTCAACGGATCGAGCAAACAGGTTCAAAGTAAAATGGAATTGTGATGTGATTCACGGGCAGAGCGTTGAGAAAAGTGGGGGGTCTAAAAAAAGTGGGCGGGGGGGGCTAAAACCTTATGAAAAGAGGCTTTACTGGTAGTTGAGTACTAAATATTTGGCATTTTTTGCAAAAAGTGGGAGGGCTAAAGCCCCCCCAGCCCCCCTGATTCATGAACAACATCAAACCATCAAAATATAACTTCCCTTATTCTCAGGGACCGCGCCCAACCCAAAAATTGGAGGGGCTAAAATGGGTGTGACCGAAATTTTTTGAGGTCACGCCCTCTATAACGCCGGGAAACGCCCCTTTTAGAAAATGCTTGTATATTTCTATTGAATTTTTTAAAGAGTCTGGTTCAGAGAAGATATCAAAAATCATAAAAATAGAAATAGTTAGCTCGAGGGTAATTAAATACCAAGCTAACCAAGTTAGAAAATACATCATATCATTAGACAAGATGAAACACCTAGAAAAAGAACAAAAATGGTTCCCAGTCAATGAAAACTGCTACTACATAGGAGTAAACTATCCAAAGTTGCGTTAGAGTAAACCTTCAAACAAATTTCTAGCCTATTAGGCAAAAAAATGGGGGGGGGGGTGGAGGGCTATAGCTCCTGCTAATCTAATGGCTGCGCGGTGCCTGCTTATTCTACTGCGATTTTTTCGCTTCGAATCTCTTTTTCTTGTAAAGTAAGTTTAACCTGGCATCTATAATATAAGTCGAATGTTTAACGTGACAAAAATTAATGGAATCCGTCGATCCTCCAGAGTGCTAGCGTTACCAGGGAGGAAAGATTGGAGGAGGGCAAGGGTGATCCGAATTCCCAGCAGGCCTCGCTAGCGGGGTTCCGGTAATTTTTTCAGACCATGCCTTCAGATTGCTGGAAGACGTCAGTTTTCTAAAACGTATCTTAAGTGTGCGGCTAGCCATTTTCATTCAACAATTGAATATTTAATTCACCATTATCTCAGGTTTTATATTCTAAATCTTTTCAAGCGAGAAAGTTCTATTATTCTAGGTCAGGGCCTAAAATAAGAAAGTTTTACGAATCCACATTTTTTATAAAAATTGGGCGTGGTACTTTGCTGGGATTGGCATCATGGGGGTGGCAAATGTAGAAACTGTCATCATAGTGCAAATAGCATGTCCTAATTGGGCAAATTCTTTAAATAAATGAAGTATAAGTAGCAAAAGCTGATTCTTTACAATATATGGATTGGGTTAATGAGAAAATTAGCTACATATAGCTATGTCTTAATATGTGAGAAAAAGTTTATCGAAAGGAAACTCTTTTACATGGTTTGTTCGGATCTCTGTAAAAGTTATTTTTTATTTCCTTTCACCTTCAAAAACTTCATTATCAGCCTTGCTTACCGGACTTTGGTGTTTTTTGGTTTTTGGGAGCCATATCTTTGCAGCTTTTCTCGGAACTCGATACTTGCGAGATCAAGCATACTCATTGCAATATTTATCTATTTGTTAAGTTTTTCTGGAGCTATGCTGCTTTCCCCACCTGCCTCTATCTTGTTGTAGATGGGAATCAGCATCTCTACATCGATAGGATTAGGGTTTGCTGCGAGAATCCGAGCTTCGTTTATCTCGTCTGGTAGAATTCCACTGAGAACAAGTCTCAGATCTCTGCGATCTTAGTCGTTTATTTCTCAAAATTTAATGGATGATTGAATGAAATATTTTGTCCGGGACAAAAGCTGGGTGAAGCTTTCTAAAGTCTCTTTTACTTATGGAAAGTTCTTAACTGCATTCAGCTCATCAAATCCTTTGCCATCAAATCTGTTCTTCAAAAAGTTTTGATACTATAAACGAATACTTCGTTACAGATGGCAAATAAACTCTTCTCTCACCGATGTACAAATTGTGCTTGTTTCTTCTTATTCTCTTGTCGCCCAGCTTGAAAGCATAACCTTTACCCCCATCTTGTTTGTAATGCAGAAGCCACGCACCAGCACCAGATCTCAATTTTGGAAATACGCCAAATTTGTCATAAGATTGTGCTAGATAAGCAAAAATTATGCTATATTTCAAATCAAGGCAACCCTGCTCGAGAAAGAGGCTAATGCATGCTCAGAATATCAAAAGTGGCCAGAGTTGCAATTTGGTCTTTTTGATAACCCAGTGTATTCATTCTTCATAAACAAAAAGGCAATTTAGATTCATGGTTTGATGGCCAAATTTCTCCATTTTGGCAGTTTGGCTGAATTCTGGCCGTATGTTTCAAAAAACAACGAAAATGCAAAGGAAACAAAAATTTTTGCACAGATAATATTCAAAACTTTTTAAAATAATTTCAAAATTGCAAATGATGAATGATGAAACAAAGTAAAAGATAACAGACGGTTTTAGATAAAAGCAAATGAAAACTTTTGTAACCTACATAGCAAATTTTGATTACGATATCACTCCTAATAATTAGAAAAAATAGCTTTTTTGTATACTGCGTTTAGCTGGCTGCATTTGGCTGCCAACCACAAAATATGTGGCTGCCAACCACAAAATATGTGGCTGCCAACCACAAAATATGTGGCTGCCAACCACAAAATATGTGGCTGCCAACCATTCAAAATAACTGACAAAATCCTGAAGGTGGAAAGTCACAATTTACTCCTAATGAAACCACAGATGCTGGTGTAAAATGTTTCCATTTGGTAACGATAGACAATGGATCAATGGAAACAATGATTCTTTTAAATAATATCAGAATTATGCCAGAGTTATGCTAGATTCCAAATTATGCTAGATTTTATGCTTAATGACGATTTTTGGCCAATATTATGCCAATATTACGCTAGATCAGGTCACACTGGCACCAGCCCATAATGGAGTGGCTGGAACGGGACTAAAAGGCTTGCCCCAAAGTTTTCTTACGGCCACGCCCTTTGAAACACCGGAAAACACTCCTTTCAGAAAATATTCGCTTCTATCTGTCCTTATTCATAAACATAACGATTTAGAGAAGATTTTAATTAACATAAAAATACAAAACCGAGTTAGATGAAATACAAATTTATCTTTGACCACACAAGATAAAGCACCATCAAAAAGAACAAAAACGTGTTCCCAGCAGAACTGCTACTAATGCGTTCGTTAGCGTAAATTTTCAAAAAATTTTCTAACCCATTATTGCAAAAAAGTTGGGGAGGTCTATAGTCCCTGTCATGCAGGGGCGCCTACACCCGGGGGGGGGCTGGAGGGGCAGAGGGGGCAAGAAGTGCCCTGAAATGTAAGAAAATATTACAGAATTATTGATTATTGTTGATTATTGATTATTGATGATCACTTTGACCGCACTCGTTATGTTAATTTCTATTAGAAAATATTAGAAAAATGATAAAACCAGCACAAAAACAAAAAGGTTGAAAAGGCTGCCTGTAGCAAGGTGGGTAAAAAGAGGGAGAGCGGCAAAGATAATAGTAGATAAACAAGAGACCTGTTCCCTGAAAAGTACTACAGAAACTAAAGATGGAAAAAACAGTATTTGCTATCACTGATGGTAGAAAAACTTAGCTGTATGGTCGTCACATATGCATGTTAACATTTTGTTATGTTACTCCACCCTCCTTCCTTAAATAGGAATACTCGATCATGTTAGTAGAAAAATTCTACGATTTGCCCTCAGCACCAACACTGCCCCTCCTGCCCTAATCTTGTGCAGGCGTCCCTGCTGTCATGCAACATTCCCGATTGAATGTTCCTCCAAGCTACCACCGAGAGGCTTATCATCGTTCAGCTGCTGTAGCCTTGAGAGGAATTTTTCCAATGCTTCTCCAATTTAAAACACCTTAGTTGAATTGCTTTATAGATTTTTCTGAAATCTACAGAAAGATATCACATAAACCCCAAAATACATTACGGGCAAGAGATCATAATTTCGGTCTTGGTCTTTAGGCTCCGTGTCTTTTTTGAAGCAAATCATAAAAGCAAACTAAATTGAGATGATATCTTGAAATCAAAGCTGTATACAGAGTCCATCTTACTTTAAAATAGCACACAACATTATCATAAAGCGCAATTGATTTTTCTCCGCATGTACTGAAGCTTCGAGTTATGAAGTTTCTTAATTCTTTTTAATTGTCCATTGCTTATTTCTTATCGCAATTTTCTTTTAAAAAATGAGTGCAATACACAAGGCTGGGATCGGGCATCCACTTCGAATTGAAAAAATGTTCCCATTTCTTTCTTAGGCGTTTCGATTGTTATTTTATGTTGCACTTTTAAGAACACGCATTATTTACAATTCCACACTTTCTACAATTACAGATGCACAATTTTAATTTACAACTCCACAAAGTGTGTCAGATCCACGCTTATTTTAGGCCCTGTACTAGGTGCAGAATCTGTGACATTCTTGGCAAGTATTTTGTTTCAACTGAAGGTTTTGAAGAGAATAATAAGGTAGGAACCCAATAAGAAACATACAGTGTTTTATGATATTATGAACCTTTGAACATCTTTAACTTTTTAGAGCAAAGAAATGTAACGTATTATTGATTCAAGTTTTGAATTGATGCCCTTTTGATGTTTAAGCCCTGGAAGATGTGAAGTTGTTGTGGTGTTTAGCTTGTCATATGCATTTTTATAAGACGGGGCGATTTTTCAGCATTCATTAAGCATCAAACCAAGTTAAATTTCACTGTATTGCAAAGAACGCCTGTATCAGGGGAGCTGTCGGGGCGGTGTAATCCCTCCCTCGCGAAATTTAGTGGTTTTTCTCATCGCTTCTTGCTCTGTTGTCCACCCTTTTCATGGCTTCCCTGGCGACGGATTTGTTGACAAGGTTCCTCTGGAGCACTGATCTCAAAAAGTCTTTTTTAGGCCACAGGGAGAGAGTGTTAAGAAATCGTGATCCAGACATGAAGTAACTATCTGGCGGGAAAGCCGATTGATGGAAATGTACAAGACTGTGTGAGAGATGTCGCAGAAAACGCAACGAAGCATTGTGTAAGTTAACCTATTTAATCTGAAAATCGTGATGTCATGATATCTTTATCTTTGAAACTTATTTCTTTAACTTTGCACTAAATCATTCGGCTATTAGATACAGTGGCGGGGTGGCTATGTTTTCCCTGGGGTGGCCAAGTCGATTTTTGCGCCCTATCTATATATCGTCACAGAATATCGTGGTTATATAAAGCATGTGTTGCTAGAAGGGAAACCGATTTTTGCAATTTGAATCCAAAATTTCATAAATAAGGTTTGACTAAAAATGCGAATATGAATGGAAAAGTTATATAATCCTAACATTTGACCTTCTCGTGGTTCGGTAAAATATCAAGCTATTTTGAATTGGCTTATTTTCGAGAGTCGGCCTATTTTCAAGGAAATACGGTAGGCAAAACATAAAATACTAATTAAAATACATTTTATCCAATTACAATGATGTTTCATACAGGCTACTTGTTTATTATATCCAGAATACCAGCTTCAGAGTAAAATTACGTAGAGCAAATTATTGTTTCGGGCTCCTTAGTTTTTTTAACTAAAGGTAACCTTTGTCCATTTCGACACTGCTTATGGTCGATTTTATCAGCCTTGTTTCATCGCATATATGATGTATGATATACAAACATGGTTCAAGTTTGTTATTCTTTAGTAGTTATTAAATAGTAGTTTTCAACAACTTGAAAGTTTGAAGCATTGAATCACACTATTAAATCGGACAGAGGCGGCGGGCACAAAATTAAATCTGGGGTTGGGCTAAGGATCAAGTTTAGTGATAAAGGAGGACCCACCATGGTTGGGTCCGACGCGAAAGAAAATTTTTGAAATCAAGCCTTCTAGAATGGCTAAAAATGCATCTCCCAGACTAAAATTTAGCAAATTACTACACTGCTCAGAATAGACAGTTCGACGATGCTCAGAAAAACATTGAATTTTTGATTTTTAGAAAAAATTTGGGAGGGGAGGATTCATGCGTTGGATAAAGAAAGAAAGGGTGATTGTCACATCGATGTTAATAACATGTAGCTGCTATATTGATTGCCAGGGTGCATTCCATGTACTTGGGTCCAAAGATCTTTAACGTACACTCAGGCTTTTTGACGTTCCGAGTACAAACTAATAGAAAACATTTTTGGAATACGCAAAATCTTCGTTAGTTGGCGTGCTAAACATGAAGTCACGTACATAGTTAACACGAAAATATATGAAACAATTGTTGATTGGGTCATGGCAGCGCAACGTGCTTCGATTGTAGAATCCCACGTTATTTTAGATTGTTCACAGCAAGTTATAGCGAAGTGTTCTACCCGTGTACGATCACTTTTGATGTTCCTAGCCAAATATTACAAGCAAACAATTTTGGCGCCCCCTTTTCTCCATTTGCACCCCTATTCAGGGGGGGCCATGGCCCCCCTGGCCCCCCCCTGCCACCACGCCACTGATTAGATAGAGGCATCGAGTACCAAATTTATGTTGGCTGTCTTTAAATGATTAGTCATCTCCCGGCCTAAGCTTTATACCGCTTGCACTTATCCACAGCACCAAAAATCCACACTTGATCGTTCAAACTGTTTCTCAACTTTTTCCTTAGATACGACATATTCTCTTTAGTTTTGTTTACTTTCTTAGCTCATTCACAAATTTTATGGTAGCAGACCTGCGATCGCAATTTTGAATGTGAGTGAGTTTTGTGAAAAAGTGGGGAAAGTGTTAAAACTGCTGTGTGATCCCATGGCCAAGTGTGGAGCCAGAATTAATCCTCAATGTCACATGGACGAAATAGGGACTGGGGGCAGAGAACCCAAAATTTTTTTGTTTGCAACTGGTCTGGTCAATCCTTAGCAGGGAAAGAAGAAAGCTCAATTGCTTGTTCATGGATCAAAGTGTGTTGCAAAAGATGCAAAATTATCCTATATTGTATTTCTTGTGGATTTGAAGTGACCTGTTTGAAAACACTAGGGCAACAAAGCAAGAAGAAAATAAGCAAAGAACAGCTCAACAACTATGATAATCAAACTTAAATTTTAATTTGTCTTTAGTGACCTGTTTGAACATGCCCTGGCTTTGTTGTTGGCAAAGCACTTTGTTGCTGTCGGTAGAGCACTCGTTGCTGTCGGTATTATAGAGCACTAAAGGGCATTCATGAAGAGCATATGTCTTGGGAAGCAAAAGGCTGCCAATGTGACAAGACAGGTTTTGGCATTTGCATAAAACAGCTTGCTGTGCTAGTGACATATTGTGACACTGAAGGTTTTACAACTAGATATGGCAGAATGCTCCGGTGCCAGTGCAGCTGATATTTACCGTAAATCCTCGAATTGGTCCCCCCTCGAAAAAGCACCCCCCTCAAATAAGCCCCCACCCTAGAACTATAAATTGTCAATATACCCCCCCCTCGAATAAGCCCCCACTGCTGCTTGTTGGCCAGATTGGCTTGCTTTTATACCTTTATAAAAAAAATAATAATGAATCTTATTTATAAAATGTTTGAAAACTTTATGAAACATAAATTACTGTCATTATGCATTGAAGTCAAGCATTAATATGTTTTTTTGCTTTCTACAGATCATTCTTCACAGCTGTGAAATCTAAACCCAAAGACAAGGAGGACAACAAACCATCCCAAAATGGATCCACAAGGTATTTAAATGCAAGGAATTATTTTTAAGAGTCTTGCCAGAAAAAGTTGCTTTCACCTTATTCTAAATCAGAGCCAGTTTTGTGAAAACGCAGGAAACCTGTCTAAATATTGTCTTTGTATAGTTTATTCCTTTTGATTGGCCCTTTGGTCAAGGCCTTTGATGGTCAAATTTTGACAAGGTCAGAATTCTGCCCACATGGTCAGAATACTTCCCTGTGAACTTTAAAAGAAAAACAAATAAAACTTAAGGTACAAAGAAATATGTTCACACAGCCTTTTACTCATTTTACTGTGGTCTAATAACATAATTGCGAAAAGACAATTATCAAGTCATTATATTTTCATTATCAATTTGACCTGCAAGCTGAGTTTTTGAAATACAGATGTAAAAAGTCTGTCGATTTGAAAACCTATGGCTTAACAGTTGTAAATTCTGTCCAGTTTCAGCAAAAATACAGCAAGTTGATTTTCATATATAATTACCATCTCCTTTCTTTGACTTAAAAGCACAAACTTGATGTTTATTTGGCCCCCAGAAATTTTGATTGATATATATTTATATATACATAGATATTAAACGCAATTTTGAGGCTTTGTTACTCAAGGTATCTAATTCCACAATTATATCTTTCACCTGGTTAATAGCTTTTTGTATAAAATTGTGAGTATAAAATTTGCTACAGAACAGCATTAGTTTCCTGACTTTGAGTATGATGCAACATTTTCTCTCGTTTTGGTGTATTTAAGTTCACAATCCTTTGCTAATGAACTCTAATTTCAGCTCTTTTTGCTCTAGGTACGTTTGTCATAATTCTACCAAGATTTTGTATGTGACATTTGAATGAGCCAGACTGTCTTTGGAGATGCCACATCTATATCTTCTAAGAAGAGTAGTGCTTAAGTTTGGAATTTTAGATTCTGTACACCAGGCATTAAAAGCTTGTCAGAAGAGTAGATTGGCACTCTATCATTGGCATCACATACCAGTGTGTAGTGGATTTAACAATAAATTTAGGGGACCAAACAGCATATCCCTAAACTATACAGCTTTGTTTATCCAAAGGTGAATGTTTCTTGAGGCTTCCTGCATTTTCAACAAGAATGGTTCACTAGTGTATACATTTTCACATTCCTTGTCATTGTTTATTTTATAATCGATCATGTATAATTCTTAGAAATAAAAAATATACACCAGAGAATGCTTTGTTCACATTGGACTTTTACTGGCCCAAATTTCAAGAATGTATAGAAAGTTGGAATTAAAATGAAATATTTTCAAGACCTTGCAAACTTTCCCTTGGTATTTCATTTTATGTAATGTATTTTTTCAAAATCACATTTTTCTCAAGAATTTGGAAATATAATTGTGTTTACCAACAATTTTTGTGGTGCTACAGAGTTTAAAACTAGCTTTGAGAAGAGCAAACATCTTGAAATGTACTTTAGCTTTTTGTCTGACATTCTTCTGGGTGTTAAATGTCATAAATTTTGCATCTACTGATGTTTTATATTCAGAAGTGTGTCAGTTGAAAAGCTTCAGTATGTTTTAAAATGATTGCATTTGTTTGTCAAGCTCTTCAAATAGTGGCGAAGAAGGGACCAGAGATTCACCAATTAAGAGAGGAAAAAAGATAAAAAGAAGGATAGAAGAAAGTAGTGATGAAGAAGAAAACCAAATTGAATCTGAAGAAAGTGCAAAACCCAAAGAAAATGGAAATAAAGAGAGTTCTGAAAGTGGCACAAACATAGACAGACCAAAGACTCCACCAAAACGAATAACAGGTTGTTGAAATATTTTTTGTCCAACTATCTTCTCAAAATACTGCTTGTCAAAAAATTTGCTTTGTGAGCAGCTATATTCATTTGTTTCCAGAGTTCTTATTGCATGTTAAGATCCACCTTTTTCAAACTATTATTGGCTTTTAAGCGGGTTTGTATTATGCATGTTGACATTGACTTTAACGCAAACTTGAAATTAACGGACCAAAAGTCATCAGTGGTTTATAGGTGGTTTAATGAAGTTGAAGCATGCTAGTCGTGGGAGACCAGCTATATTTCCTTAATTATGCGGGGGCCTAAGAAGTGGCAGTTGTTGATGCTATCTGAAAAAGTATATTGTGTTGGCATCATAACAAATATGGTTGGCATCATAAATATTTGTTATGATGCCAAGTGACAATACAGGCTTTCGTCGGAAAGGCGTGCGATCGCACGCGCACGCCCTGGCGCACGCCTGCTGCTTTCCAGGAGTGCAAAACATCGCACGCCTTCTTTTATTATCGGAGCAAAATTCATGATTATTGGTTTTGTGGGTTTTTGAGATGAGTTAATAAATTGATCCCTCCTTGGTACTATTACTTCATGCCACTTCAAAATGGCTTAACACCTTTTCAGGATTGCCGATTAAATATTAAATTTTGAAATAATCATAGAACTAATCTACAGTGGAATCCCGATATTATGAAACCTGACCTGGTTACAAGTATAACTAATTTTCCGGCATGACAAAAAATGTCTGGCCCCTTGAACTCTACCTCTGCACAACTCTCGTTTCTCGTTATTCTCGTTATAACGAAACTAATTTAGTCTCTTCATCATAATTTTCCTCAATATGACGAACTTTTCCAAAACCTTTACCGTTATTTTGGTCTACTTATTCCCGGTGTATATTTATAACTATTTCTCGGTGGAGTCATTATTGTCAGCGACAAAACATACATTGGAAAACATGCACTTTTAATGATGCAAAAAAGGAGAAGAATTTGTGCAAACGTTTACACTTTTTCAAGGCTTTAAGGCATTTCATTGAACAAATCCAAACACAGAAGACTATAACAGACATTTTTGTCCCCGAATTTTAAGAGGAACATTAAGTGTTTTGAACAAGACTTTCTTTTTTTATGACTAATGTACGAAAGTAGCCGATTATGCGATAAAAAGGAGCCGATTTGCCAATGATGCGGAAAAAAATAACAGAGGATTTGCTGGATTTCGCTACCCCCTACAGCCCCCTCTTTAGACATCGCTATGCTTTAAATCTAGATTTTAGCAACATTTGATTTAATGAAAATTGGGCCATAATTATCTTTTATGCATCTGGCCAGTGAGGTACACAAAATAGCTGTCATGTTTGATAACAAAGGGCTCTCGATGCACTGATTTACACGAAAAAACTGCCATTACAACCAGATGAACGCCAAAGCATCAATGATTCTGCTAAGGATTCATAATTGAAGCTAATGAAAACTGCTTACGACATGGCAAACATATTTCTATTTTTGTAGTGCCGTTTTTTTGGATATATTAAATAAGCTCAGTTTATACTTGTTTAGAAAATTGCTCAATTGCTAAAATTTAAGTAGTCATGGTAAGAATTCAGCGAAGTAAATTTCATTGAAATTTTTGCTGTCATCATTTTTGTGTTGGCCATTTCTCCGTAGATCTACCATAATTACCAAAATGTTTTGTGAAAAAATGTCACACGCCATCACACGCCTGGATGTTTTCAGGGGTGCGGTGGTTAGCACGGCTGCTATATTTTTCCCACGAAAGCCTGCAATACTAACTGGGAACCATTATTTCAGGAAAAAGTGCTAAAAAATGACTTCTGAAACTTTTTTTTTTTCTCACTAGGTTTATTTTATAATTTACAGTGTTATTATTAAGTATGTGAATGATATATATGTATAACCATGCAGTATTTGTTATCAGCCTGGCAAGTTGGAACCAATCTTTTTGGAATGCATGCTTAGCATCATATAGTAGTGATGGATTTGACTGGTTTTCATTTAAGAGCTACTTATTATATGTTTTTATCATATGTTATCATAAAGCATCATATGGGATTTTATAAGCTAAAGTTTATTCCTACATAATTCTCTACAACGGAATCAGAAATTTTGATCATGAATTGCCTATTTTGAGCGCATTAGTTGTTTTAGTGAACATATATTGATAAAATGGCATATTTTTTAGCAAAAAGAACTAAGAGGCACAAGAAAGATCCAACTGAGCAGAGAACATCTGGAGAGGCAAAAGAAATACTTAAGGTATATTCTAAGCATTGATTAATATTCATTTATTGTGTACGACCTCTATGCAATGATAAGCTACAGCATCTGCCAAATGGTCATCAATGTCTTGATATATCCATTAATTAGTTGTTAGTTATTTGTTCTATTTATTAGGGATTTTTATGCCTGTTTTCATTGTTACACAAGATTACCAAATGCTCTAGCTAAGCAGTTCACTAAAGCTGAATATTCTCTACATGTTAATATGTTAAAACCCAGCACATGTTTACAGGGATGTCGTAACTGGGGGTGCACTAGGGGCATGGAGCTTTTGGATAAATGACCTTTTCTAAGAAGTAACCTCTCACAAGTAGTGTCCCCTTTTTGCGATATGGTGACCATTCCCACCTGCACATTCCAAATTTGAAGTGCCTCTGGTTTCCTAGCTTGTTTTGTCTATTTTTAGGATTAAAACCTAATTCCAAAACCTTTTATGTAAGTTGTTCAATTAAACATGGTTCAATTTACTCATTTTAAGTGATTGTCACTAGGAAAGATTGGTTTTTAAAGTACTTTATATTGCAAGCTTCATCCTGTCTTATGTTAGGGTTCTGGAGAGAACAATGCTAGTAAAAGTTCCTACAATGAAATAGATATGAAAGATGTAGGTGACATTAAAAAGGAAGATGTCGACACTGACAACCTGGCCAACAATGGGGAAAAACAAGAAAAATCCAAGAGTGAAATTTCTGGTAAATGTTTTTACTGTTGAGTTTTATCCTTTGCTCATTTGTTGTGATAATTCCAAGGTTTTTTAATTTTTACTCGGTTCTCCAATTTCTTTTGTTTCAGTTGGAAGATTTTTCACACTTTTTGATTCATTGCTGTTTGATTTGTGTATCATTTGTTGCTTAAGGTAGATGTACCCCCAGCTAAAATTGCTAATAGTGTTTCAATGATCCACGAGAGTTACATTAGACAAGCAAAATGCATTAGCAAAAGGCCTTGGCCAATATATTTTTTGGCTTTCATGAAGAGCGTTTGTTTGACTGCGACCAAAAGCCAGGTGTCTATTTTCGGTATGTGGATGACACATATACTATTTTCAAAACAGAGGCTGAGTGTGATACTTTCCTAAAACGCCTTAATGGCCTTCACACAGCCCTACATTTTACATTTGAAAAGGAAGAAAATAACTCCTTGCCATTTCTAGATGTTTTGGTTGAAAAATTTGACACTGGATTTCTCACTAGTGTATACCATAAACCCACATTTTCGGGGTTATACACTCGATGGAGTTCGTTTTGCCCAAAACAAAGAAAAATCAGCCTCATCAAAACGCTCACACATAGGGCACTGATGATTTGTTCCAAGTCTGAACTCGACTCGGAACTTGAAAAATTAACTAAGATATTTCTGGAGAACGGCTATCCAGAAGATGTTATTTCAGTTTATATGAGGAGAAGATAGGAAATTTCTCGGCTGACGTAAAATTTGGTCCTCAAAAGTTCCCGGTCTATCTAAAACTACCCTGGATCGGTGACAGTTCCCTACGTTTTGAAAGCCAAATAAAACAGGCCATTACAAATTGTTTCTTCGCGGTTAACCCACGTGTTGTTTATGGTACGAAAAAGGCCCTTCCGTCCATTCAAAAGGACTGCGTTCCTGCCACAAAAAAGTTCTGTTGTATATGAATTTACGTGCCAGTGGGATTCTGGCTACGTAGGACGCACCACCCAAAGATTGGAGGATAGGATAAAACAACATGTTCCATCTAATATTAGAAAACAAAACCCATCCCCAAAGAGAACAGCCACCTTGGTACCTGCGATTCTGCTATCGGGCAGCATTTGCTAGAAAACCCAGATTGTGCAAAAAACTATAATGGCGACATGTTTCGGATTATTGGTAAAGCCCGATCGTCGTTCCACCTAGCAGTTTTAGAATCTATCTACATAAGCACGAAAAACCGCTACTGTGTAGACAAAAGGAGTTCGTTTTCACCTTAGGACTCCACTGGTAACATTCTAATAGGCAAACTGCACTGATTGGTCAACCTTTACAGTCAAGTTCTCGTGTTTCTGATTGGCCTATTTCGATCCACAACTGGGTATATATATTTCTTAGCGTAGAGTTTTCGATCTATGTTCTGACGTTTTAAACTCTGAAGAGTGTCAGACAAAAAGCTTTAGTTTACTAAATGTTTGCTTTTTTCAAAGCCATTTACAAGTTTTGTACCACCAAAAGATTTTTTGCAAAATGCATTAGTATGAAATGGTATTGATTGAACAGCTTGTATTTTGAAGAATTCTATCTCAATTCAGAGATTTATGGTACGTTGGACAATAGGACAAATTGTACATGAATTTAAAAGTTCATTTCATCATACAATAACAGAGTGATTTGCTTAAAACAATCTCTCCCTCTCTCTCTCTCTCTCTCTCTCTCTCTCTCTCTCTCTCTCTCTCTCTCTTTCTCTCTCTCTTCCTCCCTCTCTCTCTCTTCCTCCCTCTCTCTCCCTCTCTCTCTCTCCCTCCCTCTCTCTCCCTCACTCTCTCCCTCTCTCTCCCTCTCTCTCTCCCTCTCTCTCTCCCTCCCTCTCTCTCCCTCACTCTCTCCCTCTCCCTCTCGCTCTCCCTCTCTCTCTCCCTCTCTCTCTCCCTCTCTCTCTCCCTCTCTCTCTCCCTCTCTCTCTCCCTCTCTCCCTCTCTCTCTCCCTCTCTCTCCCTCTTACCTCTCTGGATTTGAGATCGTTCCCATAGTAAAGTCGTTGTAAATGCATAAAAGTTGTCACACCAACCATATACTCCTTACTCCTTATTCTTAATTCTGTCACTCCCAATTTACCCTCTTGTAAAAGTGGAATATCCAAAATGAGTATATAATGTTTTTGATAGGTAATACCAAGAAAAGGCAGACAGACCTATTTCATATACTTATGCAAATTCTCATTTGCTGACAACTAAACTTTATTTTACTCTTGACTTTGGCCCCTAATCTAATGTTAAATGCTTCACAACTTCACAACTTTGAAATTATAAAATCTAAAATTTAGCCTGGAAAACGGTTTTCTTCTTCTTTCACTGTTTATATCAAACTACAATGAATTGGCTGTCACTGCCCTTGCTGCCGCCGCGGTGCAGGCGTCCATGATTATATTTTAGACATTGGATGGGAAAAGATGCCCTTGTTTGAATCCAGCTTTTAAATCTTTGTTTTATTGTACAACAAATGTGTGTGGTTGATAGGTTGCAACGGTTTGAGTCAGACATCATTTACAATTGCTCTTGATCAACAGATAAAAACCACTGACTGGTTTCTTTTTATATACGATTCTTATTCCCAATTTTCAGCGTATATGTTTCTTAATAATCAGGTTTTTATATATGAATGTTTTAGGAACATGTGCACTGGAACAATTTTAGGAGCAATTTTTTGTTGCTTACAAAATTAGAAATGGCTTTGAAATACACAAACATTTACAAACACGCAAAAGAATTTCATTTCGCGCTCTTCAAAGTATAAAACATCAGAACATAAACGAAAGCTGGGTGTTTTCTTTAAGGCTCTTTACGCGGGCATTTGCTTTGCTTTTTTAATCTTACCGATAAGAATTATAAGGAAGTTTCAGTTTGAAATAGTTAGATTTATGATTTTTGTAAGCCTTTAAAATTAGAACTTTTATAGGCAACAGGCCAGTCTCCAGCAGAAGTATCTCTGTTGGTCTCAAGTCTCAAGTTAACCAGGTCCTTATAAATTGAAACCTGAGTTCCTCGCGTTTCTCGTTTTCCTCGTTTTCTTCGTGTTCCTCGTGTTCCTCGTGTTCCACTACCTCAACTTAGACTTCTACTTTCATGTCAGGGGTCTGGAACACAGGGCAATACACGGTTGTTCACTGTAATATTTTGACGTTTCGATGTCTATATCTTTTCAGTCAACCACCTATTTGATGCACGTTATGTACCCTGTTTCAATTCCTTTCGTTTTGCTTTAGTAAGATTTGCTTGAAAAGTCTTGCGTCCTTATAGAAATGTCTATGTGTCTGATCCGACCCACGCAGTAAGAGCGACCCGACCCACGCAGCAAGAAGTGACTTTGAAAAATTGTCAATAAGGGCAACAAAGCTGAGACTGGTGCTAAATTTCGTATAAAAATCTATGATTTCAGGATTGCGGTTTGCGGCAAACTAATGATGAATTTTTCTGAGTCCGAACTCCGAACAGTAGTTGATGATGTTATAAGACTGTTGAAATCTAGTATTAGGCCATTTTTGCAACGAAAAGATATCGGAAATTTCGCAAAGGAGATGGAAAGTTAGGTATTATTAGGAGTGAACAGCGCCCGGCTTTGGAAAATAAAAATTTACAAGATTCGCCATCCTGTTGATTTCTGCTGTTTGTTTTCGTTGAAAAAAAGTTTCTACAAAAGTACTGATAACACCGAACACATCCATGAATGCTAAAATATGCGAACAATTTTCGGCAACCTCGGCAACACAATTTAGTTTTCTTGTCACTAGCATATTTCTCTGTACTCAATTTTATCCAAAGACAAATATCAGGAACAAACATGCATTTAAACAGTTAAAAGCCAGATATTGTCATTTTCTGTCAATTGTCAAGATTCTACATTCATATTTTAAAAGATAGTACCTTAGTCGATTTATCGACGTACAGAAAATATAAACGTCTCACTTAGTAAGCTCATTAAAAAAGTGCTCATATCTTTGATATGTTTCATTAAAGGCTAATTTTTAGCTTTTTCTATACAGTTTAAGATATCTAGATGTTTACTAATGTATGGTGGTATGTCAGTAAACTTAGATCACTTGGGTTACTCATGGATGTAGGAAGCATTTCAAAAGTGGAGGGGGGGGAGCACATGTAGTCAAAAAAGGGGCACGTCTGTAGGCATGAAATGGGTATTTTATCTCTGTTAAGGGGAGCACGTGCCCCCTCTGTCCCCAGATTCCTACGTCTATGGCCTTTTTAGGTCAAAGTTAAGATATCACACGTCGCTGATAAAGTTTGATCTAAGTTTTCTCTTGAGCAAAGACCAAGAGTTTAGTTGGGGCAGTTGAACGCTGGTTGATCGGCTAGACCTGGTAAACTTTCCTTCGGATAACCGGCTAAACCTGCTGAAGTCTGGTAAACTAGCCAAGTGGTTCCTCGTCCCTCGTCCAGACGTTGTACTACATGTTCTTGATGCCATCGATCGTAGCTGCCTGCTTACAGAAGAATAAGGAATGAAATTGTTTTTCGACGCCGGCCTGTAATTTTGAGAATGCTGTTCTTCATATAAATTCATGATCGTTGGCAGCATGCCTTTTATTGACTTCTGCTTCGGTTCTGCTTTTGCCGGTCTCTGACCTCCGGTCTGTAGTTTACCCGGTGCAGTTCTCGGTACAGGTTGCGGATATCCCTTTTCGGTTTTCTTCTTCTTCTCGTTGTTGTAAGATTTCAAAGCAACTGTCCTGAACGAATCGTTTGTAATAAGCAACTTCAAGATATTTGATGGATGGGGGTCTTCTCTTTCATCGAGATTCTCAACAACGTGTTTCATCATTTCTTGTGGCAGCCTTGTTGTCCAGTCCAATCTAAATTGATCATTATACATTACTATGTTTGTCAGGTTATCTATGCTCACCTTCCCTTCATTAATTAAGTGTTTAGCAATTTCGAAATTCCCCATTCGAAAGGCCTCCATAAGTGGCGATAAACCTACATGATTTTTCATTGAAAGGATAGACTGCATTCCAGAATCTTTTAAAACTTTTACTAATTCAATAACAGCTTCCAAATGACCTTGTTTGACAGCTAGCATCAGTGATGTGTTGCCATCTTTGTCCTGTCTATCGATCTGCAACGTGTTGACGTCAAATTCAGAGGCAAAAAATTTGATCTGGTCAGCTCTTCCATAATAACAAGCCCACATGAAAGCATTCCTTTTTTTGAGATCAACCAATGTCACGTCTGCACTATAGTTAAGAAGTACCTTTACCATGCTCATTCTAACATAGGCATTGTTTATCGCCATCGCTTTCATCAGCCCAGTCTGTCTTTCAGAATCCAGCTCGTTTACATCCTTACCAACTTTGAGCAACAATCCAGTTTGCCTCAATCTCCCTTCCGAGACAGACTTAAGCAGCAAAGTAGCCATTTTTATTGCATCATCATTTGAAATGTTCTCCTTTCCCTCTTATATAATACCGCGATCGTAGCTGTTGACGGAAATCTCTTTTAATGGTAGCCGTGAAAGAACGCAGACGCAGAACACAGTACGCAACACGGAGGTTTAGCAGTCAAGTGCAAATGCGTTTCTTAAGACTAATCACTCGCATTGCAAAAGTACAAAAATAATTGCAATATTCCAAGGTTAATTATATTTTGACTTGATACCTAGTCAGTTCCCATTACTGCCTTGTAAGAAACCTCTTTGATTCGTAAGCTCTTATCCGTGTATGAGTCCACTGTATTTATCATTTGGCAAATTCAACTCTTTAATCCATTTATATACCAACAGCGTACAGTGTTCCAAGCAACCAAGTTTCGAAGCCAATAATAATGAAATATGAGATATAACATACACTGTATTAACCTTGTCCAAATCTTCTTGACCAGCTCCCTGTTAGTCTTTCTAAACGTAATATAATACACTTCATGAATACATAACTTTGTGCGCAACCAACGCATTGGATCTAGTTGGCTATGTTATTTGTGGATTCCTGCGTCACAAGGCCACTATTTGTCCAGTATCAATCCAGCACTGCTTTCGTATGCATACACTCCAGCTTGTTATTTAGCCAGTTCCACCATGTCCATAACACATTGCTGCCTTTTCAAACTGCTTTATATCTGTGTTTTTGAGCAATTTTAACGAAGACGCCTTTTGTTAATGCAAAGTTTGAGTACACTGTTAAGTAAACAATCTTTGTTTTACTTTAATAACTCATATCTTAGCCTTCTATTCTTTCATAATTTGTGCTGCCTCCCAATCCAAAAACGCTCTTAATACACGTGATCACTCTGTAATCCAAAGACCTCTTGTAACAGACTGCGACTTTTCTGTCCTGAATTACCCTATGCAAATATGTATTATTCACTAATCCGCTGCTTAAATATCTTATATTAACTCTGCACTCATTTAATCCTTCTTTTATTTTTACCATTATTTTCATCATAACTTCTAGCACCCATCGGTAGACTTTACAATTCTCTCTCTGTGCAGAACATCAAACAAACTTGCATTCGCATGTTGATTCCCGCCTTGTCAACACCCGTTGCCTAGGTAATAGATAAGCGTTCTGGGGTTTTCTTTTGTAATCATTTCGTTCTGTATTCAATTCGAAATTGAATTATCTATTTTTAGAATGGATTCAGCTTTTTGGTTTTTTCGCTTTAAATCTCCTCGTTCAATGTATTCTTGCAATATTTGTTTTTCAGGATTCTATTTGGCTCAATTTATGGTTTTTGTGTTTCAGTGCAAAAAACAGACAAAGGTGAATCTCCTGAAAAGAAAAAGAGTGAAGCTAAATCTACAACGAAGTCTGGTTTTTTCTTTCAAGCCAAAAAGTAAGGAAGCAAATTTAGATTAAAGTGCGTATTGTGTTTCAGATGTTTTCCTAATCCCATATTCTGGTAATCTGATCAAATGAGAAATGATTTTTTGATAGGACAACAGATTCAAAAGCAGAAAGTAAATTGGATCCGGCGATTTATTCTCCAAATAAAGCAAATTACGACCCAATCAAAGATGCTTGCTGGGCCCAAGGGCAGCCGTAAGTGATTGCTTCATCAAAAATGTTTGATTGCTTTTTTAGCCCTTTTGAAATATGGTTGCAGTGATTGCTTTGGGATTACTAGGTAGTAAATCTCAGATGTACATCCTTTCGAATTCGGTTAATGAATACCTAGGTTAATCTTCCAAAATATAAGTCCATAGGCACAAGCCACTCTTTTCTGAAAGACGTAACCCAACCAACACAAAAGGCAATGTTGATAAAGATCATTTTAAATTGCTATTCTGAAAGAATTCACGTTATGGTGACATTGAAACTCATTGGTGGTGGCATTTAAGTCACCTCTCTTTGAATTATACATAGTGAGATCGTTGAGAATATTAAAATGGTGTTATTAAATCTGGAAAACAATTGTTAAAAGCCTTGGTACACTTCAATTAATTTTATATATGCATCCCCCTCTCTCCCTCCGAAATATTTTATGCTGTTTCCCCTCCGAACATTGTTGTTTCAAGCAAAGTTAAAAGGTTCGATGTGGTCAAATGGATTCATTTCAGATGGGTATGACAGTCAGTTCTCTACAACCAACGTTGTTCTGGAAAAGGAGTGTGGTATCGGTATTTTTTACTGGAAACAGTTAATTTGTTCAAGGCAGCACTTGAGTAACTGAGCGTTCCAATGAGTTTTGGCAGGAATTGCAAACGGCATGGCCACAAGCAACAGTTACTGCAACTTTGTATTACCTTTGTGTGTATTTTCAGAACTCACGTGATAGCAATTATGTAATCATGTAAAAACTGTTGCCGCTGTTTGCTGATTATGAATATTTGATCTGTGTTTGCGTTCCTGATATCTGCTGTAAACATCGTAAAATTTGCTTGACTGAAAACCATTTCAATCTGCCTTCCATGTTAGTTTACCTCGGCTTTCTACAAAGCTTTAATCAATCAGTAGCTTGATTGCAAAACTAGAAACTCTTTCAAAGGAAATCCTCTGGCGCATTTGCACTAGTAATTACTTTTAAGAATAACGATCCCAAGGCCCGTAAAATATAAGGAAAACCGAGAGCCCGGAAAATATGGCGGTTATATTTTCAGTGATTTCAAGGAAGGCACAAAAACAGCAAGCAGTGAAATATAACGATACCGGAGCCCATAGAATATCCAAAAATCCGAGAGCCCGGAAAATATGGTGGTCATACTTTCAGTGATCGCAGAAAAGCAAAAACAACATGATGGAAAGGTGACGGAGAAAGGATAAATGTTTATATGGACTGTGAGAAATCTTAGGCCTATCAACTTAACATCTCTCTGTCTCATAGTTTTCTTAAAAACCAAGAGCATACAAGTAAAAATCACTTGATCTCCCTGCAAAAATAAAGGTAACTATAGACTTCGGGCTTTCAAATTCTCTTGCTCCCATTACAATATTTCAAAATAAAAAAAAAATGAAAAGGTGGAAGAAATTGATCAAGGTGAAAGAAAAAATGTTGAAAGCTGTATGGAGATGTTTAGAGAAGAAGCCAATATTGAAGAGGACAGTATGAAAAGTTTGACAGCAACAGCAAACGGTGTCTTAGATTAAAGATTGTCTTTTTGTATTCTGTCATATCGTGGCATATAAACTATATTTTGTATGGACTGACTTTTAATACAGATTTACCACTTTTTTCAGTGTTCCCTATGGAGCCTTATCGCGCACATTTCAGATTATCGAAGATACTTCAGCAAGGTTTGTTCATTTGCTCGTATTATATCTGTAAGAATTCAACCAATCTTCTGTTGTGTTACAAACATAGACCGTTAAACGCTACAGTTTTTTCCTATAAATGGTTTCAAACGCATACTGTATTCATTACTTTCGAAAAAGGTTTTACTTTTTAGATATTTCGAAGCTTACATTTTTTTTGATTTTCTTTGACCATTTCTACAACTTCTGCCTAACTACGATGTAGAAATTTAGATTTATTGATACTAAGCTACCTTAAATTGTATCATTTGTTTGTTAAACGCAATATGACTGTAAGTGTCTTTAAAATAGTCGCTTACAGCTATACAAAAACAACCAAAGAAAAATTCCAAAGAAAAGAAACTTGTGTCTTTTTCTGTTTGGCATTGCGCATTTTAATGCAATACTTCTTGCATTTTAAATCGTTTTAATGATAACAAAAATGATAAACATTTTATGGACATACTTAAACACAAGCAGTTGTTCTCTGCATGATTCTGAAAACAAAATTCGCTACTCTGTAGCCATTGCTATCCCTTTTTCGTAGTAAAGAAATTGAAGCATTGCATTTTCGAGAATGATTAACTTGTATATACTGCATTAACACTGTATACTGCAATGAAACCTCCAATAGCAATACCGCTCTTTCATCTTCTTGAAAACGATTTGTGCCAGAGTTCTCACCAGGACTCTCCAAATCAACTTCAAACCAGGATAACCGAGCCGGTAGAAATGACTTTTTCAGCTTTCGTTGCACAATATTCCTGAATTGCATAATATATTGTTGTGTTTAATCGCTTCTGTTATGCTTTAATAGATTGAAGATCACCTCAACATTATGCAACTTCTTTCGATCAGTCATCATCTTAACTCCAGACGATCTCTTACCGTCCGTTTATTTGTGTTTGAACAAGGTTTGTATTTATTTAAAATTTGCGTCAGGTTTTTTCCCTTTTTTATGATTTGCGGGTTTTCTTGAAGATTTATCTCTTGAGATCTTTGTGGAGATAGATCTTTAAATAGTATTCATCGTAGATACTATGAAACGAATTATATTGTCTTTGGTTCATAAGCTTGTTCCAGGCTCATTGTCTTCAGTACCCCTTTTGCAATTCTCATTTTCTCTCTTTGCTTTCTTTTTTCTCTTTCTTACCCGCTCAATTTTTTCTTGTCCCTGTTTTTGTCTTCCCACGCCTACATTTTCTCTACCTCTCTTTGCATCCTCTCTTTATTTTTTCTCTTTTACTTTAATTCTCCTTAATTTCTCCTCCCTTTATTAACCCTAATCTCGCTGCCCTTCGACAAACTACCTGACCTTCTTTTTTCCTTGTTTTTTTCTTTTCATGGGGTCCCTTTTCCTTTTGACTCTTCCATCCACTTCCTTCTTCATTCTCCCTCCTCTTTTTCCTGTTCCCAGTTCACAGCTTCCAAGAAATGTTGAAATCGGAGTACTTAAACCTCTTTTAATGGTAGCTCCGCTAGCCTCTGCTGTGCCATTTGTTGCCCTGCTCAGCAAGTTCTTGTTTCTTTATTGCAATACTAGTCTGGTTATATTTTAAGTAGTCTTAACATCGGATAAGTATTAAGGCGGCAAGATTCGCATGGCTTTATCAGGAATTTTTGCACTAGCTCGATATATTCATCTGATATGCCGATATCTATAGATAGATATACAACAACGGGTTTTGTAGGTTGCGCCAGCCTATGAGGGTATTGAGCTCGGGATTGGTGAAACAATTCTAATGAAAGCTGTGGCGTCATCAACAGGTTCGTGATTTATGGCGGCCTATTTTGGAAATAATGAAGTTACTGTTTCTATTACAGTATAAACATTGTGAATTAGAACTTTCATTTAATAGGAATCTTAAACTGTATTGTTTTACTCAAGGAGTCAGACCCCGTTTACACTGCCCCGTTCCAAAAGGGAACAAAATCCGTTCGATTTCGTAGCAGGGTCAAAACTATTCCAGATTTTAGAATGCTATTGGCGACCGTTTTGCCACGGTTCTAAACCTGAACGGAACAGTGTAAACCGGGTCCCAGAACCATTTTCGTCTGATATCATAAATAGGCCTGTGATAAGTTTTTCAGCCATTTGTTGATTAATAATGCCTAAACCTTAGTACGTATGGGCTTTGCTGTATTTCTAGAAACGGTGTTGTACAGCCTTGCTATCGCTCACATGGACGAATCTGATCTTAGTAAACTCATCCTAGCTTTTTCTTTGTACATTTAAATATGATGCATATTCACTTAAAATCGTTTGACATCATATTTCATCTAAATTTATCTTTAGGCTTAAAGTAAATTTTTTCTGAAGCTTTAAGAAACATCAAATTATAATCGATCGGCATCATAAACAGCAGGCCGATATGAAAATTTGACGAATTAAACCTTAGCATTGAAAAAGCAGCTTCAAAATTAATTTCTTCAGAATAAAGCTCCATTAATATTCGATAAGTAGCATTTATCGTTTGCATTTGTTTGTGTGACAAAACCTCTTATGTCAAAGTTACTCAACGTAGCAAGGATGGCCAAAACTGGGAGGTAAGTGCAGTTTCTATCTTGTGGTTATAAGTTTAATATCCCATTGCCGTAACATAAATGCTTTGGTTGTATTATTATATTCAATTTAAATGAGACTTTAAAATCTATTATGAATGAAAGTTCTTGAATCCTATTTCCAGGCAAGAGTTTGCAGCAGATGAAAGCAATGGCTGCAGAGAAAGGTGATTTGGGAATCGTTGCGGAGGTAATTATGAAATTTGGTCTTCTGTCATTAAAGTATTTTAATCGAGAGCCTCGTGAAGAATATCTCTCAGATTCTTCTGTCAGTCTAAACGACACCTATACAATTTCTTGTCTTTACGATCTTTTCTAGTCTTTCTGCATTACGAAAATGGCCCGATTTTGTCAAATTTGTGTTTTTGTTATGATTCCCATTCTTATGAGATGTTCCAACACTCTGATTGTTAAATGCAAAACCCTTCTTCAATTCAATCACCTTTGGCCACCATCCATCGCTACATAGCATTCTCTTTCCTTTTATTTCTCTTCTTCTTTACTTCCTTCTCCCTCTCCTTTCTTTTCCTTTTGTTCTTTTTTCTTCTTCTTTATCCTTATTCTTCTTTTTCTCTACTTCTTCTCGTTCTTCTTCTCCCCTGCTTCGTTTTGCTCGTCTCCTTCCTCATCTTCTTCTCTTTCTTCTTCTTTCCTGTTTCATCTTCCTCGTCTTCTTCTTTGTCATCTTCTCGTTTCTTCCTTGTTTTCATCCTTCTCGTCTTCCTCCTCCTTTTCTTCATCTCGTTCTACTTCTTCCTTGTTTTCATTTTGCTCATCTGCTTCCTCTTCTTATCTTTCTTCCCCTCTTTTGTTTTCTCTTTCTTTTTTCTCTTCCTCCTTTTTACAATGTTTTTATTCTTCCACATTTTCTTTCGTCTGCTCCAATTCTTTTTTGCTTTCTTCATCTTCTTCTCCATGCACTTCTCATCCTTTGGTTCTTAATACGGCATTTGACTCTTAAATGTCTCCCATCTAGAATGTCGAATTTTTTTAATTCGTTCAAAATACCTTTGAAATCTCATTCCTACCACCCAACATACTGTTGATAGCTCAAATAAATATCGCACAAAATATGATATAATACCATTATTTCCTTAGCAATGTCGCACAAACCAAAGAATGATGTTTGCACCTCCAAAGTTATCAATTCAGTCAGTGTTCTCGAAGTTGAAAGAGATTGCACAGATGACAGGGAGTTCGGTATGTGTCTCTAAAATCTAAGCAATAATAATTTATCATAGAAAGGTCTTAAGAAGCTTGTCTGATGTCTTGTTACAGAGCGTAATTACACCAGGACTGAACAACAGAACTGTTGCGTGTCTATTCTACAGTTTCCGGTAATCAAATTTTACTTTTAAACTCCAAATTACAACAAACTTTGAAACTTTATTAACAGTGTTACCCTGTCCTAACAAGAATGGATGTTCGTTTGAATTCATCCATTTTTCAAAACAAATTTCCAGAATCAAGTTTCTCACTACCTGACCATTCCTTCTAGGTTATAATCTAGCCTTCTTTAGTACTGGACATTTTACACACAAAACATGAGGTAAAAGTTCATCAAAGGCATCAGATTTTAGTTAATATCTTTACATTATTGCTTCTTTTTCTCAAAGTCGATGGGCAAAAAGCAGGACAAAATTCAGTCAATGTTTGTTGCTTGCAAAAATTTCAGAAGCAAGATATTTGATAAGGTATGTGTTTTGTTCCTTTTTTTATCTCTTGCCTTTTTTGTTTAATTATTGAAATTATGCTTGCTACTAAGAATTTTGAGAGTACCAATGATAAAAGAGACAACAAGGAGAGACCGGACTGATTGTGTAGATATTTGTGCATTTCAATCTACATTATCATATAATCGTGGCCTGATTTATTCCAAGCCAAGTATTAACTTCTCACAGTTGAATTAGATCAGTATTTACAATCTCTCCTCCCACTCATGGAAGCCCTCATTCAGGCGGAGTAAACACAAGTGAATAATATAACGCAATGGATTTAAGACAATCCGTGTATTGAACGCAAGCGATAATCCCCATATTCATTTCTTTAAAGGTCTCTTGGTGGCAAGCTGAGGATCGGCCTAGCCGAGCAATCTGTCTTGGCTGCTTTGGGACATGCAATGGCTCTTACAGACGAAGCTCGTGGTAACTTTCAGCTTTGTTACCTTCAAATTACCCAGCATTTCCTTCCATGCTTCTTTCACAGCTAGCATCCAAAAACGCATACGAAACATTTAGATTGTTAATGTAAGAGGAACAATATCAACCTTGCTCCACTGTTAACAACTGCTATTGACTAGATTTCCTTTAATTTTTTACGTATTCCTAGCTAATCTCACATTCCACGTGTTTAATTAAGTTCGTGTGTTTAGCTGGTTTGTTTAAGAGTGAAATTATCTAAACCGGCAGCATTCGCACTTCATTACTTTTCTTCAACTGCTTTTTGGTAGTCTTGCTACTCTATTGTTATTTTCAAAACACGTGATTTTCAATACTCGCAAAAAGGCTTTGAAAAAAGCAAAAAATATGAAACATACTAAAGCTTTTCTCCTGACACTCTTCGGAGTATAAAACGTCAGAAAATAGATCGAAAACCCAACCTTAGGAAATATACCTATACACCCAGTTGTGGATTGAAAACTGGATATATATGTTGATCAATAACTGGGAATATAAATTTCCTAGCGTACAGTTTTTGATCTGTGTGCCGACGTTTCACACTCTGGAGTGAGTCGAACAAAAGGCTCAAGTTGTGATTCAAATGTTTTCCTTTTCTCATTGCCATTTTAAAATTTTGTACCACAAAAAGGTTGTATACACGGATTAGTTAATTTGTGTATTTTCGGAAACTTGCTCTCCTCTACATGAAGTACTTCAGTGTAACAGAGAATCTTCTGTTTTTATCATTGACATTAAGATTTCATGAATAGGCCATAAAAAATCCAGTGACGCCATTAAGGATGCGAAGGATGCAGCGGCATTGGCAATCAAAACTGCCTATTGGTAGGTCATTTCCCTTTTCGCCCTTCAAATTTGTGTTCTGTCTGTGAAGTATTTCATTTTGGAAGTTACAACGTTCTCAGCAAATCTACCGTTAAAGCGCTTTTCATCCCTTCCCTAAACTTTTTATTCCTCCCTCTTACTACTTAAACGTCTCACCTAATTATTATTGCACGACGCGCTTTACAATTTTACGCCAGTCTTTTCTATTTTGTGTCAGTTCCACTAATCTATTTAATTCCCCTCTCTTATATGCCTCCTAACTTGAAGAAGAAATTTGCTTTGAGCCTCGCTATGATGCCCACTGACAATGATGTTCAAGACAAACGCGATAGTTACTGGTAATTCGAAATTGTTGTGAAATTCCTCCAAGGTTATGAAACTATTGATGCCCATCATTGTGATTTGATCAATCTAATATTTGTAGCGAGCTTCCTACTTATGATATATTGATTCCGACACTGCTCAAGCAAGGCTGGCAAGACATCTCAAAATACTGTCACATTACGCCAGGTAAATTTTTAATACGTTTTTTCTTGTATCACCATCCTACCTTGAATGAGACTCGAGAAAAGCACTTGTCGCCTGCCAGTATGCTGCCCTTCATATATTGTATCCAGTCACGATGTCAGTGGCAGCTTAAAGCATTTTTTCTTCCCTATATCAATACAATTCATGATTTTGCTGCTTTTTATTCAAAGGTATCCCGTTGAAACCGATGCTTGCTCATCCATCAAAAGGCATCTCTGATGTATTCAAAAGATTTGATACCGCTGCCTTCTGCTGCGAATTCAAGTATGATGGGGAAAGAGCCCAGGTGTGTTTTGGTGCTGGTCACCAAAGAGTGTTGGTGTTTTCACCAAATTTGTTGCTCTTTACTTGTTTTGGTCTCATTTAAATCAATTGGAAACATCCTTGGGTCTTCCTGGAGAAGAGTTGATGCCAAATTCAGATGAACCCCAAAATTTGTGATAGTTTAGCAATGCAAAAGAAAATCAATCTGTTTCTAGTAGCTTTGGTTACAAATGCATAAATCTCAACATTTACTGTTTGTTTTTTCTATTAATTTTTAACATGCACATAGATAACATTTTGTCGTCTTTTGAAATTGCATCTTTTACAACTATTTTGAATTTTTATTTAAGTCTCACTCAAGGTCTTATTGCTTAATTTGATATATCTGAATTTCAGTGATTTCTATTCTATTTATTTGTAGTTCAATATGTGTGAGATTTTGTATTTATGATTCGTATTTTTTTTATGCAGATCATAATTTATAGTCAATAGTCATATTCTATACAGGACATGTTTTTGTTTTTATGAGTGCTGTTTTGGTTTATTAAGAAAAAGCCACAATGAATCAGATGGTAGAAGTCACCTTCGTGTACGTGACAAAGTGATAGAATAGGCGTGCAATTTTAACATATGTCTTTTTCAAGCCTCGAGAATGTTTACTTTGTTCAAATTAACTTTTCCTATCTTCTTAAGCTGTATTTTGACTTATCCTGATGAGAAAAAGATTTATAACTGTTTCCTGTTGCAAACAATTTTTTGGTGGTTCAAAGACATTTTTACTTTATTTGTAGATTCACATGCACGAGAATGGAGACGTAAATATCTACAGCAGAAACCAAGAAAACAATACAAGCAAATACCCAGACATCATTGCTCGTATTTCGAAGGTTAGTTGGAATACCTTTGTTAATTCTGATACCACCTGTGTATTACTGCATGGTGATTGGAAATCATCTTCACGCCCTAGCTAAGTGTTGGAAGTTTAAAATAAAATTGAATAAAAAGACATGGCCAAATGACTAATTTAATTGTCTGGGAAACTTAGATGACTTTATTGATTTGCTGTGAGATATCAGACTTTTCGTTAGTTGTGAGATGGTTAGGACGTGTCATCCTTTTTTTGTCGTTTATAAGACAAAAGTGTGCTAAAAAACATGCTTCATTTAACATATTTTCTTTAGACTTAAGCTCACATACGTACACATATTGACTATGCATATTGACTGAAGGATCTTAGTTTTTATACATGGTGACGTTAATTCACGTGACTGTATTTTTGAGATAAGGCTTTTAGGTTGAATTCACTTACATAAGAGGGTTATTGAAAGACATGACGTCACAACGATAGTTAGGATTAAATACTTTCTTTATAATTATTTCCCAATTTGACTTTAAGATGAGATTTGTCAGTGATGACGCTTGCAATATTTTTATATCTTTATTTGCGAAAACAAATTTAAGTCTGGTACTTTTATATAGGTTACAAAAGAAAACGTCAAGTCATGTATCATTGATACAGAGTCAGTGGCATGGGACAAAGACAAGAAACAAATTTTGCCTTTCCAAGTCCTTAGCACGAGAAAAAGGAAGGTTTGTATGATCGGGAAAATTGTGCCGTTTATAAAAATTATTGTAAAATTATAAAAATTTATGTAAACAACAATTATGGCACTCTTATAGATAGAATTTTAGATTATTAGCTAAGGATTCAGCAAACCTCATTATTTTCATATCTAAAATGATAATATGACTCCTGTTTGTGATCTGCACCTATAAAGAAGGGTTGCCTGTAACAGCGGAATATGGTCTTGTTTCAGCATCGTGCTAATGCAGCGGTTCCTAGTTTTTATCATTGCCGCCTCATCTACCCCTGGCTTTTTCCATAAGGCCCTTTTTATGTGGTCTGCAGGTATCAAAATCATATACCAGAACTGACTAAAGTTAGTCAATCAGTATCGTGAACGTGGTTAATCAAATCTTTTCGATTCAGGATGCTGATGCCTCGGAAATCAAAGTACAAGTCTGTGTTTACGCCTTCGACCTGCTGTACCTAAACGGAGAGGTTTGCTATCCGATATTTTTTCATTTTATTTGAACTAGCGGTCCAGGAAACACATTATGATGAAAATCTGCAGTAAGATCACCAGAGAAACCCTACGGCCCCCTCCCATTTACGGATTCCTTGAATCAACAGACTAATAGCTTCTTTTCAAACAATCTTTTTGTGGTACAAAACTTAAAAATGGCTTTGAAAAATGCAAACATTTAGCAAACCAAAGCTTTTCGTCTGACACTCTTCAGAGTTTAAAACGTCAGAACATAGACCGAAAACTCTACGCTAGGAAATATATATACCCAGTTGTGGATCGAAATAGGCCAATCAGAATCACGCGCACATGACTGTTGAACCAATGGAGTCCTAAGGTGAAAACGAACTCCTTTTGTCTACACAGTAGCGGTTTTTTCGTGCTTATGTAGATAGATTCCAAAACTGCTAGGTGGAACGACGATCGGGCTTTACCAATAATCCGAAACATGTCGCCATTTTAGTTTTTGCACAATCTGGGTTTTCTAGTAAATGCTGCCCGATAGCAGAATCGCAGGTTATAGTTGTAATTTTAGATTTGCAAGACCGAGGTGGCTGTTCTCTTTGGGGACGAGCTCTGTTTCTAATACTAGGCGGAACATGTTGTTTTATTCTATCATCCAATCTTTGGGTGGTGCGTCCTACGTAGCTAGAATCACACTGGCACGTAAATTCATATACAACAGAACTTTTTTGTGTGACAGGAATGCAGTCCTTTTGAATGGACGGAAGGGCCTTTTTCGTACTATAAACAACACGTGGGTTGACTGCAAAGAAACAATTTGTAATGGCCTGTTTTATTTGGCTTTCAAAACGTAGGGAACTGTCACCGATCCAGGGTAGTTTTAGATAGACCGGGCACTTTTGAGGACCAAATTTTACGTCAGCCGAGAAATTTCCTATCTTCTCCTTAATGTAAACTGAAATAACATCCTCTGGATAGCCGTTCTCCAGAAAGATCTTAGTTATTTTTTCAAGTTCCGAGTCGAGTTTAGACTTGGAACAAATCATCAGTGCCCTATGTGTAAGCGTTTTGATGAGGCTGATTTTTCTTTGTTTTGGGCAAAACGAACTCCATCGAGTGTATAACCCCGAAAATGTGGGTTTACGGTATACACTGGTGAGAAATCCAGTGTCAGATTTTTCAACCAAAACATCTAGGAATGGCAAGGAGTTATTTTCTTCCTTTTCAAATGTAAACTGTAGGGCTGTGTGAAGGCCATTAAGTCGTTTTAGGAAAGTATCACACTCAGCCTCTGTTTTGAAAATGGTATAATGTTTTCTATGCAAAAGAAAATCTGAATGGTCGATGCGTCATTAGCAGCCTTTTCACAAATGTCCCTTTGAATGAGACCATCAAAATATATGCCGACGCTTTGTACCGGAGCGAGCTTAATAGCCCACCATTCCCAGAGGAAGTATTCATTGAACTGATGGAAACTGCAACACGTTCAGTTGAATTCAGTTTTAACAATGAAATGTACCAACAAAAGGATGTTGTCGCTATTGGTAGCCCTCTGGGACCTGCCTTGGCCAATATCTTTGTTGGCTTTCATGAAGAGCGTTTGTTTGACTGCGACCAAAAGCCAGGTGTCTATTTTCGGTATGTGGATGACACATATACCAGTTCCGTTGTATATGAATTTACGTGCCAGTGTGATTCTGGCTACGTAGGACGCACTACCCAAAGATTGGAGGATAGAATAAAACAACATGTTCCGCCTAGTATTAGAAACAAAACTCGTCCCCAAAGAGAACAGCCACATCGGTCTTGCAAATCCAAAATTACAACTAAAACCTGCGATTCTGCTATCGGGCAGCATTTACTAGAAAACCCAGATTGTGCAAAAACTAAAATGGCGACATGTTTCGGATTATTGGTAAAGCCCGATCGTCGTTCCACCTAGCAGTTTTGGAATCTATCTACATAAGCACGAAAAACCGCTACTGTTTAGACAAAAGGAGTTCGTTTTCACCTTAGGACTCCATTGGTAACATTCTCAATAGGCAAGCGGCACTGATTGGTCAACCAATACAGTCATGTGCTCGTGTTTCTGATTGGCCTATTTCGATCCACAACTGGGTATATATTTTTCCTAGCGTAGAGTTTTCAATCTATGTTCTGACGTTTTAAACTCTGAAGAGTGTCAGACAAAAAGCTATAGTTTACTAAATGTTTGCTTTTATCTTCTTTTCACAAGTAACTTCCTCTGTTTGAAATTACAGTTCTCTACAAATGCAGTTTATTGACTTTATGACTATGTTTACAGCTCAGATTCTTTTATGTATGGAACTCCAAGCCGATACCAGCTTTCATTTCCCACGAAATTTTTCTTCTTTAACCTGGAAAATTTGATAACTTTGTAAGATATTCCACCTTTGTACATCGAAAATTCTGACAGTCATTTACGGCTAGCGTCCTAACCAATGTTTGTAATTCTCGGTTATTCTTAATTTTCTTTCATTTTTCTTTTTAACAGCCACTTGTCAGGCAGTCATTCCGAAAGAGAAGGGAGCTGCTGCAGGAATCTTTCAACGAAATCGAAGGAGTAAGTTTCAAATTGATGGAAATATATAAGTGATCACAATTACTATTTTTTGCTTGGTACCCTTTGACTTTGCCAATGCTTGAAAAACGTAGCTAAAATAATAGGGCAATCGTACAGCCATTTGATAATGGAACTTGCAAGTCTATTTTTGTTACTATCTCCTATAAATATTTTGCTTTTCAAAAGCCCTTTACATGTTTCTATTGTCCTTATGACGTTTAAGTATGAGACATAGCTGGATCATTTGGAGTTAATTTTAGGCCACTTTCTTCGCTGCACTGCAGGCTCAACAAATGTGCGTTTGTGATAAAAATGATAAGTGTTTGCTCTTTGTCAGATTATTTAGAAAAATTCTCCAGCTGAAACTTAAAATCATGATTACCCATCTTCTGCTGGAGAGTTAGTAAACGCTTTCATTTGCCCTCTTTACTTATTTTAACTATGTTACAATGTTTGTTAGAGATGTTAATTTTAACAAACGAACAAATTTGTGCTTTCCAGGAGTTTATGTTCGCCAAGTCAATGGTTTCTTCAGATGCTGATGACATCACAGAGTTTTTAGACGAATCGATAAAAAGTATGTTTTTCAAATTCTAATCTGTGTGCTTTATGTTTTGCCAAAATTCATTTGAAGGCACGCTCCTCCAAGAGTTTTCTGTTGTTTACAGCTAGAATGTTTATTCTACATTAAACAAGTAGGAATGCAATTAAGTCATTTTGCTAGCCTATTATGACATTAATACATTTGATTTTATGACTTGAAAGCGAGTAAATCAAACTTCACAAAATGATCAGTCTTTACGCTGATGGTTGCAATAAGTGTGAAACGTGGAGTAGCAACTTAGAACTGTGCTGTTCTATACACCAAGCGTGTACAGCTCTGCCTATTCAAGCATCGAGCACTTTATGACAGACCGGTAAACAGTAACTTTTATCACAATAGTTTTTCTAATAACTGACTTTAAAACATATCATTAATTCAATACTTATTTTTTGTGTACCTACAAATAAGTACGTCTCTATGTATCCTTCATAAAAATAAATCGAAGAGCTTCAATTGGAGAACGATTCGTCAACTGATATTATTTCTAATATTATTCATCAGGTAACTGTGAAGGCCTGATGGTAAAAACTCTTGATGCTGACGCAACTTATGAAATCGCAAAAAGGTCGCACAACTGGCTCAAGGTATTAAAAATTGTTGATTGATTACAACTAACCCCAATGCTCCCTCTCATCCCAGATTACTCATACTTCTATTCATTTTTCCAATGATATAACTTCTGACTTTTTGTACTCCTTCATTCTTCCAAGTTGTGTTCGTCTAAAGATGGTTTTTTATTCATTTTCTGCGTCTCTTCTCATTCTTCGTTCTTAATTTCTTCCAATCATCCCCGTCTGAACGTTCACGTACTTCTCTGGTGTGTCTGGATATTTCTCTTGCTTTCTCTTGCTTTCTCTTGCTTTCTCTTGCTTTCTCTTGCTTTCTCTTGCTTTCTCTTGCTGTTCCTATTATACTTTGCATCACATTTTCTTGAACCTGATACCGTTGCCAATTTCCATTGCTATCTCCTAAATGTTTTCCATTTCAAGCTTCTTTCTTCTTCTTTTGTTCCCCTTTCATCCACCTCGTCTGCAATCATCTTATCTCCACACAGAATGAAACCTCTATTGCCTTTTCTCAGTTCCGCCGCTAATCACCCTTCTACTTTTTTGGCTCCACACACCTGCAGACACCTTCCATTATTAAGTCACTCTTCATTAGACTTGCAACACACCAATTTTACAGTCATTTGCGAGCTTTTTCCCTTATTTTTGCGTTATTTTTTACCTTTGATCATTTGTTTCGTTTTAAATCCTTCAAGCTTATGAAACTTTTTTGTTGGGTCTCCTTAATGTTTTAAAGAAATGTGTGTTAAAATGAGATCTTGAAGCCACATATGATTAGACAGAAAATTATTTTAGAAGAAATTAATCTAGCTTAGAATAAATAATGAAATTGTAGCGTTCTTTTGGAAAAAGGTTCCTTTCCACAAGGGATTTGAAATTATTGATTGTCCCTACGCAATGTCAGAAGATATAACCTGGAAAATACAATGCTGTTGCCATGGTAACGTTGCCACCAATGTTACGCTTTTGCCACGGTTACATTTATGTTCACTACGAGATTTGAAATTTTGTTTCATACCCTCTTGCCGTTTTTGACATCATTTCCTTGCCAAGCATTCCAAGTATGCAAACCATTTATTCATTACGAAGCTTGTTTCGCCTACTGCAATTTTCATTCTGTTAACTAGACAACTCTGTCAATAGTAATAACGATTTTGTTATCTTGATACAGTTGAAGAAAGATTACCTGGAAGGAGTTGGCGATACTCTTGATCTTATTGTGATCGGAGCCTACCATGGAGCAGGGAAACGAACAGGAAAATATGGAGGGTTCCTATTAGCCTGTTACGACGAAGAAAACGAGGAATTTCAATCTATTTGCAAGGTAACCTAATGCTCGGCTCTAAGTTGAGTTCCTTTTAATAGAATAGGTCCAATGATTTTTGTGCTTGTTGTATTTTTCTATCCTTTGACCAACTCACAAGTTTGTTTCACTCTTAATAAAGTTGGACTTTAACATTAAGCAATTTGATGTCATCAATTTGTACCCTGATTTATTTGCCTTCGCCACATATATTGATGTCCTGAAGGTATTCTCGGAGCTTGGAAGGGGAGGGGGGGGGTTTCTTAATAGGTTTTTTGTGGTATGGTGACGTGCCCATATTTAGGGGTACCTCTTTTCTGAAAAGTGCAGAATTATCGATTTCAGTTTTTAAGATATGTTTGGAATTATGGAAAAATATTGCCAAAAACATTGTAGGGAAATTTAGCATTAACAAAATAAATGTCCAGTTGAAAAAAAGGTATGAAATATGATACTGATATTTTTGGGAAAAGGACTTGAATGATTGAATTGAATGATTTTGATACATGTGTTTTAAAAATGATATTTTCTTTGCGGAATTATGGGTATAATTTTCATCATGTTTTCGAAATTACGTGTCACATTTTTCAGATATATGCGTCCAAATTTTGAACTAAAATGGCACGTCCCTGTGCAATATAAGGCTAAGTTACCCGTCCCCCCTCCCCGAGCCTGTGAGCTTTGAATGTGTAAGGTTTCAGACACATCAATAATATGTGATTGAATCGAATTGGTAAATATTCCGGCCAATCAACGAACGTGTCATAATTAGGATCCATCCGACTTTCTACTCCGCAAGAAATAACTTCAAAATTTTCCAGGCTCCAAAGTTGATACTGCATTCAAGATCAGCTAACCCTCAGCCCTTTCCCAGTATAATGTGAATCGCTTTATTACAATAGAGAAGACAACCCCAATTCATGTCATTGGATATCCCATACCGATTAGGTTTTATCAACAAGAAATTTATGGCGGTGTATTGAAACTTACCAATTTTATAATTCGTTAATCTTTAGTGAAGGTGTTTATTATGTTGACAAGCACGTTAGACCTCTTTTAACGTACAAAGTACAACGTCCAGGACATTAAACATTTTGAATGCGTGTATAAAAATGTAAAAGTGTTTTTCCCTCTTTTCTGTCTCTGGTCATGAAATTTTGCGTCTCCTCCTCATCCTATAGATGGGCACTGGGTTCAGTGATGAGGACCTTGCAAAGCATCACGAGTTCTTTCAAAGTCACGTGATTGATAAGCCTCGTCCTTATTATCGCTATGGTGATTCTGTAACACCAGATCATTGGTTCGAGGCTGTTCAGGTTTGCTTTTAGTCTCTTATTTCAAAGCCAATATTTTATTGTTTCCTTTGCTTTGTTCTTCAAACAACTCTCAACATCAGACGACTTTATTTTGTCATTCACTAAGCAAAACAGGCTTGTCACCTGTGGAACGAACGAAGTTCATTATTTCACATTTGTGACTGGCGTTTCCAGATATTGGGCACATGATGCAATGTCCCAGAGCACTTTTCGTTGCTATTTTTTCATAAAACATTAACCAGGCACTGAAGTATCGGCTCTGAAGGAAGGCTTGTAGTGACGAGTTCACACCGGCTACCGTTTCATTTTTTTGGTACGGGGAATGCAGAATAGTGCTTTAACCAAGGGACCCCCTAGATATCACTTTATATTTCCATTGTTTTTTTATAATCTCGCCTTCTAATCAACATTTGTACTTTTTATACGTCAAGTTGCTCTTGCAATTTTGTATATGTTGTTTAGTCTACATAGGGGGCCAGTTTTGGTAAAGGGGGCCAGTGGTTATCACTTTTCTAGAAATCTCTCATTCTTGTCATTTAGAATTTTGTTTATGTTTTATTCCCCTTCTTTATTCAATGTTTCATTCTATCTGAGAATCTGAATGAAAAACTAATAAATGTTTCATTGATAAATGCCTATATCATTGAATTTGCCAATTAAAACTGCCAATATCAATTATAATATACCTTTTCTTACATTGAGGTACGTTTCTTTTTGATATCTAGGTTTGGGAGGTCAGAGCTGCAGATTTGTCTGTGTCTCCAACTCACAAAGCTGCGATTTCAATCGTAAGCATATTTTCTCGATTTTTCTTTTTAAAACCATTTACAGTTGTTTGCTAACCAGTTGAAGTCCTTCAAACTGAACAGAGAACAAAAAGAGGACTAAAGTAAGAGCCTTGTGGTACACCCAGTTTCTTTCGTCTTCAATACCTGCCAATGGTCTTGCAGTTTCCCCTCTCCCAATCGAAATGCAGCATTCGCACGTAACCTGTTATTTTCAAACTAGGATGGCTGAGGTGCATTTCAAACAGTGTTTATAGATGTAAATGGAGCAACTCAGCTACTTCTTTAGACTTAAATTGAATTTAGATCGAGGACTGACTGAAACTGATTTGCTTTCCTAGTACTTTTCGCAGGCATTGTAGACGCACCTATTAAAGTCTGAAGCCTTTTTTCAAAGGATGTATTGGTCCACAGTATCGTGTGTTTTTGTACGAGGGGCTGGAAAATTTCCTCTTTGTATGTTGAGGTCGTCGCTGGTTGTTTTTCATTTATTTGACCAATCTCTAGTTGCACGTTTTAACTTGATTTGTTTAGCCGTGTATGGATTTTTGATTGCCTGACTGACCTCATCATTACAATCATCAGCTGTTATGCTATGAAAACATTCAAATTTGCAAACTGCATATTGCACGCAAATGTTCCGTGATGCAATCTTGTGTCCAAGCCTAATATTTTCGTTCTATAGTCTGCAGACGTTGATATGTACGAACCGTGCTGCAACTGATCGTGACTCTGAATTTATGCAAAAGCTCAAAGTTCTGCCAGCACATCTTTGTTTATTTCCCCTAATGCATTTGAAGTTAGGACATAGTTCTTTTTTATCTGCATTAGTCAGGAACTCTCATCGATCCTGCATCACATTTAAGTAATTACAGAATCACACATCCCGTTCGCTTACATGCTCATACAAATGACCACATGATTTATGATCAGGAACATTTCGATGCATCGAAAGACTGTTTCCTTTTTGCCAAGGCGTGGTAATATTTGTTTGTACTGATTTCTTATCACTCACTCTTTATTTAAAAACTTTCAAGTTACTTCTTGAGTTAAATACCATATTCAAATTTCAGGTTGATCCTGAGAGAGGAATCTCGCTCAGGTTTCCAAGATTTTTAAGAATACGCGATGACAAGAAACCGGAAGAGGGTACTTCTGCTCAGCAGGTATTATTCGATTGTAAATTTTAACATATGTATGTATGTCTGAGTTAGCGAGAGTCCGCCTTATCCGGGCTTCCACTGGGGTCTAAAGATCAATCCGGCTTAGTGAAAGTCCAAGGTCTCCGGGGGTATGACTTACCGGCATTCAACGGTAAACCAAGTGTAGTTTTCAATATTATAGCGGCCCTTTTCCACATTTCCTTCGCGATTACTCCTTTTAATCAAAATTTTAACCTTACACATGATCTTTGTCACAGAATAGAGATGTGGGTCTCTATTTTGTGCCTTGTCCACTTACCGGCAGTTCCAACACGTACCTTGTTGGTTCGGCGTCTTCTTATGCTGCACATTCAATGAAGAAATTTTGCTCCATATGGAACAGCAGAGATCTGTAAAGCTCTGACATATTTCCAGCTACAATTAACAAATGCACTCCACCCTAGGTTGCTGAAATGTATAGAAATCAAGAAACTGTAAAGAATAATTCTGAAGCAGGAGCAGCTGCAACAACAGCGGAAGAAGATTTCTACTAGTTGCGAAAATGAGATCGTCACGTGACATAATGGTAGAGCACCGTGGTTGATGAACTTTGTAAATAGAAATACAAGAAAACTTTATCGTGAGCGTATATGGTGAAGCCTAGCGGTTCTTGAAGGAGTTGGAAACGATATGAAGACATGTAATTTGTTTAGATTTATCTTCTTTAACAAAGGAGGGGTTATACCAAATACCTTTGATTTGTAGGTCCTGTAGCGTACGCACATGAGAATGTAACGAGTAGGCTCTCACGGAAATGAAGTACATTCTGCTTCCATAACTTAGCCTTCAATTACTTGAATCTACTGTCTTTTTTTATCAAAAGTTGCAACACTGTAGGCATCTCGATGGACCTTTGTTTATCTTATACCCTGCTCATGTCGCTGTGCGGTTTTGAGAGTTATAAGATTTTGTTTCAATGTTATTGATAAATGTTTCAACGAAAGACGTAGAAAACCGCGTAGAACATTGTGTGCGTCATCACTTAGCATTGGCTAAACACCCACACATTTGAATCCGATGATGTTTTTCATCTGTTGAGGCTAGAGTTCCTGAACGTACTGAAGATGCTAAAAGCCCCTAGAAGAAGGTTGTCAAAGTAAATGAGCCTTTCGAACTTCTGAAAGCATATTTTTTTTAGAGAATTCAATTTTAAAGCAGAATAAAGCAATTAATGTTATGTTAATTTATGCACTTTCATTTGATTTTAAATCAAGGCTACATAACCTGTACCCTGGGTACCAGAGCCTCATAGAGCCAGGGATACAGTCTTGTAGACAGCTGCGGTGGTAAAGAATGAGTGGATGCGTAGGAGGGGAAGGAAATCACCCCACCTTCCAGCCTGTGAGCTGAAAGGTGAGGTTCAACCCTTGCGCCAAAAAAATTTTTTTTGACTTTTTTCTAACTATATTTCTGAGACTTAAAAATGGCGACTCTGGTACACAGGGTACATAACCTGTTTTTTTTCTTTCTATAATTTCTTTTTCAAAGTAACAATAATCTTATTCCGAAGTTACTCTACAGAATATTGTCTCTACCAGAGATAGAAAAACGACATAAACTTACAAACCTGGTTTGGAGGAAGGTTTCTTTGCAAAAATGAGGAAGATTTTATGAACATAAACTTTATAGTTTTGTTCTTTCAAGAATGAGAATCAAGTCGCGTATAAATACCTGGAAACATTTAAAATCATCCTTCAAATTAATGAAAGTAACAACCAGGATATGTGTTTTATCGATATGTGTTAAAAAATTGATTCTTTAAAAACTGTCGTTAGAAGTGCTGCAAAAATTTTTTTGCTCAAAGGTCTGAGGTAACTAGTCAATTTTCAGCAATAGCTCATGGTTCAGATTCAAATGATAAAACAGGCAATCAAGATATAAGAGCAGAGGATTGGAAAGTAAGTTCAATGATTATAGATCAATGTATGAACAGTAGATGAACGCCCATATTTCCTGTTTGTGATGATTCAAGAATTTCTTTGCCAGTTTTCGCTTGATCCGTGCTCGTTCTCCTTTGCTCACCAGATTTGTTGAAATCGTGCGCAACTTCAGAAATACCAACTGACATCAACGATCGTATGGTGAAAGTAGCCGGATTTCATGACTTATAAAGCATCACGTTTACGAAGAATGACAGGCACCGCGGAGCGTTGAGAAAAGGGGGGGGGTCTAAAAAAAGTGGGGGGAGGCTAAAACCGTATAAAAAGAGGCTTTACTGGTAGTTTATTACTAAATTTTTGGTATTTTTTGCTAAAGCCCCCCAGCTCCCCTGCTCCGCGGTGCCTGAATGAGTACACTTTGTTTTAGGTCGTGGGGAACGCATACAACCATATATAAAGAGATGCTTTTTCCGTGCCTTTTTTGCTATGCCAGGCATGCTCACCGCATCTCTTATATTTTTGTATATCTCTATCTAGATATCTGTCACCGATGCGCTTAAGGTGTTCGTATCAGCAACAAGCTCAAATCTAACAACCTACAACCACATTACAAGACTACCGGTATTCTTCGTAAACAGCGACAAGCTACCTTTCTTCAAGATTGGAATCAATTTAATTAATAAAATCAGCAAAAACATTTTCACTGACTTAATTAAAAAGTTATATGACAGAATTTTGACCTTCGTTGTAGCACTTTGTAGTTCTAACAATGCTGTCTTATCTCCCATTTGCCTTGAGGCTGTCACCACTGCTATTTTGATTAGTGCATTTTGGCATACTCAAGTCTAAACCTAACGATTATCTAAAACTAAAAATAACGATTATTTTTATCATGTATAAAACACAAATGTAAAGCATCAATAGCTACACCCTGATAACCAGATAATTTTTGTTCTTTCTTACGCATAATGAGCCTCTGGTATTCTAAATTTTCTTCTATTTTCAACATTTTTATACAACTATATTCTATAGATTGTTTCGAAGGCCACTGAATAACCGTCGCCGAGGTTTTTAGTAGCACGGGTGATGAACTAAAGAAATCTACTTTGTTTTGTTTGTTAACAGGAGAGTAAATTTTCAAAAAAATGTGGTTTTACGTCTATTTTTTCCCCTGTGGATGGGGAATGTTCTTATCTTGTTTTTATTCTATTGGCAAATCGAAATCCAGTGTTCTTAAACAGTGTCTTTTTATATGAAAAGGACTGTAATTTGTGTAATCTATCTTTTGAAGATCACATCTAATTGGTGCTAGCCCGAAGGCAACTTTCCAGGTGCGAGGATGGCTCAGTTGTGAGGCGCTGACTACAGACTCAAGGGTCCGTGGTTCGAGTCCCTGGCATGACCAAACTTTCACCCAGAGTGAGGAGAGTCACCAGCTCTCTGTAATTCCAGGCATAGGAATCACGAGGTGTGGTGACATCGAGAGGAAGGACCAGGACACTGCTCGATAAGCAGCAGCTTCTCAGTGTCCTAAATAACTACCTTCGAATGCTAAGTAGAAACAAATATCGAATAAATAACTTTCCAGCGCCCAATTTAAAGTGGTATTGGCCATTTTCATATTGGTCATGGAAATATAATTAAGTGTCCTTAAAAAGTATCAGTTGGGGAAGAATGAGGTCTTTGGTTTAGGTACTTATCCTGTCGAGGAGCCTATCACTCTTCGCTATTTTAAGATTATATTAAGATTTTCAGAGAAAAAAGAACTATGTGAAATTGTAATAACTAAACTCGTTTTAGGAATGATTCATGCAAAATGAGATAACATAACAAACGTTTGTTTGATAATACAATTTGGGTGTGGTATGCAGCACTTGCTGGGCGTGTGTCATGCAACTGCATGCAACTTTTCTTGTATTACTGTATTACCTCGTTTATAAAAAATCCGCTTGAAATTGGGTTAGAAAGGACTGTCATTGTCCATGTCCAACAACATTGCAAGGACTGTCATTAGCTATTGGAAATTTCATTAAAACGCAGGTACATTGTCACCGTACATTGTTGTCACAACCACAAAAAATTTACGGTAACAGAATCAAGGGTAATGTAATAATAATAATAATAATAATAATAGTAATGATGATGGAAAATTTTCATTTTGAATTCCAGTTAAAACTACAATTACAAATCTCACTATTACAAGGTAATTTGTAACTGGCTAGCCTGTGTTTACAAAATAAAAACTATTACATCGTAGTAATGAGAAAATAAAAAAAAAATAAAAATCTTAAAAGGGGAGTAGCTCTGGATTAGTCCAAGTTTTGTTTCTACAGCAGAATATATAGTATGTGGTGCGAATGGAGGTGCTTGAAAGTTTGGAGATGAGGTAGCGTTTCTGTTGATGATCAATGGACAAAGAGTCACACATGTTGATGAATGAGCTGCAGGAGTCGCCAAAAATACCGAGTGAACTGATGGAAAGATTGACAAACGAGACTAACTTAAACTGACGTTTTAAGTCAGATACGAGGGTGGCATATTTCTCTGACTTTCTGACAGCATTGCAGTTGAGATTTGTTTCAAAGCCTATGGTTAGCTCTAAAACGTACAGACAGTTTTCCTTAGTTTTGAGAAGTAAGTCAGGGCGTAGTTGATCTCCAGTTATGATAGAAGGGGAAAGAAAGCCTGGTAAATCTGCGTAGAGAGAAGACCCATTTATTGCTTGGAAGGAAGTGGCTAGAAAGTTTAATGCAGAATTATGACGCCAAGTATAGCGGCCTTGGTCAAGGTACACTTTGCATCCAGCAACAACGTGTAGAAGTGTTTCTGGAAAAGACAGAATTCACAGTCAGATGTTTGACTAAGGTTCCATTTCAGCAGATTTTTACGAGTTGGAAGAGTGTTGTTAAGATACTTGATGGTAAAGTTAAAGATTTTACTAGGCAAATTGCTCTGTGTACTTGACCAAATACAGTTCAGCTTTTCCAGTGAATGTTTCAGTAGGAAGGTAATTGTAGCTCCCTGAGATGGTAAGTTTTGAGAGAGACGTTCTTTGTTGTCTGATTTGACAGCCTTTAATACCTCTTTAGTATTACGATAGATGTCGTACTGTAGGTTCGTGCCATGACTAGTGTTTTTCCATAGGGTTTGAATGTCAATATTAGGAGAAGATTTTAGGGCATTGCGACAGACAGTTTGGCATTGCGTAAATTTGATAGAAGGCAGTTGTAGATTTAGGCCAAACTGATTTTTTGAGAGGATTATTATTTTTTTTTTTTTTTTTAAACATCTCATTTTCATTGAATACATTTTAAATTTACAATTATACGACTCGCTTTTACAGGCATCATATAATTGGCTTATCTGCATTACAACATTTAAAAGTCAATTAGTTCGGGGCTTAGCCATGGTTTGTTTCGACGACAGAAGATATAGTAGGTGCAGCGGATAGAAATATTCATGAGTTTCATCAAGATGGATTTAGTTTGATTTGAGTCAAAATTAAGTTGGTGTAGCATGTCAGAGAGAGAGGTAGATGAGGTTTCCAGAATGCCAAGGGCACTCATAGAAAGGTTAACAAAGGTAACACGTTTATAGGCAGGGCTCAGTTCCTTGATAAGGTCGCTATATTTCCTAGCTTTTCGAGTACTGTTTTCGTCGATGTTGCTTTCGAACCCAACAGTAAGCTCTAGCATGTAGAGGATTCGATCTTCAGTTACGAAGACAAGATCTGGTCGATAGGAGTCGCCTGTGATTAAAGAAGGTGATAGAAATGAAGGCAGGTCGGCGTAAAGTGAGCTGTTTCTAGGTGTTGAAAGGATTTTAGCCAAATATAGAAGTACAGAATCATGTCTCCAGGTATACCTACCATGTTCAAGATAATTCTTGCAGCTAGAGACTATGTGCTGTAATGATTCTGATTGGAGACAGAAAGAGCAGGCAGATGACTGAGTAATTGACCATTTGCAGAGGTTTTTTCTAGTGGCAAGAGTGTTGTTTAGGTATTTGATGGTAAAGTTGTAAATGTTTTTTGGTAACTTTTGCTGGACACTAGACCAAAGTTGATTAGTTCCCTTAGAAGCAAATTTTAAGATGCACGAGATAATAAATCCTTGAGATGTAAGAACGTTTTCAATGCGGTTTTCGTGTTCACTTTGGATGGATTTGAGAACTTGTTTTGTGTTGCGATAAACGTCATATTGTATGTTTGTACCAGTGCTAGAGTCTTTCCATAAAGAGCGAATCTCTTGGTTTGGGGACAGTCTTAAAGAGTTGCGGATAACTGTTTGGCATTGTAAGAACTTGGTAGATGGAAGAATGAGATTGATGCCAAACTTCGATTTTGGAATGACGAGGCTACTTAGTGAAGCACTTATTGGCAGCTCGAGCCATTGTCTAACAAAGCTTGAAACAACATTGTCTAGATTCTCTGTCACCCATGTCTTAATAATAATAATAATAATAATAATAATGATAATTATAATAATGGAAACATTTCATTTTCAATTCAACTTAAACTACAATTTCAAATTTCACTGTTACAAGATAATTTGCATTTGGCTAGCCTGGTTTTACAAGAAAAAAACTATAACAATCGTAAGGTAAAAGGAAAAACTGAGAAACAATGAAACAACTAAAGTTAAAAAGGATGTTATTCCGGATTTGTCCATGGCTTTTTTTCGCAACAAAATATGTAGTCGTAGTACGGATGGCAATGCTGAAAAGTTTAGAAATGAGATACCGTTTTTGTTGCTGATCGATGGAGAGAGAGTCACACATTTTGAAGAATGAATTGCAGGAATTGCCGAAGATGCCAAGAGAGCTCATTAAAAGATTAACAAAGGAGACAAAATTGAACTGCCGCTGCAAACCAGATTGACAATATATGATAACAATATATTATGACAATGATAATCGTTTATTTTAACTGTTAGATTGACAATACTGCAGACAGTTATATTGACGAACATGAAGCGATTCAGGAGAGATTGCATTTTTTATTGACTCCAAGCATGGCAGGAATGATCCAATTGTTGTTTTCATCGCGCACTCCATCAACCTTGGAAAATACTTTAGAAATACACTATGAAAAATATTATATTTGATATCATCGTATTGTACCGTCAGGGTTGTTTGCTTTGATTTGGTGATGTTTATGAAAACGTACTTTAAACATTTGCACGAATTGCACCTGTCTTCTTTGTCAACAATGCCTTAACAGCAGGCCTTTTGTCAGCATTTTCAATAAAATGACTGAATTTCAAGTAAATAGACAATCACCAGTTTATACTTTGCAAACACGTGTGTTTAATTGCGATTAAAGAAATAATTCTATAATTCCCACGAAGTATGAATAAACCTGTGAATTTTATCGCGGTTATGAGGGCTTGCCCTACGTCATCAAAATATATTTTCGTAATATACGAAACAATAGCTTTGTTTTGTACACACCGGCTTCTTGCTGTATATTGGGAGATGATTGCCTGTCTTTAATGGAAAGTCAGCCCAACTTTTTTGGGTTTTCTTCAATAAAAAGGTATAAATAATTGTGCCTGAGGTCTCCTCTTTCCTGTTTTCCATTTCTTCAAGTTCCTGCTCAAGAAAGGGTTTCCTTCGCATTATGAGTTTAGAGTTGAAAATTCTAAAATATAGTTCGTAAGAACTCTTTGGAGAGCCTCAAAGAGTTCTAGAATTTGCATTAAATAGAACCACAGATATATTTGGAGAGTTTCGATTCCTGTGGATAAAACCTCAATTATAAAACGCCTATTTGATAACTTTCCGGTATCAAATCCGTTTGCTGCACTTTTTTCTAGAAAAAGGAGATGGGTTTTGATAAAAGGGGTAAATTTCAAAGCGTTCATTTTTTGAAATGCATGTTATAAGAAAATATCACACAATTCTTCAAAAAGAATTCAATGCTAGAATTCAGGCTTTTCCAACTTTTTTAGCAACCAGGTTTTACAATTCCTTGAGCAGGAACTTGAAGAAATGGAAAACAGGAAGTAGGAGACCTCAAAAATGATTATTTATACCTTTATGTTGTATAAGTTACATATGAACCGTGTATTGTTTTGTTATTGCTAATTCGAACTTGAAGTTCTGGGTTTTATGCAAAGCAGATAAGATACTTTGATATATTTATAATATGCAGGGGCGGATCCAGATAAATTTTGAAGGAGGGGCAGTTGGTTGTGGGGGCGCTGAAAATTTCAGGTCCATTTTCGTAATAAACAACATCACTTTGAGGTATTCCTGGAAGCAAGTTAACCTGCCGGTCTCAGAAATTTTTTCACTTGATTCTCATTTTTCAAAAGGGGTGCACAATTTCCAAAAAGGGGTGCCAGGCTTGCCTCAACTTGTTAAGGGGGGCAGCTGTCCGTAGTTGCCCCCCTTTAATCCGCTACTGATAATATGTATGACAAGAATATAAATGTTTTTGAATATTGCACGACCCTTCATGAATTTTGTTACAAATCAGAAGTAATTTTATCTGACAAGATGTTGATAGTTGTGTAGAATATCTTCAAATCTTTTATTATTTTTTAGAAAGCTTATATCTTTAAGGTGGCATCATTTTCCTCAAAATTATCGTCGATCATTTTAAGATCAGTTTTGTCTAAAAGGACAATTTGGTCGGCACAACTTCAACCACAAAACATTCTATTTTAATTTTGTATCCATGAGGATGTGAGAAAGTTAAGTCCAAATGAACCGGTTTGCAGACTATGGCCGCTTTCGACCAGATCTCGAGCCGATCTCGGGTGTGTCAAAAGCCCCTCACCTCACGCGCGGCAAAAATTGCCTAATAATGCGGCCGTGTAGTTGCAATCACCCTATCATTGTTAATCATAGCCCTATCATGGTGATCATTCCCCAGTGATCATGTTTAAAATGTCCTGAACCATATTGATCGATCTCTGTCCTGTCATACATATACTGTAGAGTGCAGATGAAGGGAGTGGCGGGTCAAAATATCTGGTCTTCGAAATAAATTTCCAAGTAACATAGAACTTTGGGGAAAATGCCAAAAGGCCCCACCCCCCGAAGCCCAGATAATCTCCGCCGTTGTTGCTAGGAATGGTAACCAAGATATCGGTCACCCATTCTGATTTCTGTATGTAAACCCGAGTTTATTATATTGAAAAAATGTTAATGATTTCCTTAAAGAGCACATTTCAAATGAATAACCTCTCAGTACTCTCATTCAAATGACGAATAGTTTTGTAGAGTAATTCGCTTGTGTGATTGGGTCTTTGGTGATGCCAGGTGCATCTCTCCTGTTTTCGCTATCATCCCATGCAAATTAGTCCACATTTGAAATTAACATTACTACATGTAAAGGAAATTGGCGCAATGTATATTGATATCAAAGGATTTTCCTAGCCGATGAACAATCTCTATTGATTAAGACATTATTCTCCACGCGTGTTTAGCGGGTTAGGTTTTGAAAAGACCCGACAGGTGGATTGGCACTGGGGTGATACACTTGATTGAGTCGCTGTTGAACTGGCCATAGAAAACCACTTGGTGCGTAAGCAACGTGCAACAAGCATGGAATCGAAACAAAAGGCACATCAAAGCCCGCATGTCTACCGGCGATCACTTCTACAACCTTTTGTTCTCATTCTGTTATTTGATTGGTGAAATGCAGTAGGAAATCCTCGTCGCGTGGTCCGAACAATAATCGGTCTATGATTGGCTTTTGTGTGACAATAGGAAGCCTTTGTAAATGGATAAACACAGCAGACTAGTTTAAAAGGAAATGAGATGGTGTGTTTTTAATACGTAGAAACAAGAGTTGACAACAGGATAGAGTTTTAGTTACCCTTTCTGACGAAATTACCAACCATACAGGCAAACTAACGGAGGTACCTTCGCTTACGTTCATGAGCAAAACAAGATGGAGTTAGAATTAAGAATTGCCATCGAGTTTATCATTTCATTTGCTGTGAAAAAGTTTAAACTGAAAAACACGGAAGAGTTTGTCGAGAGCCTAGTTGCATTACTTACGAAGAAATTTGAAGGACATTGGTACCCAGAACATCCCAACAAAGGAAGCGCATATCGTTGTATTTCTCTGTGTGATCAACTGGATAATATTCTTGTGAAAGCAGCCGAGGAAAGTGGCTTAGATGTTAGAATGTTGCAGTTAAGTTTACCTTCACGACTCGATGTCTGGATAGATCCACGGGAGGTTTCTTACAGAATAGGTAATTTTGTCTTGTTTTGATCTTATGATTTTATGATTTTATCAAATATCTTGAATTTCTCTGATTGTTTTGTTTTCAAGTATCACTCACGAGAGGCTTCCTACCAAGAGCCATGTGAACAGTATTCTCAATTACCCCCCTCCCCCCCCTCTAGACTTTGAAGGGGGTTCTAAAAAATTTATACCAATTGTTGAGAATTTTCGATAGTACTTTAGGGTCTAAAGTTCCTTTGAAATGAGTTCTCAGTTACGACGTTATCGCACAAATTTTTAAAACGGAAAGCGTTTTGCCTTTGTCAAATGTTTGAAATTGCCAAAGGTGAATAAACACCAGTACACACCAGTTTTTTAATTTAACTTTGATAAAACCTGTTACTTGAATGATATGAAAGCATTCCATAGCCTAGAACAATTTCAAGCCCACGATTTACAATGATATTGGAGCGCCATCATTGACGATTTGTTGGTTTGCTTCAAGGAAACGCGCCTTCGAATATCGCATTTCCTCATTGACGTGACGTCATATCGTATGAGGAAACCCTTTAAACCAGGCGCGAATCTTTTGTTTGCCATAGCCAATGGAACCAACTAATCAAGGATAAACGACCTTTTAAAGCCATTCCAGAGTAATAAAACCATTGTGTATGAGAAGCATAGAGATAATGTAAAGTGAAAGCTTTTTGACAGCACATTAAAGTTAGGTCAACTTTCAGTTTCGATTTGATTAATGTTTCCTGGATGACTGTGGGTGATTCAACCAATTGCTTAATAGGTGTGCCTCTTTTTGACCTTAGGGGAAAGATGGTGTCCTGTAATACCCGGAGTCCTGTACATTTTTTACTAGGGTGCAAACACCCACAATTTGTATCCCATGGTCTGATTGTGTCCAGGATAGCTTAGGCTGACCTCTGGGTCACTTGTTTCTTTCAAGGGGCTAGCCCGTGTGCCAAAGACCAATTTTTTTTATTCAGAGTGATATTTTTTCAACAGCAAACTTGTCTGTTGAAAATTATATTTATCTTTTGGTGCTTTTCTCCAAGATCCTTTACCCTAGTTTTGTTTCAGTACCATTATTCACATTTTGCTTCAGTGCAAATAAAAGAAAATTTGAATGGGAAATATTTTGTCAAATAACAACACATATACGTGTAAGGTAAATTACAATGATAGAATTTTGACCACGATAGCTTTATGTATGTTTGGATAAGCATAAGCCTCTTTGTGAAAAGCCCGGAAATCATTTTGGAATTTAATCCGTTGTGTGAAATCTGCCTACAAACATTTCCGTTGTGACCTCATTGAAAAACGATACCCTAGTAGAGACATACTGTGCTATTAAATCCTTCCTTGTATTTAATTTTATAAATAAACGATTTTCAAGACACCTAAGCCCTTAAACTTTCCTTGCCAATGATAACAAAACGGTACTCCTCTCTCTGCTTCTGCGTGCCTTTTCCTATCTTGCTAAAAACCGCACACTACGGATGTTTGTAACAGACTTTTTCGCGGATATCTTTGCCCAATATACGTCTCCATTGTGGTTTTTAAATTATTTTATACAGAAAATACAGCTGCTTGTTGTTTCTCTTTTTAATCATTCTGTTTACAATTCTAGGACAACATGGCTCTTTGACGCAAATTTATCGCGAAGGGGATGATTATGTGAATTCAATGTCAGAGTACGCAAAACCCGTTCTTGAAAAGAACAAGTATCTAAAAACAGACAACAGCATAACTGCGAAGCAGCCAGAAGAAGACAAGCCAGCTCATGTATCTGCAAGAAATAGCCCCAGTGATCGCGTGAAGGCAAGAGATCCAAACAGGCTCTCGCCAACTGCAAAGTCGTTTGTATCGAGAAGGTCACCCACGATTCCTGTGCATGTCCCGTACACGCAAACCGCTGTTACAACAGGATACCCGCCAAAACCAATCGCCAATGTTGATTACGCAAGAAAAGCATATTGGCAGCCGACACCGGTATATGCTCCTGTTGCAAGGATGCAAGCACATAATTACATGATTGCCCAAGAAATTGCACGCTTTGAAGCGCACTTAAAGGCACAGAGGATCGCCCTACACGCACAATACTACCAGACTCCATTTCAGTATATGAAGCACCTTCCCGGCTACTACCCGCTTTCTCAAGCAAAAGTTCCTACTCAAAGCAACAGTAGTCTGCGAGTTCAGGTTGTTGCATAAATTGCTATGTATTTTTCAGAAGAGGTACTCTGATTTAGTTTTACTGTGTAAATAAATATATATGCTTCATGGAGGCGGTCATAAATTTAGCATTAATTCAGATGTAAATTCAAATCCTGCTAGGTTTTGGTAACTGCTGCACGGCTATTCCCTGTGTTGATTGAAACTGGTTTAAAACTGAGATGAGATACATATTTGTAGATTTAGTAGACTATATGCAAGCAAAAGCAAAACAGATTCATTAAAAGCTAAATAAAATAAAATTAAATTGACCGTTTTAGTTCAGATGCTCGTTTTTTGCTCGATTTAAAATATTCTAGTGAATTTAGTAAGGTAGGGTTAGGCCATGAAAATAGTCAATTCAGTATTTTCATTGAAGGTCAAATCCTCGATTCCTCTATCCAATGCATAAATTAGCTGTATATTGCTGTCACTGGTAACCGTTAATAAATGCATGCAAGATGAATAATATATTCATCAGCACTCTCAAAACCACAAATAAAACAGTGACGTGAGAAATCTTCATCTAAAAGTGCGATCGTGTTTTGTTAGAAACGTGGTTTTCTTAGAACAAACATATTGTCCATATAGCTCGATTCAGCTTATTTATCCCTTTCCATGTGACCTGATAAAGACGACTATCCTGCTCAGTTGAAGATGAATTGAATTTGCCTAATGATGGTCACGTCAATGTGGCGTGCAATTTTTGTTTTGCTGAATTTTTAAGACCTGGCTCTCTGAAAACTGTGCAATTCCCCAAATTTCACAGCTCCTCTTTTGGAAACTGTTTTTAAGGTAGCATGCACCCCAACAACTCCTTCACCACATCCCCTGAATGACATTTTCGACTCAGTTTGATTCAAATTTCGTAAGGATAAGCCGTGTAGATATCACATGTTTAACATTTGATAAATATTGTGAACACCTTGTATATGAATGTATAAATCACATATTACAACTTCAATGTAAAGCTAAACTCACAAGCTCATCGTTTTTTTATCGTCACGTATCTTAACTTTTCATGTAGATTAAAGACATTGATTTTACGAGAGCAAGACAGTATACTAACACAAATAGTTTAGCAATTTAACATTATTTCATGTAACTTTATGACTGTTTCATCATTCACTTTATAATTCGACTGCTGAAGATAATATTTGTGATGCTTGCTAGGATGCAATTGTTAATTGAAAGGGTAATTTATTTTTTGGATTTTATTGCTGCCGTTTTGTAAATTTATTCTGTTTGACTAAATAATCTTTAATGGAGCATTTTATTAAATTTGTAATGATTTACTCGCATTGTAAGCTAAGTTAATTTCTATATGCAAATGTATAAACTATAATGGCTCACCTAAAGCAAAATGCTTATTATGTATCATTATTTTTACAGAAAGTTCTTGAAGTCCAGAATATATGTATTTTGACTTGTGTCCCCTGTGTTTTTTCCGGATTTGCATCATGGGAGCCAACAAATGGCGATTACGTGACAACTTGATTGAAGCAGCAACGTTTGCAGGCGTTGTACACTCATTTTTTTATAAGAAACTGGCTATAAGAAACGAGTACTGGACTTGAAGAAATAATTAAGAAACTTCAGTACTTGAAGCAAAAAAAACTAAGAAACTATTAAATCGTGATGAAACTGAGAACAACGAAATTTTGTAAAATCCAAGAACAAGACTGCCCTGTTGGCCTAGAACGTAAGACACAAGGGATAAAAATATACTTCCCACGTCTAAATACAGCGTCAGAACGGAAGCGAATCTCTTGACGTGATAAAAAAGGTCACGAACATTTCATAACATCATTCATGACATCATAATTAAGAAACTCTTAAGAAACAGTGAGTATTGAAATATCCAGAACAATAAGAAACTGGAGTATTCAACATCGACCTTTGTTTCTTATAAAAAATGAGTGTATTCCCTTTGGCCGTTTGACCGTAAAAGGTCATAGGAAATTACGGAAAAGCTATATTATAAGGAAATATTTGTCGTAAAAGTAAATACTATAGTTTATAAAGGCTACCAAAAAGAAATTCATTTTCAAAAGTTTGCTGATAACGTCTTAAATTCCTATGTATCTCCTGATTGTCACTGCATATTTGAAAATTTTGAAACCGCAAATTGCAAAATATTTTCGCACAAAGTTTTCTTCAAAAACTCTGTGATCTCATGAAAACTAAAAATTAGATGTAGATTGTGATATTTTGAATCTAATTGGCTAAATTCCCCTTTGATGCACCACACTAGTGAGATTTTGTCTGGTGTGCCGTGGAAAATTTTCAATTTCACCTAATTGGTCAAAAAAAGGCCCAGTTTTCATAATGAACGAATAAATATGTTTCGTTTAATTGAGAAACATTTTTCTTAGTGCTTATTTGATTCCTAATCACGAAGACACTTAGATGAGAACGACTTGTTTTGAATACAGGCCACAGAGTTGGTGGTAGGCATCGTATTTCTTGCATGAAAAAGTGTGTCGTGGATAAAAAAACATTGACTAGACACAGAAATTGAGAATCGAGAACACGGCTCTGATGAAGCCCCGTATGCCGGGGCTAAATATTAGCCTTCACTGTTTTACGTGTATTTATTGTTGTTTATTCTCGTCGTATTGCGGTGTTTAGTATTTGCTACATTTTAAGCTACACATCACTTGATTTGTCTTACGATTACAAATGTTTACGATGCACTAAAGCAATATCCGTCTTAAACCTCAATTCAAATAGGAGCTGATAAATAAATCAGAATATGACAGGACCATATTCATGTTTCTAGAATAGTAGAAAGAATGCTGGTTGATGAGTGGGAGTAACATATTATATCATATCATGAGATATGATTTAGTTCGAGGCTCGATGTTCTGTAGGTCTCTGGTGTTCAAAAATGTAATCATCATATCAACATTTATAGTCTTAAAACTACGTACAATAAATTTTTTCTAAGACTATAAATTAACAGTTTTGCGTGATAAAACTTTTTAGAAGCGTATTTGATTGCTTGATAAAATATCTGTGGCGTAGATAGAGGGGGGTCAGAGAAGGCAAGATACCCCCTGTAAAGCTAAACTGCTATTTGGTTGGAAAACCTCCGATCCTGTCGGAAATATAACATGGTTGTCTATTTTTATCTAAGGGCTAAGCATTTAGCTGTGAGAGAAAAGATTTTAAAGCTGAATATGGTGATTTCGTCTGTTGTTCAGAATGAGATTGGCAATCATTTTTAGCAAGTTATAGTACCTAAAAATGCCTTTTACGAGAAGAAGACCAAAAAAAATCTTCCATTGCTATGACTTATGACCGTTAACTTTTAACAAATGATCGAGCCTTTATCTCTTGTCTTATTTCAGTTCTGATGTCGTTATGTTATATTCAAATATAGAAACAAATAAAAATTCTTACTAGAATTTGCTTGGAAAGTCTGAATTTCTTGCCCCTCCTACGAATTTTTCTATCTACGCCACTAAAATATGCTCTGTTTTGTTAACATGAAAAAAAATATTCAAAAAAATAAGCATAAGATTTTCGAACTACCCGCGTCTGGTCAGCGGTAACGATTACTCGATACCAAGCCTCTCAGCGCGCGCTTTTTGGATTTTGGGCCTAACTCCCACTTGCCAAGCTGACCCAAGCGATTATTTAATGCCAAATGTGAGTCGCCTTTGAAGGATTGCAAGTTGGCTACCTACAGACCATTTACGAAGAAGTATGTTGCTCTAAAATTCTAAAATAGCTGGATCTGAGTTGTCAGTTTGATGGTTTATTGCTTCACATCAGGTATTGTTGGAACAATGTCAACCCCAAAGAACGTACGAATTCTGCTTGTAGGGGATGGTAAGTTTTTACCTTAAATTAAAAACAAAACAGCCTGAAAATGTTGTAAGGAATCACAGTTTTCCAAAAATTTCTTTCATTAAATTTTACCTAGTCTGAATCCCAGACTTAGGCCAAAAATCATACAATATAAAATTTGGAAGTAATTCAGTTCAGTTCCTTTTTTTCAAATTCGACTACAAACAAAATACTATAATATGAAACAACTTACATCATAAGAAACTACAAATTAATAATTGATAACACAATAATACATATAAAGAGGAAAAAATACGATTCTAGGATTGAGGATAATGTAAGTTGAATTGAGGAAAAGATTGCATAATGATATGATATTCTTATAGGATCAAGCGGTACACCAGCTTTGTTTTCAAACAATCAGAACATGTGAAAAATAATGTGTCAATCTTTGCATCATGTCAGGGACAGAAAATATTGGGTTGCAAAAGTTTGGCGAAAGCATCTAGGAGACCAGTTTAGTCCTGCACACTGGAATTGAGAGATCATGCTGAATTTAACAACTGCAGTAATGCGAGAAGTTTTGTAGGCACATCATATTGTCCACAATCAGAAAAAGACAAAAGTTTTATATATATAATAATTTTCAATTCTTTAAGCATATCTTATAAAGATCTTATTATATTGTGTTTTAGATGCAGTGGGCAAAACAAGTTTGATTCTTACACTTGTGAGTGAGGAATTTCCAGATGAGGTATGAGATTGCCAAAAGCATCCACACAAATAAGTTGTAATTACCTATATTTATCATAATTATAATATTAGTAATATTCTAAAATATTGACAAATGTGGTAAGTCAATGGCAGCTGGAGTATTATAAGTCTAAAAGTAATTTTCCAGCCAGTGCAATTAAACTGCTTACCAAAGTTTTGTCGGTATAATTCAATTCTTAATACTTTACACACTGTTTTGTTGTGAAAAATACATTTGATGAAATATTTTATGTGGTATGTGTCATCTCTTAACATTTGAGGATTCTATGCCATTGGGTAGCAGCAAAAGAATTCATTTTTCAGTTTTTGCCACAATTCTTGCATTTCACTTCCAGGTGCCAGCAAGAGCAGAGGAGATAACAATAACAGCAGATGTTACCCCAGAAAGAGTTCCATCTCATATTGTTGATTTTTCAAGTAAGTGAGTTTAAGTAATAAATCAGTTGTAAAGCTTATATTGACTGTCAAATAGATTTTTTAAAAGAATTTCACAAATTTTTTGTGTCTTGTTTACAAGAAGGCAACATAAGTTGATGTTTTATATAAAGTTTTAAATATCAACATTCATGAAACCAGTTTTGCTATGTGTGAATTCTCACGTTAACAGCTTTCTCTTATCTAGACATGTCAAGCATAAAACATTTAGTAACAACCATGTTAAATTCTGTTGTTGCTTGATAATTCATATTTTGTTTTGACAAATTTATAGCTGCTGAACAATCAGAAGACGAGCTGCGTGATGAAATTGAAAAGGTATGAAAATTGAAACTTTGCATTGGATTCACCACCAAACCTTGCTTGCATTCCAAAACCAACATGCTGAAGATTGATATGCTTGTGTCCCAGCATGATATATTTGAATCCCCTTAGATGTAGGACAAACCTCCTTAACAGTACTTTGGCATGCAACATTTCTGGAATACTCCCTTTGCATCTCAGTAGGTCACTTCTTATGGTGTCATAAGAATATATAGGAATATGTAAAGCTTTGTCATTATGAATCAGTTCAGAGAAATGAAAATTAAGTTATAATATGCTTTATTGGACATTGATTGTATCATGGTAGTTTTAGAGCACGGTATATAGATTTCATTTGTATGGCATCTTTTTGAAGACCCTTATGTTTTTGAAACAAGTGACTGGAGCATGTGGTACCACTTGAGTATCAATAATTTCATTTTTGTAGTCTAGATGAGAAAAAAAGGTGTTGCAGGTTATTATTATTGTCCTGTTCCATACCTGGTCATTATCTATACAAAACCTTTTTCCCAAGGCTGATGTTATTGCTGTCGTCTATGCCTTGAATGATGATGAAACAATCAGAAGGGTATGTCATATTTTGCTTCTTATAAATTTGATCTACCTACACTGAAAATGTCTAATGCAGGCAAATAGGTTTTTGGATATATATTATTTTATTTAAATCCTTTTTGGTGTTTGCATGAGCCCATTATGGTGTTCTTGTATAGGAATTACCACAAGGTGTCTAAAATATGGGTCATGATATGCCTATTGGTAACTATTAGTATGGTATCTGCTATATTGATGTTATGCTAAATAGACATTATGCCAATGAAAGCAAACAAGGAAGCATTTCCATTTGTTATCTCATTCCAAGTTTGAACCTGCTGATTGTGTCTCATTTACCAATCTTGAAAATATGGATAGCTGGGCTGGCTTATGGACAGTACTCTAAATAGGACTTACAATGTTTAGATCATGGCCCCAAGTGCCTCGATCATTTGTCCACATCACCCCTGTTTATCTTGTGCATTAAGAATTAAGATTAATTACTCCTGCACACTCTAGTGCATGGGCTAATGGCATTTTCTTCATTTCACACTTCACATGAATGGTTGTCATTAATAGCGAGATAATAGGAATACCAGTTACAAATCTGTGATGTGTCCAGTCAGGTTAGCTGAAGTAGGCAAAACCATATGCAAGTTCAAGTATTAATAAAGTCATTAGTCACTAGTCAATCGTGCTGAAGCTATAGATTCAAAATTGGACACCATATTATGTTGTTATTTATTGGTAGGGTCAACATGTTATAGTACATTTAAAGGGTTACGGTTTAGGAATGAGGGTGCTATTAATTTAGCGTGGGAATGCTTCCATCTGATTACTTTAACTCTTGGCAATGTTTCTCCTTTTAAGCAATACAAACCATAAAGCTAACCCAGCCTTGTTAATAGTCAAGTTATTTCTGAATAATATTTATTTTGATTTATATATATTGTATATTTGGATTTAATGATGTTATGATGTTAATAATTTGTTCTAACGAATTGTAAATATGAATCTGAAGCCTTTGTATTTTTCTCTTTCCAGTGGGATATATGTGTCATTTCAATTTGATTGTTGCAATTTAACTATCAATATTGCTAAATATATATTCATATTCAGATAACAGACTATTGGCTGCCAACTATTCATGAAGTTACTGCTGGAGGGACACAAAAACCAATCGTTTTAGTCGGAAATAAGGTATTGTCACCTTTCAGTTTTTCAGGGTCATTTTCTGTAACTGAGCGACTTGTTATCTTTTGGTACATGCTGGAATTACAGACAGTTTTTGACATATTGTTGAAACTGAAGTAGCCCAATATTTTTCTTTCAAAATGAAACCTTATTTGTGTAAAAGATTAAGTTAATTTTGAATCATCTTAAGAAAATACCATTCTATGGGGTATACGTTTTTCTGTTTTAGGCTGATGCTGTTGACGTGAATTCTTCAAGAATGGAGGTTTGTTGATGAAGCTCCTATTAGAGAACACAGTGAAATTTCAGGGGACATAAGCAACTCTTAGTCACTTCACAGAATCAAGAATTTATTTCGTCATTTCTGGAGTACGCAAATTTCCAACCAAGTTTTTGGATTTATTTCCCCTTCAAACATAAATTTTTTGAATAATCTCTAAACCTGTTGTCGTCCATATTTTTCGAAGGGAAGGTCAGGTGAATAGAGCCTGGCTTGGGTTTATGTATACACTTCTAGTTTTCTTATGTTAACAGCACTTATTATACTGATTTTCAATAACTTTTATTAATGTTTCTTGTTGTAGGACATCGTTAGTATAATGGATCAGTTCCCGGAAGTTGAAACGTGCATCGAGGTACGACTTCGCGGATTTATCTTTGTTACCTTGAATTAAGTCAATTAACTGTTTGCTGTATATTTCTCACCTGTAGTTAGATGTTTATGTTTCAGCCGTGTGATGGGCCTAATTTTTGACAGAACTAAGTGACTATACCTGACTTTTGCCAATGCTGCCGATGTGTTGTACTGTATTTCTTCCACGATAAACAGTTTTTGTAAGGAGAAAAAATGTAACGATTACGGAGCTTGATGAAATTGAAGTTATGCGAGTTAGCAGTTTGTTAAGAAAACAACGGATAGGCAGTAAATAAATCAAAATCTTTTTGAGCTTGTAACTATTTCTAACAAAATATCTGAAAAGTTTCTTGAAACTAAAGTAGATTTCTCAAAGATAAGATTTTGTCAGAATTTCCCCTTTTGAACCTGAGACTTGACCAAAGAAGCTGTATTATAAAATCGACTGTAAAACTGAAATATTTTGCAATCTGTTGCTTTGTTTTTTTCAGTGCTCTGCGAGAGACCTCAAGAACATATCTGAGTTGTTTTACTATGCCCAGAAAGCTGTCCTTCACCCAACTGCACCGCTTTATTCAAATGAAGAAAAGGAAGTATGTTCTGTTTTCAAGTTCCTTTTTTACTATTATTTTATACTTTCATATCCTATGAATCAAATAGCTAGGCTCTTGTTTTAAAAGGTCCAAGTAGCATTTAGTTCATATTTTTATCACATTTAGAATTCCATGATCTCTCCGATAATCATGGTTTCTCATTGCACAAAAACGTACCTTCTGAAGCTAGATAGAAGCTACCATAAAATAATTTGAATTCTTTATCGTTCCGTTTTTGTTCAAATAATTTTCTCCAAACTAATAATCGTTGAGAAGCTTTGTCACTATTTAAAGACAGCCTTCCTATCTCCACTTTTCCTTATTTTTAACCCTACGGTATATTTGTGATCTGTTTCTTTCTAGTTAAAGCCAAGATGCGTCATTGCATTGGAGAGAATATTCAAGGCTCTCGATTTTGTTTCATTATTTTCTCAACCTTTGCCAAGCTTTTTCATTAATCTTTTGTAATTATATATTTTACTTAAATTCCAAGCTACTTAAATTTTTATTATTATATACATAGTATTGATACGTATGATGACGAAAGTGGTTAGATATTATGTGTTTTGGTTGACTGATTTGAATTCATGGCTAGTGATCAGTAATCACTTAGGATACTTAACTTTATACGCTGTTATTGAAGTTACTTTACGAAAGATAGACGATTTATGGTTAGTTTTGTATTCCCTGCAGATATGCGACTCTGATAATGATGAACTACTAAGTGACAGCGAGCTTAATGAATTCCAAGTAAGTCTTTTTCCAGTTTTTAGTAATGTTTATATGTCATTAGCTTTGAAGCGTCTAATTTAGCTGTTGAGTTGAAGGGACATGAAGTGGCTGTTTTGGACGTGATTGGCACGCATGCTTGCTCATCAGTCAATCTTCTGCGGTTCTGCTGAGTTATGTGATGGGAGTGGTTACGTCTCTCAGTTGCCTGGCATTGATTCTGTGTCGTAAAGATAACGAATTGTTAAGAAAGCCAGAGAAGTGACTACTATCTAGAAAAAGAGTGTTCCTTTTTAAGTGTTCCCCTAAAACCTAATTTATACAGTGACAATAATATATTTCCTTGATCCTTTCTTGGGTACAAGGTTTTATATGAAGAAACACACAGGACTGTGAGAAGCTCACGCCCATTTTCGAATGTGGAAATGCTTAAGCCCGGAATTTTTGACTTGTAGCACAACTGGTTTTTGAGTTATAACTTGTCAGAACTGCCTACTGAAACTCCCATAGCTTGCCTACTTTGGTCATTACATCATTGATTTTGGTCGCGACGCAATGACACAAGTGGGACAAAAACTGCAGTGAATCTAATAGCGGCCTATATCATCGAGATTTGTAATTTCCACTGTAGCTGAAATAAGATCCCTTGTTGATAAAAAAAAAATTCAGATTTTCATTCTAAATATATTTTTCTCTATTCTAAAGAAGTGTCATGAACAAAAAAGTAAAAGAGCGACCTCTATCCACCATGAATTTTTCGCTGGTTTGCCCCCCTGAGGGATTGGAATTTGCTATAGGACATTTGAATTCCATCCAGAATTCCAAGTATTCAATTGATATTTGAGAAGGTTTTGTTTCCAGTTAAAATGTAAGTGGAGTCGAGATACGAAATACGAAATGTAAGTGGAATACGAAAACTTAGAATTTTCATATGAATTAATATCACTGCCAAATATGTCTTTGATAACCTTCCAACGTGTTATTTTTGGAGGAGAACACAAGAAAAATGTTCTCTGTAAACTTTGTTTTGGCTCTAAACAAGGAATTTTGATTCTTGCTTTTAGTATTATTCTAACTAAGTAATTGTTTCATTTTTAGAGATTTTGCTTCAAGAGTCCACTTCCCCCTCAAGGCCTTTTAGAAGTTAAAGGTATTGTACGGAAAAACATTAACGATGGTCTTGATGACAATAAACTCACGTTTAACGGTAAGAAATATTTTGTTCATGATAAATTTCTATTAATCAATAAGGTTTTTGATATCGTTCCTTGTCTTGGAACAATGTTGTTAATACTGTGAAGGGCCATATTTGACAAATATAGTTTAGGAGATTTTGTTCAGTGTAATAAGCTTGATTAACTGAAATTTGGTCACGTTTTATATGTGACGAGGTGCGCCTTTTTGGGCGTTGATAGAACGATTGTTGAGTTTGTGCTCATTGCAGTAGTGCTCGAGTAAGCGATACATTGTGTCTTGTACAAGGCCAAAGCAAGAGGCGTGCAAGTGTGTATTGGCAATGAGTATATAAAGTTCATTTTGGCATAGTTTCTTCCTCACACGTTGCAAGACAACCTGATTTTGGATATAGAGATAAAGAGAGTGCCAAGATTACAAATATTGTCAACACCGTTGTTCTCGTCAGTCCTATGTTGATATTAGAATGGCAAGTATGTAAATAGATTGGTAAATTGGTAAATATGTCAGAATATCGCAAGATTTCCCCTTGCAACATTTGAGCAAAAGAGTTCTTTGGAATTCGTTTGGAGTGGCAAAATCTTTTATAACTTATAATTCTCATTTACAATTATACGTTTACTCTTTATTTTTATTCTTTATTTGTTTTTCTCATTTGTTAGGTTTTTTATTTCTGCAAACACTTTTCATCATGAAAGGAAGGCAGGAAATCACATGGACAGCACTGAGAAAGTTTGGCTATGGCAATGACCTTGAGCTGAGAGAGGACTATGTCCACCCAAGGTGAAGGGTCCTCGAGTATTTTGCTAATTTATTTTATATAAAACAGGGTGGCAAAGCCCAACCTAGGGAAACATGGCGAGTCCTGCAAGCATTATCATTAGAACAAGGTTTTTGAATTTCCCAGAAAGAAAAGGTTTTTGGATCTTAAATCATGTGCACGGCTTTCTAGGATCTTGTCAGGGTTGTGCTTTCTGGTTTCAATTGTTTGCTTGCAGTCTTCGACTTAAATCGCTTTCAAGTTATGGAAGGTTGTACCTTTAAACGAGTGGGCGTGCTTAGCTGTTAAGAAAATGCCCTTGACCTTTCCATTTACCTTTTTGGTATTATCCAGCATTTTAGACCCCGAGGAATGTCAGGAGAAACGTACAATTTTTTCGTGCTATTTTGAATTGCTTTTGAGAAGAAGCCGATTTTAGGAGGGTTTACCTGCTGGAAATAGAAAAAACTGAATTTTGTCGCATCCTGCTAAAGATCTTGCATGCCAACATAGAAATGCTCAAATGTTTGAATTTATGGGAAAAATAGTCTATCGTCATAATCCTCAGTTTGGGAAATTGCATTTGTAATTAGTCTTGAGATTGGATATGAAAACACCCTAGAATTGCCCCTTAAGCTCATTGAAACCATCACCTCAATATTAGTCACCTAATTTGCCTATGAAGAGATTTTGTTCCCTGTTCCTTGATGCATTCTGTTTTGTTTTTGCATGAATAACTGACACTACCATATAAATTAAGCTGTATTGTACAGTTACCTTGCAATGATCAGAGATTTTCCTTGCAATAAATATATTCATGATCGATTTGTATATGTTTTTGTACTCCACTTTGCTTTCAGGCTGGAAGTAGGCTCTGACTCAACTGTAGAGCTGTCAGTTCAAGGCCTGGAATTCATTCGCGATTTGTTTTGTAAATTTGATCAGGTAAGTCTATGCTTTCGATGTGTATCTATAAACTCAGTAACTTTCCTTTGGGGCGCCTTGCATTTTAATTCCATCAAACACAGGCCTTACGATAAACAAAATTATTGGTTTTTGACAAAGGGAGCACCTTGCTATATTCAGTTGCTCAATTAATCCTTGGCAAAGTACATTTGATTTAGAGATGATGCTGTCAATGCGTTTTATTGTTTTGTTAGTTATACTATGAAAGTATTATGCAATTTTTTTTTGATCTCGTCGTCATGGCGAATGGTTATGCTCTAAGCAGTAAAATGTAACATCGGAACACAAGCATTATAAAAAAGACCACGATGAAAACGTTGGATTAAAATTGTAAATCATGCATCATCACCATATACCGTTATTTATAAGGTGAAATTAGCCAAATACTTTTGAATATTTGGGTACTAGACAATTTTGGGAGAATATGGAGACGATCGACGAAGCTCGAACCTTTCCTTGCGAAACCTGATACAATTTGCCCTAGCCGATTTGGGGGGCTCTAGAACTCGGAAACATAATTCTTTTATACTTAAGAGTTTATTTTCTGCATTTTCAACAAAGAACTCCAGATTTTGGCTTCTTTACTTGAGGCAGTTCTAGCTGGTTGTCCTTGTCTTATACAAAGATCTATCTTTAAAAAAATCCTAGCTGGTAACTTTCATAGAGTAATATATTTGCTCAAATTCAAGGATGAAGACGATGCCTTGTCCAAAGAAGAACAAGAGGTGACTTTTAAATTTTCTGTCAGAGATATTGAAGCTAAATAATTGTAATGTTGTGTCATAAATTAATGAGACGGAAAGAAACAGGGGACAAGTAAATGGCTTCTACCAGCAGCAAAATGTACTCGAAAATTAGCTGCGGCATTTAAAAAAATAAGCGTGAAAAATATAACACTAGGTTTTCCAAATGTTTATAAAATGTTTCATATGCTCTTTTATTGCTAGGTTTTTTACAAAACCCTGCATCAGAGCTTCAGTATCGTACCTTTAACGAATGCCCCCCCCTTCCTTTGTTAGTATGCACATCATGATAGTTCATTTAAATCCCGGCTTATTTTTGGGGTATGCCTATTTTTGTGGTGTCTACTAAAATATCTTGGCATACTTTCAAATCTAGGCTTTTTATTGAGGATATATCATGTGCAATTTCTATTACATTGAATATCAGAATTCATGAGTGAGTGATTTTTTAATTCATGAATGAGTCAAAGGCAGTTGAAAGTCTCACTGAAGAATCACAAAAGCGAAGTTATTTGAATGTTCAATTTTGTTCAACTTTAATCTTACGATTTAAACTTTTTGCAGGATTTATTTTGCCTTTGCCCGGTCGCACCATGGAATGACGATAATTTAAAAACTGTCGCAACAAATGCGGATGGAATGATAACTTTGGATGGGTTTCTTTCCTTATGGGTGTAAGTATATGGCTTGTAGCCATTTACTAACGGAATCAAATGAACAAAGAGCGATTTTGTATATTACCCACCACTTAAAACCTTTAGCTAAATTATTATGCTGTTTTGTTGGAGTGTTCATCACCTAAACAGCAGACCAAGGACTCATGTCAGTTATAAATGCGAATAAAATGAAAGCCTACAAACTTGTGCAAAAATGCCTGGACAAAGATATCTGTGAACATTTTCAGAATTATTTTACTCTGATAGAGCATGAAAAGAAATAACAACTGTACACTGCGATTTCCGAGTGTTAAGAAAGAATATGCACGAAATTCATTTCTGTACATGGCTGCTAAAGTGTACAATGGGCTACCTTTAGACATACGTCAGACAGAGACATACAAAGAATTTGTTGAAAAACTTAAAATCCATTTTGTGTGACATGATATTAACAGCGTAACAAACATTACTTCTCGATGTGACATCAGGTTTTATAGATTTTATTCTTGTAAGATTTTTTAACGGCTTTAATGCAATACATTTTCTTTCAATTTCATTTAAGGTTTAGGGCACAGGACACACAATGATAACAGCAATGTTGTAATTGTTGAAGTGTTTATCCTGTATAAATATTTCTTTTTTATTATTGTTATTTTTAGTTAAGTTGTTGGTGCTTCATCTTAGATTTTTGTGCAGCTCATTATTATTCCGTCTAATTATATAAGCAGTTATCTATTTTGAATGTCTATAAATCTTATCTTTCGATTTCTGCAGCAAATATTGACTTTGTGTCTTCTATTGTTTATTGTAGTTTAGCTTCATATCTGAACCACGAGTGGACGCTGGCCAACCTCGCATATTTAGGATTCATTCAAGGAGAGCAAGAGAGCCAACTGCCTGCCGTTAGGGGTAAGCGCCAATCTCTAACAAAACAGTATAATGCATTTTAAAAGCAGTTAAATGGCTTTCCTAATGTCAAAGTCTATCTGAAACCAGAACAGTCTATCGATATTTCAAGGAACAGATGCTGCACAATAACCTAGAACACAAATTGCGGTTTACGTTTTAAGGTTTTAACTTTCATTTCTATTGAGGTTTTTACTTACATTTTCAGAGGAAGACAATCGTTTTTTGAGTACATTTCTTTATTGAGAAAAGTTCACAACCATTAACTTTGATATATATATATATTAGCTAACTTGTTATGGCAGTGAACCTTGCTTGAACTTCAGAAATAATTTATTTTGCTTATCGTTTCTACGTGTGTCTGCCAGTTGTAATGAAAGACTTCGTCAAAATTCTGCTTTTAGTTACAAGAAGTAAATCAGTTGATTTGAGCAAAAGACGGACTAACAGAAATGTTTTCATGTGCTATGTTTTTGGCCCTCCTGGATCAGGAAAGGTGTGTTTTCGTTTTCCCTCATTTTAATTTACACACTCGTATTTGCAATAAATCGCCACAAAGAATAACCTATAAATTTGAGAGCCTATAAACTGTCTACGTTTGATTAAGCACCTTGTGTTTACGAGTCTGTTTTTCCTCACCTTTTATTGCAAAGTGTATTTTCTACTCAAACACTTTTTGTAACGAGACACCGCCATTGGTAGTCACTACCAACCAAGTTCGTAATCAAAATAACGCTTCTAGATAAAAACCTAATGTAAAATCTTGACCTTGCAATCCCCTCTAAAGCAAAGCCAAAAAACTGAATCTTGAAAAACGAAACTCTTTTTAATGCAGGTATTTCCTGCATTTTCTCTTTTCTGACACAGCTTTGTAAGATATTCTAACATGTGCTGTGCTCCTGTTCCCACAGGCGATATAAGAATATCATATTAGTAAATTCAGATTCCATTTTTTGACTTTCAGCATCTAATTTTTATAATTGTATTCTCATTGCATGGCAATTGTAATTCTAATAATCATCTTTATCTATATCAAATAATTCTTTTAATTCTTTTTCATATTTTCAGACGGCATTTTTGCAAGCATTTGTCAACAGATCTTTAAAGGTTTGCAATGCTCTACTTGCCAGCATTTTGTTTTAGCGTTCCTTTGCATCAAGACGGCCACAAAACTAAGTTTCTATTATCTATCAGTCAACATTTAATGAAATTTTGAAGTTATTAACCAGTGCTTGACTACCATTCTTTGGAATTCTTTGCAAAATTTCCCGAGCTATAAATCGCGCCATGCCCGTGTGATTGTGTTGGCCTGGTCCAAAGTCTGGTTTTCTTACTTTCCTATTCTGAGAAGCTTTCCTATCCTTTCCTTTTCAGTGTTTTTCTTTAAACAGTAGAAAAGATTTGGATTAAATGGGAAACGAAATCTTTGCTCCACCTCAAAATATATTTTCCAAGTTACAGTTGCAAATATTTCTCCCCTGCAGAACTGCCTCCTACTCCTGTCTTTACTCCCTTAACTTTTTTTTAAGATATACTTTCAGAATAAACATAGTGATTTTGTTCTTTATTTATCTCTCATCTCTTGTTTTCCTTATTGTAGGACTATGATCCAAGCACCAGTTTTCCAATTAAATACACGGCAAACTCTGTTAGCATTGGAAAAGAAATCTACTTAGTAGTAAGTTATCTATCACCTTTCCTCTATGTCAAACTTGTATTTTAAACTTTTTATTTAGGATTCCAGCTTTTTTAATTGGCTAATCTTTTTTCATAAGTAAGACTATTGCAGTCGTAATTTAAAAGATCAAGAGAAAAGAAACAGAAATAAGAATTTAAAAAGATAGTAGTTCTGGGTTAATCCACAGGTCTTACGTCAAAATAATAATTATAATACCGCTTTAACAATGTTTATACAGGATAATAAAGGTCCTTTAGACTGGCCGAGCTTGGTTCGTTGTAAAGAAGGTTCGATACTGAATATTAGACTATACTGATTGATACTAGCTTGTATGTGTTGGTGTGGTATATATTTAGTATTTCTGTCACACTCTGTATATTTTATGATGTTCACATCATCAGGTATAGAATCAAATGTAATATTTATTGAATTGCCCCGATGGAGCTTGCGTCTTTGTGCGATCCTTTGTATTGATCAATTTATAAATCTTTTGTAGTTATTTCATTACAAATAGTAATGTAAAAATTTATTGCTTTTGTAGTTACACGAGGTGAATTGGGACAAATCAGTAGAGAAGTTAAACAGTGATAAAATAGATGTTGCTTGTTTTCTGTATGATGTTTCAAATCCAGATTCTTTTTCTAAAATTGGAAAATTGCACCAGGTAATCCTTTATTATGATTCAATTTTCTTTGCTCAAGAGTAAATGAACACTTTCTGGTCTCTTGCATTTGAAAAAGATGTATTATATGCAAATCTAAAGACAAGGACGAGAATGTGTAGGTCGCTGGGAAAAACGACAAAGTCGAGGGGTAGAGAGAAAGAAGATGAACGAAGAAGGAAAAAAGAATCGGTGAAGAACTGATTCTTTACGATGGAAAAAAATCAAAGTGTTGCACGATGTTTAGGAAGACTACTGCTAAAATACCATTAAGTATGCGAGTTTAAGATATAATCAATGTCTCAACATATTTGATATTTTACTGAATGCAATTTGAGGTCATCTCGATCCAACCAGAGCCTATAAATTTGACAGAACGTGAGATAGAAATAAGAAATGTAAGCTAAATGTTAAATGATGCAAATTTTATTTGATCATGCACCATCTTTATTTTTGTAGAGGCTAGAAAAAGATATTCCCTGCATGTTTGTCGCAATGAAGAATGATATTTCACCTGTTAAACAGGTATGCATCTAAATTCTATTTTAGATTCCTGATAATTGGATTCTATTGTTTGAGAAAAGAAAACACTTTTTATCATTTTCGATTTCGTGACAATTTTTTTCCATGTAATTAATTCACTACCATTTTTCCAAATGATCTTTTTTTGTATTTTCTATGCTGTTCTAATTTGCATTTTCAGAATTATGTTATTCCTGTTGCTGATTACTGCAAAAGCTATTCACCTGTTCCTATTCAAGTAAGTTCGGATATACTTTATTGGCAAAAATAAACCAAACTGGTTTTTCTGATTGTATTTTGTATATCAAAGTTTGACTCAGATCTGTCAGCAATTCATTGTATCTTCGCAAATCAGCCCCCCCCCCCTCATCTTCTCTCAGTTCAGTGTCTGCGTCAATGCTATTAGAATACACAGGCTACAAACCTTAGATGAGGGAAGGAGATGATGTTGGACCTGGTTGCTATCCGGCTTGTTGGACCATCTGGCTCCATAGCTGTGTCCAGATTTGTCAACGATAGAGCGCAAAGCTACTGTCTTTCATAGTCTTTAAAATTGAATTGTTCATCGAATTGAAAGCCTAGCAGACCTATTTTCAATCAAATCATTTTATTGTGAAGGCTTTCGAGCTTGTGTACAGTACCAAAGCGAAACTAATGTGTTGTTCAAAGCACAAGATGGACAGCCATTTTTAGCTTGATGCTAGAATTTTTTCTCAGTTTGCACGTGACAAGCTGACATTTCCAACAAATGCTGTAGCTCACTTGCAATCCTTGCTCATTGCATATTTTTTTCACTTTTTTGCAAAAAGTCTTGAATTTAAATCACCTAGACTCATAATTCCCTTTAAACAGCTGTATTTTTCTTTGTTAGACATTTTCAGCGCTAGACGATACACAAATCGACAGAAAAGTTTTTGAGAAGCTTGGATCACTTTCATTGTATCCGTAAGTATCTCAATGTCATGTAAATATTTCAAGTTTCTTAGATTTTCAATCATACTATTATTTAAAGTAGTTTCCATTGGTAGCCTTTGATAAAAAGGGTTTTATACCCCTAAATTTAGCAGTTAGAGTGCAATCATTCCATTGGCTGATTTTTGTGGATGGGGGATTGGACAAGCTTGAAATATATACACGACCTTATATATTGATATATCAAAAATTTACTTTGTCATAACCTCTCAAAATCTACTTTTGACGTTGTTGTTACCAGTAAAGTGTGATTGTTAACTGAGTCTAACTAGATCGTATCCTGAGTCCAAATCAAGGGCAATTCACTGTACGGTCCTTGTTTGACCCGTACTTTTAAGTGATCAATCGGAAATTCTTCATCGAACTGCTCGTGGCCAAACTGTGTTGCAACAATTAGCAGCATTCAATGCCTCCCCGTCAAATATAAGGAAGAATCTAGACTGAGGGAATCTCAGAAAAATCATTTTGATGTTTTGTCTCTGAAAAAGATTTCTGTTTCATTCTTGGTTTACGTTGCATTCAATGACAATGCTATTGGATATAATCTTGAATATACCTGTACCGTGGTAAAATTTGATATAAAATTCAATAAAGGAAAAACCACAGAGATTATTTTCCTTTCCCGTGGCCAAACTGTCCTTTACCTTCCTGATCTATCCTTGCTGTCCTGACCTCTCTTTGCTGTCCTGACCTCTCCTTGCCTTTTCTTGACCTTTTGTTTGACCCCTCGGTTGACTTCTCTTTCACATTTTTTTTACCTTTCCATGACCCTTTACTATTGCAATCAAGCATTTATAATCACCTGATTTTGCCAAATTTCGTGACACCAAATAACCCCCCATATTTTTTATTATTTTCTAAATTCCTGCCAAATGGTTTCCTTTGCAGCTACAGCAATCAGCTAGATAGCGACAGTTCTTTGTCAAGTATGGCAGTGACGTTTGGTTTAAGTCTTGCGGCCGTTGTAGTTCTAGGAGTGGTAGTATATCGTTTTACAAAAAGAGGCAAGAATGTTTATTTTCATCATTCAATTTACTTTTCATTCCTTATAAACTGTGAAGTCTCGTTTCACTAAGCTTTTAATTTGGATTATAAGTGTTTCACCATCAGTGTTTTGCCTTTTCGAATACAGTGCTATGATTTATCTATATTAAACTACTGCTTGTTTTGGTGAAATTTCAGTAGATATGGAATCCTTTATTTAGCCGGGACAGCCAACCCTACATGCAGAGTAGTTCACACAACTGTTGCAGTAATTTTAAGCTAGGAATTTGTTCATAAGAAACTGTGCTCAACAACTAACATGCTGTTTGAAAGAAATTTCCCATTTGATATCAGATTCGTTTTATTGACTATGACGAAATGGAATTGTTTCTTGATCCTAGATATTTGACAGCCACATATCTGCTTTGTATTCTGCTTTTAAATTTAGCCATTCATAATTGTCCAACGAGCTATAGTCAACATTTAAACCAGGTGCTACTTTTACAAACTAAAGCACCCCTCTAGACACTTGGGCTTGTGAAATTGCAAAAACTCTTTAAAAGTGCTGGCAAGCTAAAATCATATTTGCTTAAAAATACCATGATCATAACCAGCGAAGGCAAAGCTAAAACTGGGCTGTACCATTGCACTTTAAATTCAAAACTATATTTTGCTTTGAAATAGCAAAAGCACAAAGTAGCTTCTTGGCAAAAATATTTTGCCTTATACGTTATATAAATTTTTTTAACACAATATTGTATTTTTTTACAATATTAAGATAATTTTTGTCCATATTGTGATTTACTTTAGTATAGAACATAACCCCGATGTTATAAGAATTTTTATTGATTTTCGAATTTTCCTTTCAGCCACAAGTGGGAGTAGCTGAAATTCTAACATTTTAGGTGCTTTAGCGAAGCCTGTTATTTGAAAAGGGCCACGTTCACGACAGAGTTACGACAGAAAACGATACCCTGCTGTGGATGCAGAAATATTTGATGCTGTTAGATATTATGAGATTTGTTGACAGTGTAGAATCAATTGTAAAAAGCTTGCTTGCTCCTGCATGACTTTGCCAAACATTGCTACATATGTAAAATATCTTTCGAATATACGCTCAATTAGTTCAATAAGCAAGATAGCATATAGTTTGATACAAAGAAGGACCATTCCTAATTCCCAATTTAAATTAAGCTGCATCTTTAGCATTTACTGAATCTTGGCTGGGCCTCTTCCATTAGATCACCTCATTTTTAGTCAATTTTTTCCATCATTCTTTTCTGTTCAAGAGCCTTTCTAAGTAAATCATAAATAAAACTGATGATGCCTCTCTTGGTGTACCACATCCATGATGGAAAGTAATTGATGTTATGCATCAAATGTATGCATAATTAATGTTATGCATAAAGGAACTATTGTTTGTCAATTTTGTGATGATGCTCGACTGCTTCCATTAACTGCTAATTTACCTTCCCATCTGTTCAAGGAAATTTCCCAAGCCATATATTCTACCAGATGTTAGAATAAACCATTAGATTTAATGCAATAAGCATTGGCCTCAAAATGCAACCTTGTTGAACAACATCTGATGTATGAATTGTTGCAGAAGTATAAATTTTTTGCTAGCAGCAGGAGGTGCCATTCGCTAAACACTAACATTGAACTACTAATGAATTGTTTCCCGTTATATTATGCTTTCCCTCATTCCTTCCATCACGTTTCTACCCTTTTTCAAATACATCCGATGATTCAAGCTCTTAGATGATACCCCTCGATCCCCATGTACATTTGAATTCATGTTTTTCAAAAATTGTATTCGTCGTAAAATTGAATAACCCGAAGTTTGCTTTTATACGATTGGGTTCCGCTTTTCTGCCATCATGGAGCTGTTGTTCAAATAGTTTTGTCAAGTTGAAAAGTGCCAGTTTAATAGAGTTTTTAATCTTAACGAAAGAATGTTCATCGCTTTCATTGAAAATTTTAAACATAGTGTGAATTATTTTCGTAGTGTTTAATTTCAAAAGTGCTCCAAATAATTTGCTAAATCGTTATCAAATATTTTGTCTATTTTGTTGTGTGTTTCTTTTGGTAAAAGCCTCATAAAAATGACAATTCCTCCAGCATCCGTCATTCTTTTCTTTGAAGTTGACTACACTGTCTAAAAGTCCTTTATAGACTGTTGCAGATGTCCCAGGATTTGTCTGGTATCAATTTTATCTTCAATCCAAGTATACCTCTTCTTTCCTTCAGTTAGTTGAAAGATGTTAAAGAAATGACAAAATAATAAGAGTTATAAAACTGATAGACAACAGTATCTGCCCTTGCATATTTTTAAATGGTTCCATTGAGTTTAACGTCAACAATAAAAAAGACATCTTTATATACATTCAGCTACCAAGAATAGGAATTTAGGAGTTGTTTATGGATGTCTAAGCGATTAAAAAGCTAGCAAGTTTACGCATTTTTGTGACCTTTTGACAATCTTAATGTAATCATTTGTAGATATTTTGCTCGATATAGTTGGTAGTTGTCTGAAAATTGACTTTTTGTGCTTTTTCAACAAGTGAATGGATCTTGAAGCAATGACCGATTTTCTAAAGATTCTCCAAAAGATTTTCTAAAAGTTTTTCCCTGCGTCAAATAAAATTTTCCCTAGATTGAAGGGAATAATTGGCCAGTCACGATCGTGTGAAAACAATTTTTAAGTTAAAGCAACTCAATTTAAAACACTGTATTAAAGCACAAAATTCATGAAACACTGCAACAGTCGGGGTGAAATGCTGAAAAGCTCAGGGGTCAGCTTGCCCTCAAGCTGCCCTCAAGTCATCAACGCTCATTCTGAACTCTTCTCCCCATTAGGGCCCGCGCCACTGATCCCAAACTGAAAGGGCCAGCAATGTAAAGAAAGTATCCTCTTCCCCTCTTTAGCCACAGTTCTGGCAATCATTTTGCTGACGTTGTTTTACTTGTGGGCTTTGGTTCAATGTATTCGTTGTGATCTAAAGATTTATCTATATGAATACATTTTAGCTGATTTTAGTATTTTATTAAGCGAAAAAGTGGGGAGGCTATATTTCCCCCTGGCTCCCCTGTGGTGCGGGCCCTGCCCATACCCCCGTAAAAGGCTAATTAATTTTGTTATTTCAAACTATCCAGTTGCCAAAACCCTTTAAAAGGCTTAAGTTTGAAGGCCGAGCCATCTTTTCTTAAAAGAGGAGTTATTGAACAATGGCTGAAGGGGCAGTCATCCACTAGTTTGAATGTTTACAGGGCTGTTTGTTAAATAGGAAAAGGCCTTTTTAAGTAAAACATTTTAGATTTTCTATACTTCATTCTTGTGACTTTGGCTGTGATATATTTTGCAACTGTGCGAAATAAAGCCTTCGACCTTCTCCCACAAAACTCAGTTAAGGATATATTTTGCAGCTAGCCTTTATTTTTATACTTGCCCTCTCTCGCCCCCCACCCCTCCACAACTTGAGCATTGTAGAAAACCAACTGAGCCCAGCAAAGAATGCTCAAACCGTGATCGGATAAGAGGCTACACTCGGACCTACACCTCCAAGGCATCAACTCAGCGCGGACAACCTTGCCGTTCTCTTTCTTTAGTCCCATATAAGTTCGGTAAGGTTGATAACATACATCCTAATACATCATTGACATTCACTACTCGTTCGTCCTTAACATCCTAAATTATATCTGTTAAGACCTTGTCTCACCTTGCTTCAACTCATTTTCCTTGCAAAGTATTTGTAGTGTCAGAAATTTGGCTCTTTCTGGGGCCATGAAAATCGTTATTCATAACATCTCACTAATAAAATATAATAGACATAAATATTTTTGTGATTTGTAGGCACCATGGTGCGCGTTAACGTACTCAATGATTGCCTGAAATCAATTTGCAATGCTGAGAAACGTGGGAAACGACAGGTCTTGATTAGGCCCTCCTCAAAGGTCATCATCAAGTTCCTCACTGTAATGATGAAACATGGTATGTTGCCTTACATTTTAAGCAGTAAACGTTCGATTTGCGTTCGTAGGAGTAGGAGTTGAATACTCTAGAGTAGATTGGCTTTAACAGTTTGGCTGGAAAAGCCTCTTCGTAAAATTCGGACGGAACCTTCAAATTATGTCAATAAATAAAATGCCAGATAGATGGAGTTTTTCCTTCTGCAAATGCATTCTAATGTTAGCAACGATACCTTCTGTAAATGCATAACATATTGTTAGCAATAATACCACTCCCCTAATAAAATATAATATTGTTAAGTTTAAATATTTTTTGAAGGCATAAAAATATTGTAATTTATCTCCTTTTCTTGTAAAGACTGTTTATCCACAGAATGTGTAATTTCATATTTTCAAAGTGTTGATTCTTTTTAAGGATACATTGGTGAATTTGAGGTTATCGATGATCATCGTGGTGGAAAAATTGTTGTAAATCTGAATGGAAGAATCAACAAAGTAAGTTTTCTAAATTATGTATTCATCACAATTTACTCACCACACCAGCCATCAGTAAATTTTTTTAGGCTCTGGTTACAGTAATTACACTCCTGTCCATATAGTTTTGAACTCTGTCAGTTGTTTAACTTGAACAAAACCTTTTTTGGCTAAGCTCCCCATACTATCTGTTTTGTTCCCAATATACTGGCTGGACTGCATAAATGTGTTTGTTTTAAATTTCCATAACACTGCAATTTGTTATAAGAGCAATCATTTTCAACATGAGAGTGATGGTTGCAACCAAGCTTTGTGAGGAACAAACAAGCTTTTTCAAATGCACCAAATGCTTGAAACAGTACGGTTATGCCTTTAAAAATTTTACTGTGTTCTGAGGGAATCACATAAATGTTCAGAGTTATCCAGTCAATAAAAATGCTTGGTCCTTTATCATTATCATCCAGTTCATAACTCAATTGACAATGAGACAAAAAACTTCCCATGTCCTCTGTTCTTCTTGATCAAGCTCAAGCACCTCTCTTCAAAAGGCCTGGTTGCAACCTCAGTGTACCCATGTATATGGTAGCAATTTCATTCCAAGCCACTTTCGGCTGATTTAACAGATACTTGTCTTGCCTTGTTGGTTTAAAACTAGCTTTGTGGCCTAAACAGTCTCCAAGCTTGTGTTCATTGAAAAAATTGACTTTTTATCAGCCAAAAGCTGATAAGAAAGATTCCCCCAATGGCTTACCAATGTTTGTTTAGTTGTTGGAATTTTGTCAGAGTGATTTCCCAAGCGTGAATGCAAAAATGCTATCATTTTGAAAGTCAATTTAAAAGTAGTATGCAAGCCATATAACTATGAAACCATTTGTTTACCTTGATCCAGCCTCTATTGTTTTTTCTCATGCATGGAATTCAAATGATTTTCCTCTACTCCTTCCATGAAATGTTAAAAGCTTGACAATCATGCCTTACTGTTGAATACATTTTAAAAGGAGTTGTCATGATTAAAGTGATGCCCAAACCTATTGTTTTCAGCCATAACATTCCTGTAACCACACCCTTTTTCATCAACTGTTCTCAAGAAAGGCCAGAGAGTAACCTTTTATTTGGATGGAGTTTTTAAAGAATAACAGCATGCTTACCTGTTTGCAATCATTTTAAATTTTGGTTGTTTGAATGTGCACCAAAGCATGGTCTCTGACACAGGTTGAAAAGTGGGGGAGGGGAGGAAAAATTTAACACAAATAACAAAAGATTTTGAAAAAAGCTCTATTATCTTGCAGGAAAGTGGGGAACAGTCCCCCTCCCTTGGAATTTGGTTTGTGCCTCTTCAGACACATAACACTTCTCTAGAAATTAACAGGCCTTCTCAATGAGTTGGGCATCTTACTCAACAATTATGACAAATTACCTATATACATAATGATTTGTTACAATTATTGATCTTGCAATGGGGTCATGATTTCTATCTTTAAAAGAATGTTTGCCTTTTGTGTGATCCAGTACTTTCTTCTTATTAAGTTCTTTTTAATTAAGTTCTAAATTCATTTCACAAATTGTCTTCTTTTCTATCAACAGTGTGGTGTAATCAGTCCAAGATTTGATGTCAAATTAAAAGACATTGAAAAGTGGGCAAGTTACCTTATGCCTTCTCGACAGTTTGGGTAAGTGTTTTACTTGTATCGTTGCTTCAATGGCCTATATTTCTACTGAGTTCCTAAAACAGTTGGGTTGTTATATGTTTTTGTGGTGGATTGCTTTGTGCAAGAGTCATATTGCCTTGCAGACAGGAGAATCAAATGTTTCAGGGTAAGGGTAGCTTAGACCAGGATCTTCCAGGATGCTCATCTTGTAATCTTTGCTTCATTTAAATTTACAGAAACTCACACACTTAAGAAACTGACAGACTCACAAACATACAAAGACAAGAGGAATTTTTCTATCAAAATTGACTAGCAATAATATCAAAATATTATCAGGAAATTTGAGTACATCAGGCCTTTGTGGGAAAGATATGCATTATGTATATACTATGCAATTTATTTTTACTCAAGTAACCGATGAAATGAAATGGAAATGCTTTGAGGAAATTATTTCTTTTTTCTGCATAGACTAGATCTAAAACTGAATCATATGTTACACCCAGGATATTTTCTTGAAACTTTGTTCATGTGCATGTCCTTGTTTATATGTATCAGGATTTTTATTGACAGTGTAGATTTAATTTCTTTTTGTATATGCAAAAACTTTCCTGTATGAATTTTGATGCTTATGTTAATGACCCCCAAAGACTAGAGAGAGGATGTTTTTATATCTGCAATGTTAGATTTTAACAGCTTTGTTCTCCTTGCCATCTCTTTCGCATTCAATTCCTTAAATATTGGATTCTTTGAATCGGTTTTAATCTCTGGGAACAAACAGATTTAACAAGCCTGCCCCATCTAGATAGTTGACTTCATAATCAACTGCCACTTGATGCCTTTGAAGCTTGACAAACCTCATTAGCACTCCACAACACTCCTTTCATTGTCAACTACAATATGTCACCATTGTGCCCTTTTCTTCTCAAGAAAGCCTGATGCAAAACAATTGTTTTCTTTTATCTTCATTTATATTTTGTATAACATAACCATAATAATTGCATTGAATTAACTCATAGCAAATGACAGCAAAAACAAGGGCAGGATTCTAAAATTCAACCAGTGACACTATTAGAATTATTAGAATTGTCCGAAATTGCAAAAGATTTTAATTCGCTACACATGTCAAACAACCAGACCTTTGTTGTTCAGTTGCTCTTCTTTTCAAATACACCAACACTTTGTTGTGATCTTCTCCTCTGTGACCAATAAAAATTAACATTTTCCACTTCATTTTCCATAGATTTATGGTATTAACAACATCGAGTGGCATTATGGACCATGAAGAAGCAAGAAGAAAACAAACTGGAGGAAAAATCCTAGGTTACTTCTACTAAAAGAATGTATATAAAATGGTGAAAGTTGAAACTGCCTTTGTATCATGTGTCAACCTGCCTTATTCTGTAAGTTAAAGATTGAACTACAGCAGGAATTCATTGCCTTGATGTACTTTTGAGTACATTGGGTGCAAATGCACTCAATAGGTATAGGAAAAAGTCAGAGTTAGCCTTAGAAATAGCTTTGCAGACTCCATGCCAGAAATATTTTAGGCATATGATTTTTTTAAGGATGTGCTTCTTGTCCGATCTGTTTTAACTGGCGACTAAAATAGAGCACATTATGACAGACTAAGCCAAATAAAACGGACCAATAAATGTAACTTTCTTTCTGTAGATGAATCTATTGCCCTTAACAAGGAATCATTTGTATGAAGCTTCAACCGTTTCACAATTGCAGCAAATTATTTATGTGACAAAAAATGACAAGGATATGTAAATGATATATTTAAGCTTGTGTTTAAGGACAGCCAACATAGAAGTATCTGAACAAGAAGGTATTGAATTCAATGCCCCAATTACAGAATGTAAAAATGTGAGTTTTTCCAATGAAATTTTTGATGCAAGCAAGGTTCTCAGTAATTTCAGAGTTTCCAAGGATTATTGTCATTGCGTTAGTGCTGCATGCACAATAGAATCAAATCTAGCTTTCTAGTTGATTTACTGCACACAAGTCATTTTGAACATTTTCCGTCGTTTCCACAAAACTGTTCTTTTTACAACAATCTGATAGTTGTGCATCTCAGAACAAAGTTGTGAAGTTCATAAATCAAAATTGTAAGCTAACTAAGGGAACCAACTGTTATTGGATCACAGCCCAACAAAAGAGGAATGTAAAGTGCATCGATGAATGATATATTTCAGTCAGGAAAAAGAGAAGGAACTGCCTTTCTAATCATTACCCCATAAGACCTTTAGCTTTTTCTTTAAGAACATAAAAATTGATCCAGTATCAAAATGTTTTACCAGTTCCAATGGAATCTTGTTCGACCATGCATGTGCTTCAGTTTGAGTAAAGAGACTTTCCTTCACTTCATTTCAAGAAGGGTTAAAATTTCTTGCTCCGTAAGTAACAAAATTGTTTAAGGTTGCTGCAAAAGGAGTGTGAATGCCCCAATCTTTGTCTGTTAGATCAACTTCTCCCCCACCCTCTAAAAGAAAAAAGTCAAGACTGGTGTTAGGTTTTTGCACAATCCGTCAGAAAAACTGCACTATTTCTTGTCAGGTCTGCATTGTCATTTCCTGTAAGCCAAAAGCTATTTCTAAAGCAGGAACGGAGAACCGGGGAATTTCTTTTGTGATATAACACTAGGCATTACCAATTGATTCAAATATGAAACTCCTGCTATGTCTGTAGCATTCCTAATACAAGTTTCAAATGCATTTTCTCCAGTGATCTTTTCTCATGGTTAATTCACACAAATTGAAGCAAAGCTCCTTCGCACTCGATCTAAAAAAGAAATTTCATACGGTCTCAAATTAATCTGGAGTCCTCCATTTTTCAAAATATTAAAGAAAGAGACTGTATCATCTGCAAATATCCAGACAGGGGCCAGAGATAACAAGAAAGAGCTACTCTTATGACGGTGCTGTTTCAATGGGTGATACGCCAATCAACGCGAGGAATACTGAAACGGTTGCAATTTTCAAAAATATGTTGGATCCATAAAAATATGTTAGATATAATCTGTTGGGCCAATGTGATAACAAAGACTTCTACTGGAAGACATTCTGAAAGAATTTTACTTTTCTAAATTGTTTTTCTTTTGTCGCATATTAGTGTATTAAGACTGTATGTCATTTTTTTGTTTTTCTTATTACTGCAAATGGATTAAAATGCCTGAAAAAATAAAATGAAACGAATTTATGCATTGATAACCCACGTTTTGGCATCTAATTTAATGTGCTTTTTATCAAAGGAAAAATAAATGTGCCTAACACTCGCAGGTGCTCTTTTTCAGTTACAGCAATCGAAGCCCGTTTTTCAAAGGCTAGTAACGTTCGAATATGTTTTGAGCCTGCCCCAACAAAATTAGATCCCCTTAAAAAAACCTGGTCTAGTAGAAGTTAAGGCTTAAACCATTCCATTTAAGTTAGCATTCAGTTTCATCGAGTTATCTAAATACAGTAATATGTTATACATAAATACAAAATTTAAGGTGCAGATTACATAACCTAATGCTTAAAAGAACGATATATGAAAAAGCAAAGAAGATTGAAAAAAGAAGCAATAAGCTTAAAGTTACATTTTTTGAGGAGGAACTCGCTGATAGTTGAACTAAGGCAAGAAAGGTACCTCTTGTTTTCAAAGTGGAGGAAAGAAAATTAGCTTATTTTGTTTAGATAAAAGTAATTTGGGAATAAATTCGGTTATCTTAACTAAAAATTTAAATCTTTAGCATATTTAAATCGTGGCTCCCGCCAAAAAGAGGCTGTAGAGTGCTCCCCCGCAGAGGCTGTGAGAACCACGCCCTCTGCCATCACAAAATTCTCCCTCAAAAAAAGTGCAAAAAACACTCGCAATCCTGAAGAATTCAGCGGAAAAATCACTCGCGTCTTACGCGATGTATAAGTTTACGACGATAGAGCCTATATAGTCATCATCCCAGCATTTTGCTCTATAATAACTTGCTTTCCTTATTCCATATTGAGGATATAATTCTTTTTTAAGAAAATTTTATCATTATCCGTTCGCTGATTGATATCGATGAAAATCTGTTTCATATTAAAAACAGATAAATCGGCTTAAGAACTATTTCAAGCTTTTTATGAGACTTTGCTATCAACTATTTCTTACGTTTGCATTTTTCAAGCTACTTTAAAATTTTACAGTACCAGAGGTCTATTTGGTAGAAAATATTTTATATCTCTTTGCTGCCATTTCAAATGGCGACTTCATATTTAAAAGCCATTTTTACAAAATGAACTATTTGTTCTATTCCCACTTTATTAAGCTATTTCAAATTTTACTGTACAAAAAGCTTAATTGGTAATTATATGTAATACCTGGACTGACACAGCTGTTTTCTAACATTTCAAATAACAACGTCATATTTGAAGGCCATTTTTGACTGACATCCACATTCACCCATAACTACCGCAAATGATGAGTATACTGAAATATTGTAAAATCGTAAAGTCTGGTTTCAAAATTATGATCTCCTTGTTCATTGCTTTTATTTTTTATAGCTTTAATCCACTAGGTATCTTTTATCATACTCATATTTCTTCATTGCATTGGCTTTTTCGATTCCCCCGTGAACTCTTTGAAATTCTAAATTCAATCTCCAGTTCCCAAATCCAAAAAAAGTACAACATTTATGTCTGTTTATAATGATATTCCAAATAGACTTTCTAAAGTACTGTTAGATCAACAATAAACTTTCAAGGGTCTCATAGAAATTAGGGAAAGGGTCTCCTTCGTTTGAACCTTAACGGCAAATTCCGTTTTAGTACTAAGAAGTTCTACCTTCTGGGGAAAGCATTCTATTCATTCCTCAAAATAGGTTTTGTAAGTGGGTAGATAAATAAGTGGATACTATCAGAATGCTTTGTTTGTTTTTGGGACTTTGAAAGCCATGTATTCTAACAACCTCTCTTGAGAGGTGCATTTGGCATGCTTTACATTTCTCGATTGGTGTTCTTTTCTGCATGCTTTCAAATTATCTAGGGAACTCCTTGTCGTAAGCTTTAAGGCGAAGCATCGCGCCCGTTGAAGGCCTATTTATTTGGCATCAAGCCTAAATCATCGATTCCTATTAAAAATATACTTCTACATGGAGGTGCAGTAGAAGAGAGTCGAGAAAGTCATTCCTGCTTGAAAAGTAGCCAACACTTTCGTTGTTTCAAGCATCTTTTCCCAGGTAATATTACGCCTTGGTAACTAGAACGTTGAGGGTAAGTGAGTTTATCAATAGAATCATGCTTCTAGTATTGTTTATATCTAGCGAAGTAAACACATGAAAACTAAGGGTTTCACGGGTTTAAGTTGATGTGTTTGAATCTCTAAGCTATTTTCGGGTGTATGTTGTTAGATGGTATAATTTCTCCCAGCATGTATCGGTTAGCCCTAAAAACGAACGTTCGTGACTAGTTAAGACTTTTATCATTTCATGATATAAATTGTGACGGGACAAAGGGAAAATATATATGTTTATAGGGCTTAAAATGTATGTCATTAATCAATGAATGTTCATTTTAAGCTCAAAACGAGCTAATGTTAAATTCCTGGGAGATCTGGCTAGGCTCCAACGCAGGAGGGGGTTTTTATGGAAATTATACTGGTAGATTTTATGCAAAGTGACATACTTTTTGCTGTGATGAAACTGAGAGAAAAACAAAGTGAGTGATTGCTAAAATTAACAGAAAAAAGATATGTTGAAACATACACAAGACAACACAAAATCTAAACCAAAAGAGGGACACCTAGTGAGAAGTCATGGACCAACTTGAAGGGAGAACTTTCAACTAGTTGTGTATATCAAAGAGGCACTGCGTCAACACACTTCTCTTCTGGGTCGTGGGTCTGCATTTTATGACTTTGACGTTCTTTTTTTCTTCACTTCTTACCCAAGATAACCCAAGATTTTTGGAAATCTTATAGTGATCGTAATATGATGACTCATCTTGATATGACGACGTATCTTGATATGATGACGCGTCTTATTCAGAAGACGACAACACGTCTTGGCTTGAATACGACGACGGGTTTTGTTGAAAGTAAGACGACGCACTATGTTCAGAATACGAAGCACCGCTGTTTAAAATAAGAGGCATAGCCAAGAAGATTTGATGCAAGTAAAACTATGCATTGCAATGAGCTTCCACAAAACACACTCAGAATGGTTTATGGGCCAAAGAATATGGGCAAAATTGCCAGTAGAAATGAAAGGCTTTGTTTTAATATGCCATTTGACAATAATATTATGAATATCAACTTTTTTTCTTTATCTCGCTTTCAAACATTTAGCATCGACATTTCGATCACTGAAGATGTTTTGATGTGAAAATGTGGGATGATTTTCTTTTCATTGAAGAAGCGCCCATGTACATTCATCTCCATAGCATTCTTGGCAATGCTCCTTCTCAATCATTGTAGGATTTTAATCTTGAAAAACGTAGCCACAAAAATCATAAATAAAAAGACTGAATGCGTTTCTTAAATCTTAAGGTTAGGTACACTGTAAAACGAAGTTTATCATCAAATTTGAGAGCATGCTTTTAAAATTAAAGAAGTACGACATTCGATAAACGCTGCTTCACATTATCTGAATACATTATCGGCTTAATTACATTTTGTAATAGGAGAAGTTAAAGTAACATATTTGGGCCTAAATCCATAAAAAAATAAACAAATTTAACCTAAGATTATTTCAGACAAATCATCCCAATATTATTTCATTCGAGAACAGTTACCAGCGTATTCTACTGTATTGTATTGAACTGCATTAGTAGCTCTTCTCTTGACCAATGATAAATTCCACAAAACAGTGGTATGCTAAGAGTGCATAACAATAAAGTTAATCTCTTCATAACAGAATAAATGCATAGCACGTACATTTACAGTAGGTCATATGCAATATTCATACCATATTTTTACTTTAATTAATAGTATTATTTGATGAAATTATCAGCGTCCCCTTATGCAAGTGAAAGTACCCTTAAAAAGTGACCTGGAACCCCAGCATATTAAAAAGATATTTGTGCTTTGCTTTCCAATAAAGTAGATTAATTGTATGTTCTGCAAAGGCAACTTGAATTAGAATTTTTCATATCTTTTGTAGTGCAAGTAGAAATTCGAGATTTCTTGTTTCCAAGAAAATGAAGATGTAAAATTCATTGGCTAAGAATTAATCTATTAAAATGATGATTCAGCGAGTACAGTGGCTGCTAACCACAATCCTTTTGCCAAAATGTTTTTTAACGTATTCTTTAAGAACTAAATCAAAATTTTTTTAGAGGGAAAACTTATCTGATATTTCTTCCTTGTCAAAAAGTAGGACATTTAGAAGAGGATGGAATAAATGTTGTTTCCATAATGTAAAAAGGGATTGACTCAAAGATTTTCTAGAGACAACACCCCTATCATTATTCCTTCGTCTAGGTAGAAGAGATAAAATCGGTTGCAGAAAATCTAAAATTAGCAAGAAATATCAATCTCAAAAAAGAAGTAACCTAGCTATATTTTCTTCATGTTTGTAAATCACAACAAGCTATTTTTGAGCGAATTCGTTTTTTGATAAGTAACTGAATGTCCTGACAAAGCGAATCAACTATAGCAATAAAACATCTTCCAACATTGTTTCATAAAACATGTTTTATTAAATTTGCCACCATGTTTTAGGAATGTTTGATGATGTTTTATTATGAGAATAATGATGCTTTACGGAACTAGATTTCTAACAAATATTGCTGAACGATGTTTTGCAAATGTTTGGTGATGTCGAGTGATGCTTTAAGGAACTTGTGAGTTCCATTAAACATTTCTGGATAATGTTTTCCAAATGTTTGGTGATGTCGAGTGATGCTTTACGGAACTTGTGAGTTCCATTAAACATTTCTGGATAATGTTTTCCAAATGTTTGGTGATGTCGAGTGATGCTTTACGGAATTTGTGAGTTCCATTAAACATTGCTGGATAATGTTTTCCAAATGTTTGGTGATGTCTAGTGATGCTATACGGAACTTGTGAGTTCCATTAAACATTGCTGGATAATGTTTTGCAAATGTTTGATTCGTTTGGTCATGCCTTAATAGTTGCACAACAACCAACGCTAAATAACCAATTAAAGCTTTTTCAAACTAGCAAAATCCTTCCTTCTAAATTCACATTTTTTCTGAGAAAACTTCATAAGCAAAATCTTGAAAATTTTGATATATTAATTCTTAGCGATTGTGAGGACAAGATAAGCCAAAATCCTCAGGTATAGAGCCTCATTGGAATGTTCTTGAATTAGAGAAACGAGCAATAGGGAAACTGTGCTTATCAACAAAGAGCATGGAAAAATACTTGTAAATGGCCTAAAATGCTAGCCTGTAGGTGACCAGCAATGCTAGCATTGAAATGATATATGAAATGTCTTTAGTTGATAGAAACCTTGTCTAAAACGTAAATAAGTATGGCTTAGACAAGGATTCGTGGTCCATTGAATGATTTACCTTCATGTTGGGTGATTGATAACTGCGGCTTGGGCTGCATCGCAGAGGCAATGCAAAAGCTCCTGCGTAACATTACATACTGGTCATGTTGTATATACTGTATATATATATATGGATGTATGCATAACTGTATGAGAAAGATACATTTAAGCTTCTTAACAATTCTAAATTTTAGGATACGGTATCAATTATATTTTAGATAAACTGGCAAAAGCGTTGCCACTGCTGAAATTGTAAGGGTTATTAGAAATAACCAGAAAAACATCCTATCTAAAATCATCGAAATATGCTTCCACTCGTCTTGATTCTCTTCAGTAGCTTGATTTTGCCTGAAATTATCGGCGACAATCTGGACCTCTGTCAGTATATCATCCAGAATATTTTTGTTCCCATTACTATTCATGTCCAAGTCTTGAAGGGTTAAATTCGGAGTTAATCGTTGTTTTTTCCCACTGGCTATGCCGTTCCTTGTAGGCCTAAGGCTAGGTGAGTGAGGCATTTGCCTTGTTTCAAAAGTGCCATTTTCCACTGGGATGGCGTAGCTTTCTGCAAAGCCATCGTTGCAATATGTCTTCCCGTTCATTTTCTCGGATTTCGGTGCTTCAGATTCAAATTTTGAATCAGAAATCTTTAATCGCTTGATCTTGATAAGTTTCCCGATTTTTTGAAAGAATAACTTCCTCATCCATGGCGGAGGCCTTTCCACACCACGTGCAGTTGAGCGGAAATGGAACATGAGCACAATGCATGTGGTTACAAGGGACAAGGCACTTTCGGTCATTATTACCATATAAAATATCGCCAGTATAGGAATGCTGTCGGAATTCCTCGGCAGGCTGTCACTGACCAATTGCAGAAAAACAGCCACGGCAAGCAGGATGGTGATAGTCAGACTGATGCGTTCTCCTGATTCCGGAGGCAAGAAGAACCCGAACAATATAGTGACTGCCAATACAAGGCATGGGGTAATCACGTTAAATATATAGTAGAGAGGCTTGCGTTTGAGAACAAGTTTTACAGTGACGTCTAAGTATGGGTACGGGCAACAAGCATATTTAACTGAATTGCGTGTTTTTAAACCTTCAACTATTTCCCATTCAGAACTGTTTATGTACTGGGATGTTACCACCGGCCTATTGTCTGCCATCATATTGATACCAGACGAGTCGTATGCCCATGAGCCGTACTTCAAACTGCAGATCTGCTTGTCAAAAGGGAAGTATGTAATGTCTATTTTGCAAGTGCTTGTGAATGTCGAGGGACTGAGCCAGTAGTGACTGCCATCTGAATACAATATCACCCTCGTTTTGTATTTATCTAAGCCTCCAGAGAATTCACTGTCAGCGCTAAAAAGAAATATCAACGTTTTTGAAGCAAGAAAAGGAAATAATCTGATACGACAAGCAGTACTTACAATGGTACAAAACTTCATATACATAAAATGATAGGAGTATCAATTAAACACCTAAGCTCCTCCCTAATCTTCTAGTCCTAGAAGGCAACAAATGGGTTTCACTTGTATTCAGCAGTATACAAAGCACATTTATGCATTCCCTCAAGACTCCACATTCGGTGCTTTCATTACAATGTTGCTTATATTCTTAATAAAAAAACTTATCAACAAATTCTACCAAAAATGTATGCAAAATAAATTTAGAATGTAAGTCATAAATGAATTAAAAATTACTTGTTATAGAGAACAATATCAGGTGTCCACATCAACTTTCCATCAACTTGAACAGATTTTATGCCATCCCAGTCTTTCGGGTCCCATCTGACCAGCTCGTTTTTCCAATTCTGTAATTATTTTGGTTTCAGAGTTAACAAAATGATTCATAAGAAAGATCTATTATAAACAGTCTACACACCATTGCCTAAATGTATTAAAAAGTCATGCAATCACTAGAATTCTGATGAAGAGCCTTGAAAATCTAAACTTTTCTTAGCAAGCTTGCATTCCATTGACCTAATCCTAAACAGCAACTCTAAATGAAAACAACAAGAGGAGGTTGATTTTACCTGCCTGACCCAGACCTTGACAGTAATCATCTGATATCGATCGTTCTAGAAAAAATAATTGTTACTTGAAAGCACGTGGCATAAAAAGAAACTTAGGATTAAACTGTGCCATATACATAGAGAGAATGAGTAGGTAGAAAGTTCATCAAAGAGAGCAAAAAAATTTTATTTCATCATAATAATTCCTTCGATTAAGACAATATACTGTTGGTGTTAGAGATTTTATATATTATACAGCGATTCACGACGGCCTCGTTTTGTTAAATAAATTTAGAGCTCATTTTAGGATTTGAAACAAAACTTTTGTGACATCTGTCGCTCCGATTGGATGCAAGTTTTCATGCTGTTGGTGCTCGTATTGCAGAATTTATGAAAATGTTAAGTTTTAAAATTTATAAGGGATTTCGCTGGAAAAAGCGTTCCATGTGAAACTTTTTACCATCTTACATGTTACACTTATCACGGTCAAACCTATAAGTAAAACCTTTAGCTTTATGCCCATATAATATTTCATAAAATCAATAACCAGAGAACAAATATCGTGAACGCTTACAAGCGCTAAATTCTGCTCGTCGATCGGAACCTACCAAATGTCACAATCTTTCCCTATTATCTTTTATAGAGATCAGTGATTGTACCACTATAAAATAGAATACCTTTCGGTCTCGACTGCTGGTAACAGTTGGATTTAATCACAAGGTGAGTATCAAATCTAAGAAACATACCTTGAAACTTTTTCTGGACCAACTTTGATTAGATGGCGCTAGTATCGTTGTAAAGCCTTTGAAACCTATTCATTTTAATACAAGTATACTTACTACATTGATTAGCTGCACGAGCTCGAGGCCAAACGACACATTCGTTGCTGTCTTCTGGCTCAATGTTGGCCTAGCCTCTTTGCTGTAATTTGTCAGCAGATGTTCAATCAAGCGCTGCTCTGTGCTGACAATGCTGCCTGCAATGATTGCAATCAATGTTATGCATAAACAAATTAATGAAGTACATAATTAATTGGTTTCATAACTCTTTACTTGAGGAGGGGCAATGATTGCAATCAATGATTTGAATCAACAAATCAACGAAGGAAAGTTCATTAGTTTCATTAATCATTACTCAAGGAGGGACAGAAAGAAAGAGGAAGCTCTGAACTTTGTGCCGAGGACAAAATTTTCTAAGACATAATTCTGAATGAATATAAGAAGTAGTTGAGGCTTGGGATTTGAGCCTTAGATCAAGGGAATTTCCAACGTCGAACCTTTTTAATGCAGATAAGATATGGTTCCTGGAATCTTACAATTGTTCTAGGCCAGACAAACAATAGTGTTGTTTTGGATTCTGCAAGGGTTCCATTGCTCAACTGAAGGTTCAACCCACTTTGAGTGGTCTTTTTATGTTAAATGACTTTGGAGATGAGGATGGAATGATCACATGGCCTTCAGTGAGTTTGCACCATTTTTGTATCTTAATTACACTTCATACGCTTCCAAAACACATTAATTAGAGCATGTAGGATTTATTTCAAAGCATCGATGGATCAATTTGTGTTTAAAAAGGTTTGTAACAAATTTAACTCTAGAGTGCAATTCACAAGGGTCTCAACAGGTCCAAAGGCATTATCAAGTATGAACCGAATTTCAAGGGGAGATTCAATGCTACCTGATGAGCGACATTACAGACAACTCAACTTCTGATGAAACTTGCTTAATCAAATTATTTAAAACTGTGCAAAATATCGGTAATAAATTTGATGTATCAGTTACCAATCATTTGCCGTAACCTCTCAATAAAGAGATTGCCAGCCCTGACTTGTTTATATAGTGACCATCAAAGTTAATTTTCTTTCAATACCGTTCTTTATGATCTTTCAACCAAGAATTAAGATATCCTCTACCGTGAATTTTATCACCGATACAACCCTACAAGCCACAAAAAGGCAAGGAAAATTACGATGCCCGGAATCTTTATATGTAATTCTTGTTTATATCATGTCACCCATCGTAATAAATTTAGGAGGCATGACTTTGGAAAATGTGTCACAAAATGTCGAGCACTTGAGTCGAAGAAAATCCCACTTATCTTCAATTCTCATTGGGTTCTTTGAATCATGGTTTTCGAAGGCTTAATGAAAAAATATAGAGTAAATATAGACTGGGGAAGAAGTTTCCACCAAATCTATAGAGTTTGCACAGACGCATAGTGACGCAGACGACGTTTTGGGAGTTTGCAAGAAGGTACCGGAAGAGAAGAGGAATCAAACGAGAAAGTAAAGAAAAATATGAAACACGCAAAGAAGAAGATATAAACAAGTAATATTGAGGAGGCTAAAGGGAAATACTACAATTGACAGAAATGGCAAGAGCTAAAAAGAGGAAAAGTAGAAGTATTGTTTGATTGAAATACGCTTAATAGATTGACAGAAGGCTATTAGATGAAGAAAGAAAAGAACAGAAGACAGAGAAAATACAAAATTTAAATTATCTGAAAATTTTGATAAAATTGTAAATTTCCAACTCTATACGAATATTTCCAAGATGTTAGCGAGAACAAGTAGCAGTCAAATGACAATCTTGAGTGAATTGAAGTCAAAAATATAAAATAAATGAAAAGAGAAGCAATGCAAAATGGAGTTAGCAAGAAAGGGAATCAAATGGGAAAAGAGGCAAGCGGAACAAAAAGCTAAAAGAGGAGAATAAGATTGTCTTGGCTTTCAGCTGAAGCAGAATGCAAAAAGTCTGTGTTCGTGCGTCAGAACGTGAAACGCATAAACAACAATGCAGAAAGCTTTTAACTGTTGTTTTACAGAGTCATTGAATGCCACGACCTTGCAAGTGATCAAAACCTCACGAACTTGAGTAAATACAAACAATATCCGAATCCATAGCAAAAATGTGTAAATATTTTTCGACCAAGATAAGCTAGCAACTTATTTACCACGTGTTCTCTTCTCGCTTCTAATGCCATCCTAACTCTTCTGCGGTTATATCCTACAATGCCTGCCAAAGTTCTTGGACAAGTCATATACTTGACAATTGACAAATACTAGAATGCAAAGACCAATTCCACTAGATAAACCTTCTTTTTCGATCCAAAAACATCAACAATCATTGTAGTAAACGTCTCCACGGAATCCGTTAGCGAGACCTTGCAAGTTAAAAGGGCCTTACAAAGAATCTACATCTTTATCGTTTTTCTTCATTCTTGCATGAGTTTTGGACTAGCCCAGGACTGTTCTTGTGTTGACAAAGTAGCCGCTTGTTACTCCATGTTACAACCTGTGACTTCATGTTACAACTTCTGAATGTCAACTTACTGTAAAGTTCTTATTGTCTTTTTTCAGTCAAATATCGATTAACAGCTAAACAGAACTGACAGTTTTTCTGTGTTTGTCTGTATAAACATTTGTACCTTCAATCTACTTTGGGAGAAAGATTGTTGGTTTCATGAAGATGTCAACATTGTAGAGCTCGGCTTACCTCGGCAAAAGATTTGATACTCCATAGTACAATAACATAACTAAATCTATAACAAAAATCTAACATTCTGATTTTCTTAATTTACCACAATGAAAATAGTTCATTAAAGGAAATAGTAAAAGTACCTGAAATATATGACGAAGACGAAGTGATTGTTATCAAAACTGCAATGTATCTGAAAATAGCTGTGAATCCCATTACTGCCAAGTTGTTGCAAGGACGACTAAAATCAGCCTAGAAGGAAAACATATATTGTCTTATGCTTACAAAACAAAAGTCAGATCATGACTAAAATCTAATTCTGAATACAATAATATACCTGTAGCCAATGTCAAAGTCTATGCTGCGCGTGCCGTGAATACAAACAGCATCAAATCGTCTGTTCGAAGCCTGACTTGCAAAAGGCAATGCAATGCATGCTACATACTTCAATCTAGATTACTCTTACCTTGAGCAGAGTCAATAAAGATTTGTAATTCAAAGATCAATAGAGAGCAGTTTTAATCGTACTAGAAGGCGACCTTTTAAAAAGATCAACCTCTTCATATCAAAAGACTTCCCTAACTTGATTCGACGGTTTTGAAATGATTGAATGACTGTTCATCCAAAACATCTGCTTACAACTGGGCATCTTGCTTTAAACTGATTAAAACATCGAGAGGGGTGGCAAAAGGCTATCAAAACAAACAAAAGGTTTAATATTGTATCATGCCTCAATGTAGATTCCTCTCTGTTATATCAAAGTGTATCGCTCAAATAATTTACTTGATTGAGATGAAATACTGCAGGATGGCTTGCAAGTGACAGGCAATGTCAGCTGGACACATCAGCTATAACTGACTTTTCTAAAATTATCTCACGTAGATAAATGATGATTTGTAAAGAAATATTTATTTTTACGGTATCCATAGTAACATCTGGAACATCTCGATAAATTTATATTTAGCAGCAAAAGTTGTAGCATGAAAAATTCTTCTGAATTGCAAAAAGATCATAAGAATTTTTCTTAGCTTCTTTCAAAAAATTAACAATTGTCCTTAAAGCGATTTCAAAATGTTTTGAAATTGGTCTCAAAGTTGAAGTTAGGCATTTCTCGAATTTTATTAACTCAAAGTTGAGTTAACATGAATATTAATCCAAAAATCTCTTTGAAGAAAGCAAACTTTTTCTAACAAACTAAAAGCTTTTTCGTCTGACACTCCTCAGAGTATAAAACGTCAGAATAAGGGTTCAAGTTCTCTACTGCCAAAAAATGTATATAAAGATCTCTAAATATTTTATTTAAGATTTAGTGAAAAGGCAGCTTTACAACCAAAATTTAATTCTACCTTTAAGTTCTCTGAAAGTTGGGGGGTGAACACCCCCACATCCCCCGTACGATACGCCCCTGGCAAAGGCAATGTCAGAGGGGGGAGGTGTGGAACATCAAACATTGAAAATTATTCATCAGTCATTCAAGATGACCGTTATTAAAAAGCAAGGCAAATTATCTCCATCCTTCCACTTTGACATGGCCCCTGCATTTATAGAATCCCACTCATTTGCTTCCCACTAAGATACAAAAGTTCTTCTTTCGACTAGCATTCGCGCTCGAGAATTCTATAAATTAATAAATATTGCTTAACAACTTTGTTCGGAAACTTAGGACAGCGCCTTTCTTCTAATGAGGGCAGCTGTTTGCATTGATGCAGGACTCCATGTGGTTCAAATCTACGTGCACCAAGGCATACTAGTGAAGTTACATCTAATTTCCGACCCTGCGCAAAAGAGCTACAAAAAACACTGACCAACGTTGAAAAATTTGTTTTGAAAAGATGATTAATCAGTCGATAGACAAATAGACAAGCTTTGAGCATTCAGGTATACCTACAAATGGACAAGAGAATAAAGTTTATTGCATCAGAATGGTGAAAAATCTTGAATTTTCAGGTGCTTCATGATGCTGTTAGTTCGTGGGAAATATCATAAAAAATTTGCGGAGAAGTAAAAAACATGCCTTATGAATAATCGAATTTGTTTTTCATTAAAATCGTGTTAAAAATTATAATTTGAGTGAGTTGGTTTTTTTTCAAAAATTCAAAAACAGAAAACTAGATTAAGTCCTTTTGAATTGCTGTCAAAGTGAGATTTATAACAACAAAGAAAACGAAATCCTTTTTTATATGTCACTTCAATTGGAAATTCAAATTTGAAGTTATCCGCTGAATAAATCAACAGTTTTTGCCAAACGCTTGTGTTGTTATGGGAACACAGCGAGTTAAAGTTTCGTATAAATTGTTTGAAGTTCTTCGCGCCATGAAAGAATATAACCTTTGACACTGGAAACAGCTAGTTTGATTTTTTTCAGGACGAGGGAATTTTGTTATGAGCAAATTTATGGCGTTTGCCTTAGAATTTGTGCCTATTTGATCTGCTAAACTCAAACAAATAGTATTACGAATGCAAAAGTCGGTTAGTTGCTGTCGTCTTGTCAGAAGAGAAATTCAAACCCAATTTGACATTTTGTGGGCGTCACCTTCTGACCTTTACACTCTGGACGTTTGATAAAATATCATTTTTTTCTCTAAGCAATGTTTTCTTTCGAGCATTGACGGTTGAAAAAGGGGATCGTATATCGGATGCGTGCTATCACACCACAACGTTCCGCTATGCAGTGTCTCCGGAGTGACTTGGCACTCCGCTATTGCTAAACAGATTAGTGCGGCGTTGTGTAACTCAAACCCCTATTCGAATTCAATATCAAAGTAAATCTGCTCCAATGGTACTGTAAGAGAGCTCTTAAGTGTGACGTTATGTAAAATATTTTTTAGAAATTTTCGAATTTTGTCCACAAAACCTGAAAAACAACATAAATTACTTCAAAATTTGCAAAATCAGTTCAATATGTCAAAATTCGGGAGAGATAAACCCAATAGAAGATTTGAAGTTTGCTAAAGAATTACTGCTTATTTTGGCTCTGTTCATAAAGTTATGATCAATGTCCAAATTACAGAGGTTTGATGTGGAAAGATTCTGTGCTTGTATGACCATATCTCGACCAGTTCGTAGACCATTCAATTGATTTTGCACATTGAAAAATATTTCATGATGCTCTTTTGACTTTTAGATTATGGGATCCAGTTTCAAAACTTCCATAATTGTTTTTATGACGTCATCACTAAATAACTCTATGTATCGTGAGCACCTGCAGACTCAAAAGCAATTCAGTCTGCTTTCTGAGGTACTTGACGATGACTGAACAAATTAGAGAAGGCTAGACAGTCATACAAGATTTTTTCATGCATGCTGCTTCTGCATAGAGTAACAAAGCCGCAATGATAACAAGATTTCATTTCTGCTATTGCTCTTTGAAGACTGTGTTTTTCATAGTCTGTGTTTGCATTTGAAAAAAAAATTGGTTGATATGTATTAAGAAAGGATATTTAAAGTGTTTTGCAAGACTGGAAGTAAATATGCTTAAACGTGCAAGCTTCTTCGATGATAAGGCAATCAAGAATGAATGAACTGAATGAACTGAATCAGTCAAAATATAAGCTTCTGTTGATAAGAAAAATGTTGCAGATCAGCAAAGTTACTAGCATTAAAAGACGTTAATAAAACAAACCTGGAAACGATTTTTTTACACAACACAACAAGCAAACATTTCGCTGCCTCGAGATGCCATTTATGTCACCGATGCTAACGTTATTTACTGTGCAAAGCAAATCGTGCAATCCGGCCTTTTATCCAGTCTCTTTGCGCATGCAATCAATGCCTTCTTTAAATAAATATCTAAATTTGATAAAATCTCGCGATAATCCAATTTTATAAACAAAACCCTACTTTGTTTCTAGTTATTTCTCCCGTTAGTCCCATTACGCTGCTCATTTAAAAGGACTGGTTTGAATTGTACGAAATGGGACGCGTCCTCAATTCCAAGGGATAAGTAGAAGCCACTTTGCTTTTCGTTCAACCTACTTTTTGACAGATTAAAGCAAGAATACGTTGTTCTAGGTCAATCGATTTTCCGTTTGTTGTCGCAAACCCCAGCAGAGAATCATAGATTTTATATTGACGTTGTATCTAATCTCATTTGAGACCCCTGTGAGTTTGCAATGCTAAGTTAATGCGAGGCAAACCAAAGTGATTCTATTTTTCAATAACTATGATGAACATGGCTCCGCTTCAATGCCGAAAAACCTCAAAAATGATTGTCAAATGTTGTTTGTTTCTTGAAATCTTTTGCAAAAATAGGAATATCCTGTTAAGGTATTTGCAAATTATGTCATCCAATTTGGTCAATTAAAAATATGTTGGTAAGCCTACATTATTGGAAACAGTTACACGTCTATAAAGTTATTTGATTATAGAGACTCGGCCAAAACTTTATTTCATCTCTAAGCCCATTATCAACTATTCTATACCTTCGCCGTCTTTCACTCTGTTGCAATGTCTTCCACTCAATGCTCAATCATAGCTTGACCTGCAGTAATGCATCTATCACAATATAGACTTGTTTTTGCCATCCATAGACTATACAGGATATTTTCAGCACAACTTCATCAGCATTTATTACGGATAATTGATTTTCCTTAAACTTGCCCCATACCATAACATTGTTATTGTAATACGATTAATCAATCAGCTGATGGTATCCTATTTGCACTTTATCTATCTCTTACTTCCAAAAACTAAAAATCGGTGCAACTTACCTATCTTTATGCTTTCACGGCTTTCTTTGATGTCTCTGGTTTCTCCTTGACTGAGCTTAACGTTAAATGAGAATACCTTGCCTGTTTCTTGATAAATCGTTCTTTGTTTACTTCTGCATCACAAAGCCGATGCCATAATCATGCGAAGCCACCATTTCTAATCACTGTTTTCTCGCGTTTTTGACCCTAGATCCCTCTTAACGTATTATGCAAGAGCCGCATTCTGGATTACAATGCACTGCTTCAAGTTGCACAGCCCGACGGGGGTTTATCCTACACCTGTCAAAATGCTTCAGAAGAAAGCAAGAATAGCCCGAGGACTGATCCTGGCGTCAATTTTTATCCTTCAATGAAGCATTTCTTTTATTCACTCTTACTAACAACATAAGATAGAGCTATGGAAAAATTCTTGACCTAGAAATTTCTGTTTACTTGCTCGTCTTCGTTTGCAAAATTTGCGTTTTCTTTTCTATGAGCTTTAAGAAAAAGTAATAAACGGCATTAAAAAATAACGGGCTGAGGCAGCATGTATCCATGGCAACC